TTCCATTGTTGTTATGTTCAAAAATCCTTTCCAATTCTATTTTAGATAGTTCCCTGTTTTATTCTTACATATTTGTTGCTTCTATTCTAAGTTCTTTTACAAATTCTGAAATTTGTCTTACTACCTGATAGGTATGGAAACCTAATTTTGTCTGTGAATTGGTGCACAGTGACCCGTAGTGTGACATGCTGGGAAGATCTGGATGAGAAAGCCTGCTTTATTCTTGGGACTATCTGTGACTTACAGGATCTGTGGCCTACTGCTTCACTTGTTTTGTTTCTGAGTCTGTTACTATCATATTTATGTGTGTGTTGGCCAGCTTCCAAAGTGACCCCCAGAACTCCTACTTCTGGTCACTCCTTCATGTGGTCTGTGTAACAGTAGGATATGGCAGAAGTGATGGCATAGGGCTCCAGGGCTTGGTCCCAGAAGACAGTTCGGCTTCTTTCTGGATCTCCTGGGTTCCTCACTCAGCGGGAAACATTGTAAAGACACTATGGAGAAGCCAGATGGGGAGGACTGTGGTGCTTCTCAGCTGTGTCAGCACCAACTTGCCAGCTTTGTGTATAGGTTACTTACTAGCCTCTCCAAAGTTCCTGGAGAGCAGAAATTATGAATAATAATATGCGGTTATTGTCATTTTAAGTGACTAAATTGTAGGATAATTTGTTACACAGCAATAGGTATATATTCAAGTGGTTTTTAAAAGTAGGTTCAAAATGTGACTGTGAGCTAAATTATTTTAAATTGGTGATATCCTTTTAAAACAAAGGTTTTTGAAGACTTGTTTTCTGTGGGGAGAGAAAGCATGTATGTTTTTGACAGATTCTTGATTATAGGCTAAATGGTCTAGTTTTATGCTTGGCTCCTCAGACTCTGACTGTTCTGTCCTATTAAAACTGAGGGAGAATTTTTAGCAGGTAGGAAGAGGTAGCTTCTACCTTATAGTTCCCAGAAGACAGCACTATCTTTGTAATTTATTTTCAATGCTTATTAAGCACCTCTGTTCTGTCAGAGACTGAGGGTGTATCACTGAATGAGATGGACAGTCTCTGCTGTATTGGAGGCTGCAGTAGGGGGAGATAGGACCTGTGCCCTGCCCCTCATGCCGCCCCAATTCTGGTGTTCGGTCCATTGGAAGAAATGAGTGGGGAGTGTCAGGAGCCTACGTTAGGAAGATTCATACTGCTTTTCCAAGTACAGCCTCTGAGCACAAGGCACTCACCTGTCCAGTGGATGAAGTCTGAGTTGGCTTGTTTCTACTGTAATAGAATTCCCCCTATACACATACATGTGTAGATGAGAATTATTTATGTGGCAGTCCCCCCATTTTATGATTCAAAAATGCTAGACCCCAGTGTTCATGCTCAGAATTGTGAGATACTGAATGATGTCAACACTCCTTCCCCAGCCTACAGTGCAGTCAGGTTCTGGACAGAGCAAGTTTTTGTAGCAGTGATGATTTTTGCAGAGGTTGGGGTGGTCTTCAAAGACCTCCTACCCTCCCAACCCCTCCCCCCCAAAAAACAATGAAAGCCTTATAAACTAGAGTTAGAATTGTGGACAATGCTGCTAACAGCCTTCAAGATACTGAGCTTTTTGGCTGACAGCCAGATAGTGGAGCTCAGCTTGGAGTCAGGGATGCCTTCAACCCACTTGGCAAAATTAGATCCAGACCCTAACTGTGCTCAAGCCCAAACGTCAGTCTTAGATGAATGTCACAGAGTGACTCTACATCAAAGATTGCAGGTTACAAGAAGAAGCCCCGTAGCAGGGGTTGGCAGCCTTTTCTGTAAAGGTCCAGGGAGTTACATAGGGGGTGGCTTTTCAGGCAGCATGGTCTTTGTTGCAGCCATTCTGCTTGGTGGCAGAAAAGCAGCCCCAGAAAACATGTAAAAGAGAGAGTATGGCTATGCATAGAAAATGCAGATTCCACCTGGGGACCAGCGTTGGCTCACCCTCGGAGTGAAGGTTGGAGTAGAGGAGGTTGTATAGAGATAATGACTGTAAGGTTTTTTTTTAATATATTTTATTGATTGTGCTATTACAGTTGTCCCATTTTTTTCTCCCCTTTGTTCCTCTCCTCCCTGTACGTCCCCTCCCACCATCATTCCGCAGCCTTAATTCATGTCCATGGGTCATACATATAAGTTCTTTGGCTTCTCCATTTCCCATACTATTCTTAACTTCCTCCTGTCTATTTTGTATCTACCATTTATGCTTCTTATTTCCTGTACCTTTTCCCCCATTCTCCCCACTCCCACTCCCTTTCCCTACTCATAACCCTCCATGTGACCTCCATTTCTGTGAATCTGTTCCTGTTCTAGTTGTTTGCTTAGTTCGCCTTTGTTTTTGTTTTTTTAGGTTTGGTTGTTGATAGGTATGAGTTTGTTATTTTACTGTTCGTATTTTTTATCTACTTTTTCTTAGTTAAGTCCCTTTAATATTTCATATAATAAGGGCTTGGTGATGATGAACTCCTTTAACTTGACCTTATCTGGGAAGCACTTTATCTGCCCTTCCATTCTAAATAATAGTTTTGCTGGATAGAGTAATTTTGGATGTAGGTCCTTGCCTTTCATGACTTTGAATACTTCTTTCCAGCCCCTTGCCTATAAGGTTTATTTTGAGAAATAAGCTGGTAGTCTTATGGGAACTCCTTTGCAGGTAAATGTCTCCTTTTCTCTTGCTGCTTTTAGTGTTCTCTCCTTATCTTTCATCTTGGGCAATGTAATTATGATGTGCCTTGGTGTGTTCCTACTTGAGTCCAACTTCTTTGGGACTCTCCTAGCTTCCTGGACTTCCTAGAAGTCTGTTTCCTTTGCCAAGATTGGGGGAGTTCTCCTTCATTTTGTTTTCAAATAAGTTCTCAATTTCTTGCTCTTCTTCTTCTCCTTCTGGCACCCCTATGATTTGGATGTTGGAACATTTAAAGTTGTCCTGGAGGTTCCTAAGCCTGTCTTCACTTTTTTGAATTCTTGTTTCTTCATTTTGTTCTTTTTGAATGTTTGTTTCTTCCTTCCTCAAATCATTGATTTGAGTCCTGGTTTCCTTCCCATCACTGTTGGTTCCCTGTACAGTTCCTTTATTTCACTTTTCATAGCTTTCACTTCTTCCTCTATTTTGTGACTATTTACTGAACCAATTCTGTGAGCATCCTGATTACCAGTGTTTTGAACTATACGTGTAATAGGATGGCTATCTCTTCATCACTTAGTTGTATTTTTTCTGGAGCATTGATCTGTTTTTTTGTGTGTTTTTTTTGTTGTTTTTTTTTTTTTTCATTTGGGCCACATTTTTTGTCTGGACTTGCCTGTTAAGTAGTAAGGGGCAGAGCCTTAGGTATTCACCAGGGCAGGGCATACTACGGTGCTGCTTTCTGGTTATTTTTTGTCTTTAAATTTGTTGTTGCCCTTCTTTTGGTTATGCAAGGAGGCAAAGTATATCTACCTGCACCTCCACTTTGACTCTAAGTTGACTGTAAGTTTTTGAATATTGATGAAAAATGTGAATTTGCAGATCCATACTATCCCAAGAAGGGTGATAAAGAGGAAGTCATACTTAGACACAACCCAGTGCAGTGCATGACCCCAAAGACAAAAAAAAAAAAAACAGCACTAGGGAAAAATAGGCATTTGCAAACATTTATAAACTAGAATTACAGAATTAGCCGTAATAGGAGAAAGTAGTGGGAAAATATCTTCAAAGAGTTGAGAGAAGGTCATTATCAATGTGAAATTGCATGCCCATCAGCTCTCTGAAGAATGAGAATGCAAATACTACAGATTAAAATTACAGAAATTAGCCCTGGCTGGCATAGCTCAGTGGATTGAGCTCGGGCTGTGAACCAAAGTGTCACAGGTTCGATTCCAGTCAGGGTACATGCCTGGGTTGCAGGCCACAGCCCCCAGCAACCGCACATTGATGTTTCTCTCTCTCTATCTCCTTTCCTTCCCTCTCTAAAAATAAATAAAATCTTTTAAAAAAATGACAGAAATCACCACTAAGAAAGCTACACTAAGCTAGACTAAAGGGATTTTGAAAGGCTGTTCTTTAAGAATCTGTATGTTTTAGGAACAATAAGCTAACTCTCCAAATTGCAGATACTTTGAGTGGAGAGAGATGACAAGAGTGAAATAGAAATGGAGTCAGTATAGTTTTCTCCAGATATAATATTGTTAGTCTAGATAAAGCTGAAATGCCTGCTTTTGCATTTCTCCTACTTACTATTTTTGTTATTTTTGTGATGTGGACATGAGGTATATGGTGGCACAGATATTTGCAATACATATTCTATAAGGTTTTCTTTTATTGTTAACTGTTTTACATTCTGGAGAATAGAACAAGTTGAAACAAAATGACCTTGAGTTTAAGAACTCGATATCTTAATAATAGGAAGGGAATGTTTGGCCTTGCATATATAAAAGAAAACTTTTCACAGAATTAACCATTTAGTGAGTGCTTTCTGTGTCAGATACGAGTATGAGCGTTTTGTGTGGTGTTGCATGTGCACCTGTGGTAATAATCCCTTTAGTTTGATGCTCTTATTATTGCTATTTTATGCTGAAGAAACTGAGATTCAAAATAGTTTGACTACTAACTCAAAGTGCATCTACAAGTAGCAGAGTAGAATTAGTAACCAAACTGATTCTCACACAGAAATTTGCTTCAACCACAGGTTTTTCTGTGTGGTACCCTGGGCTGAAGAGCCTGTTGAGATGATTGCTATTCTTGTTACCTAGGTACATTTATGCCTCTTGAAGTTTATGCTGTGCAAAGGGGAAACTAACAGTGTTACTGGAAGCATGTGGTGGGGGGCGAGGAAGGTGTGGGAGAGAGCAGCTCTGGTGTAGCAGAGGGGCCCACAGACAGAAACAGAAAGTATCCCCTTCCACATGCAGTTAAGTACTGAGTTAGAGTCATTCTTTATACGTAGTTTTGATTTCTAAAACATTTTTTGTATGTGGCAGAAGCTTTTAAATTAGGATTTTTTTTTCTAGTGGAAAGAGTGAAAGAACAATTAAAGCTTTCCTTGGAAAACAAGAATGGCATAGTGCAAACTGGTGAATTAATGGTTGTGCTGGATGGATTGGTGATTGAGCCAGAAAATCTAACAAGCTGCAACTCACCTCCAACCAGTAAGCTAACTGTGTGTTTTTAAAAATTAGGAAGAAATCATCAGGAAGTATATAAAAACCTAGTTTCTTTCTTTCTTGTTATTCAGTAGAAATACAGCAAAATGGTGATGCCTTACATGAAAATGGAGAGCCATCAGCCAGGACAACGAACAGGTAGAATATCAAATTTTAGTGATTGTGGCAAAGTAATGTAACATTTCCTATATATATAGTTTTTAATTTTAACCCTAGAGTTTATCATAGAATTTAAAACATGTCATTTGGATTGAATTCCTGAGGAAGTAGTTTAAAAAACCAGCTCTATTGAGATAAAATAAATACACCATAAAATCCACCCTGTTAAAGTGGACACTTCATATTTTTCGGACCATAAGACACACCTCGGTTTTAGAGGAGGAAACTAGAGAAAAAATTTTTTGAAGCAAAAAATGTACAATATTTAATAACATAAATAACATAATATTTCACCAATATAAATGTAAACAGAACTCATTAGCAGCATTAACAACCATTATTCCTCCCAAATGGGGGAGAGCCTCCTACCCGTGCTTCTTATAGTCTGAAACATACAGTAAGTGGCTTTTAGTGTAATCACAGAGCTGTGTACCCTTTCTTACCATATGATTTGAGAACACTCTCATCACCCTCAAAATGAAACTCTGTCTCACAAGTATTCTGTCCCTATTCTTGCCTCCTCCCAGCCCCTGGTCTGCTTTCCATTTCAAAAGATTCTCCTATTTTGGACATTTTATATCATTGTAATTATATGTGACCTTTTTTGTCTGGTTCGTCTCACTGAGCATGATGTTCACCCATGTGGTAGTGTATGTCATTTCTTCATTCTGTCTTACTGCAAATGGGCTTTTAAAAACCCATTCAAGTATTTAGGCATACTTATCAGTAAATAGAGACAGATTGTGTGGGAAAACGAGAGTCTTGCTGTCAGAATTGTAGTTCCCTGAAGATCACTGGAAGATAAGATGTGGTCTTTCCTCAGAAATCATCCTGCCATTTCAAAACTTGCTTGCATTCACATTTGGTGACCATTTATAGAGGCTTTCTGTTTAAAGTAACTTAAATTGGAATAAAAGCTTATAATAAGTCGTATATAGTGGAATGAACACCTGAAATCATGGAAACATATTGCTGTGAAAGTCACTTGTTGCATTTAAAGAAGCATGCTAGTATGTGACAAAATGTCACCTTTATCAATCTGCCGTCATTAATATCATTACTCTTAAATACCATTAAATGATTCTCATAGAGCACTGAATATATATTTGGTTTAAATAAATATATTTAGTAACCATATTATAATTTACATTGAGAAAATTAAGGACTGAAAGGGTAAATGGTTAGTTTCATTAAAATGTATGTGTTTGTATACATGTCTATTTTGAAATACAATTTTAAATGTTTAAAAGAGCTTGACTCACTACCAGTCTGTAACCTACTGTTTATTGCATAGTAACACATTTTGCGTCAAATATTAATTCTGCAGCCCAGGAGAACTTCAGGCGGGCTCTTTACCTGGACTTCTTGCTGGATGGCTAGGGTGGGGTGTATCCATAAGAATCACTCATGGGCATGAGCTTTTGTCAGACTTTACCTGCCCATACTTCCTCAACATGCCCCACTGCACATGCACAGGTGACAAGGAAAGGGGGTGTGACATTTCTTCATGCATCAGATACTTATGAATGCCTGTTTGATGGCAGACAGTAGTCCTAATGCTACACATGCCTATACCCATGGAACTCCCATTCTGGTGGATAGTGAACAACTGAGGAAATAAATTAGCTAATCAGAGAGACTGATGAGAGAGCTATAGTGACATGATGGAAGGGAGCCTGTTTTAAAGAAAGAGGTCCAGAAGCCATCTCCAAGGAAGTGCCCTTAGAGCTGAAGTTGAAAAGCTAAAATGAAATATTTATATAGAGTTCTGAGGGAAGAGCATTGAGGCAGAGGAAATGACAGTGCTAGGACCCCAAGTTTATTTCTGGTGGATCTTATGTTCTATAAATTCTTCCCATTCCAGAATATAATAATTAAATTTTTAGTAATCTTGTAGTCTTTATGACTTTACTGCCTCACATATAATAGTTTTTAATAAACATTTGAAGGCTTCAGCATGCTTTTTATATTTAGTAAAATTGTTATAGTATACTTTCTGTGAGGTGAGCAAGAAGGACCTTGGAGAATAGGTTGTAGCGGTAGACAGGGTGAGGGGCTGGTTTTTGAAAAGCTGTGTTGATTATGGTCAGAAGTCTCGATCTCATTTTAAGCAGGGAAGGGACATGTTCTGATTTATATTTTTCTTTAAAAAGTGAGGCTGCTCTATGCAGACCAGGTAGAGTGACGTGTGTATTTGGGAGAACTCTCCTGGTCACTTAAGCAGTATCACCCCACTCTCTGTCAATTGCCACTAAGATTTAAAATGTTTGATTTTTGTGGTTGTAGTTTTGTTTATTTACAGTGAATTTATATACTATAAATTCTAACTGTGGTGCAGTGTTTAGCTTTTTCTGATCATGTACTCATTTTAGTGCTTAGTAAATAATTTACAGTCAACATTTGAAGACTTTTCAGTGTTCAATAACATTACAATAGTTTCAAATTTATTGTTATGTTTCATGAGCATTTTGAAGACACTTTCAGGGCATTTAAAATAAAGATTAATATTCTTAGACTTAAATAATTAAATGTATAAATTGAACATTATTTTGAGGGATTGAATTCATTTTGATTTAGTATAGTTGTATTTTTTAGTATAGATTTATCTGCCAGTATGGAATATACTTAGAACTGAAAATAATTTAGATTTCCATGTTACAAAACATGCCATAAATTTGTTCATTATTCTCTGTATCTGTCAGTTTGCTTGAATGATAAGAACTCAGTAACTATTCTTAAGAAAATTCTTATGTAAAGTTATTTAATTGTACTGAACTCATTGAAGTGAGGCATTTTTTTTTTTTGAAGGTTGACTCCTGAAGGTCCAAATGGAATAGATAACCATGTACCTTCCAGCACTGTGGTGCAGAATTCATGCTGTTCACCTGTAGTTAATGGAGACAGTGCACCTTCATCTCCATCTCAGGGTGCTGCCAGACCCCGAAACACACCAGCTCCCAAACCACTCACATCTGAGCCAGCCAGTGATGCTGGTAAGTATGCCTGTTTGGACACATTGTGTACATGAAGACTCAGTGACACTTACATGCCTGTCCCTACGTTCTTCTTAGTATACAATCTTTCTTTTTTTTCTTTTTTTTTTTAAGATTTTATTTATTTATTTTTAGAGAGGGAAGGGAGGAAGAAAGAGAGAGAGAAACAGAAACATCAATGTGCGGTTGCTGGAAGTCATGGCCTGCAACCCAGGCATGCACCCTGACTGGAAATCGAACCTTACGACACTTTGGTTCACAGCCCGAGCTCAATCCACTGAGCTATGCCAACCAGGGCAGTATACAGTCTTTCTTAATCCTCAGATCTGCACTAGGAATTTTAAAATGACAATGCCTGAATTTTTTGGTAATAATTTTGAATTCTCTAGATTATTTAGGCAAGTATGCCAAAAATATGTTCATTTAGAGATCACAACACATTTCACATAGCAATAGTAATATTGATGGCTAGATTTTTAGGCTTTATGCCACAAAAAAAATCACTAATTCATAACAGGGAATATATTTCTACAAGAACTTAAGAGAATTCATTGATTTGTCAGTAATGAATGGTTCCTTTAACATATCTCTTAGTATTCAAATATTTCCTGGTGTGTGACTTAGTAGAAAAATGTACTGTGAGTTGATACAGCTCCCAGAGAGTTTTATATTTTTTAAGGATATTATCTATTATAGTAGGACTGCCTAAGGAAAATTTCCTCTGATTCTAGTTTGCAGTGGAATCAGCTACAAATGTTATGAATTATTTTTTACTTGATCATTATATATTAACCTTTTCAGATGAATCTCTTGAAACACAAACATTTTAGGACTTGCTTAAGATAACTAGCATGTGTGCTTGGCTAGAGTCCTAATCTCTTGATCCAGAGCCTGTGTTCTTTCCTGTGTTTTCTGCTCCTAGTAAAAAGTAGAAACGTGCAGAGAAGAAATTCAGTGATTCAATGAAAATAGATGGATTTATAGATAAGACAATTTGTATTTATACTCAAGTTTGGAGAGTATTTACCATGTGTTTTCCTGAAAGTTTTTGTAAACATGGAACTGATATGAATTTTTTAAAGAATTTAATTGGTTTATTAATGCTGCCTTTTAAACATAATATGAACTTAAATGTCTTAAGTACCAGAATAGGTAGAAGTTTTTAGTCATTAAAGTGGCTGAAAAATGAAGAATATTTTCATTTAACTAGGGTAAAAGTAGGGAGCAAATGCATTTATTTTCTGATTCTGACCTTCTTTCTAGTAAGAACATTTGTCTCATATTTCTGTTAGCAAAGCAGGAAAGGAAACATCACCTTAGATTTTCCAGGATTGTCTCTAAATCAAGAACAGATCAGTTAAAATAAGTACTGTCCCTGAGACTCTAACTTTTATGGACCAGAATGAAAAGACACCATAATGTGAACAGCATCCTCAATAATTCCAAGAGTAAATACAATAGTGAGATTCCTAGAACTCTGCCTTATGTTATTTGTCCTAGATTAAATATTACAGTTTTTAAAAATAGCCTAAGGAAGTACCTAAAGAAAGGACCAAAATCTTATTTTTTAAAATTATTAACATATAGAAAAATGGTTTATGTGAATATCAGAGTTCTTTACAATAAAGCATGAATCTAATGCTTTTTGGCCAGAGGGGTTTTGAGTTATCGAATATCCATCCCAAGAAACATGATGGGAAAAAAAACCTAGTTATGTACCCATAAGAAATTATATTTTAAATAATGTAACTCCCTTGCAAACTCTCCAAAGAGGCTGTAAAAAAAAGAAAAATAAAACCTTATGTGACCAAACAAATGAGTGATTTGTTCTATGGGATTAGTGTTGGATTCAGAATAGTAGATCCACTTCCATTCCTTCTGGATGTAATTAGATGGCAGGGCCAGTTATTAACTAAATCCACTCCTGATGGATTTATCCACTAAATCCACTGATGAAACTATAAGAATGCTCATTTTGGAAAGGCTTATACCAACACTCTTTCATTCTTGTCAGAACTCTCATCTAAAGTATATTAAATTTGGAGATTCAGTGCTTTTTGCTAAAATATTTGGCTATTTGAGTTGACAGCTGCAGGGACCCATTACTACCAGTTCGTTGCATGTTTTGGCATTTGGGTGTACACAGGTGTTGATGCAAAAGGGATAATCTCTTATTTACACCCTACAACTTGTCAGGTACTTTAAGAGACTCTTTCCATTGGGAATAAATTCACTTTTTTGTCCATGCCTAAAATCCCAAGGTGAAAATAAAACACTAGATGAGATGTGAGGAACTAGAAATGAAGGCTTATCATGAATAATTCCCATGACATTCACAGTAACTGCAAGGAACCTAAGACAATCAGAATAATAATAGTGGCTAACATTTGTGCTATACCTGTTGTAGACACTGTGTGCCCATTTCCCAATTTAACCATCACAATAAATCTGCAGTAGATACTAGTCCTGGAGAGGACCTGAGGCTTTAGAGCTCATGGCTAGGAGGAGGAGGCACTGAATTGCCACCCAGCTCTGGCCCTCTGCTGTGCCCTCTGCTTTCCCTGCACCTGGATGTGTGGGATTTTTGTAGTGTCTCAGAGTTTTGCTGTTTGTCTTTCATGCCATGATAGCCATGATTTTCCTCCGGCCAACTTAGTGATTGTTTTCACCTTCTCTGATTATTGTTGGTGACATCTGACAAACAACTGCTGTCATTCCATTGGCCAGTCTACAAAGGCTATGAAACCTGCTCTCTTGGTAGCAACCACTTGACCAATGTCTTTCATACTATCTGTCATCCCTTAGTGGGAGGATGAATAGATGAAGTCAGGTATATTTTCAAGGAATGGTAATCTCTTTTTAAGCTGTTACTGTAAAAATGGTATTCTTTTTTTTAATTAAGGACTTTAAAAATTAGTTTTCATTGTTGGAGTGGGGATGGGAATGTGCATGTTCTGTATCTCACATATGACAGGTTTTTAATCCCTTACCTAAAACAACCAAATTTCTAAAATCTTTAAAAACAAATTTTTGGGGGGTGAGAGGCTGGGGAACCCATTTGGTTGGCAGAATGACTAGAACTGATTTGAGGATGTTTTGAATTTATCATGCTTAGGATGAGTTTTCTTACCTTTGCAGAAACATTACTGTGCTTAATAACTGTGGGACCCACACCTGCTTGGGTGTTAGCATAATGTATAGAATGTGTGTCATATCACCTTCTTAAGTTCCACAGAGTTATGAGATGTGAAACTGCCAAGGAACTGTGGGCCTGTGCTGAATAAGGAGTTTGAGGCAAAGGATTTCACCAGAGACAGACTGTACGTGATGGCTTCCTGTGTCTCCACCCCATTCTTTTGAGTCTTGACTAAGGGGATCCATTCAATAAGTTTAGTTGCTGTGAATATTGGTCTTTATTTTAAGCTAAATAGTAGGCAGTCATGATGTGGTAAAGATTAGACTCTGCTTCTCATAGGACAAGGTTAATCCCAGCTCTGCCACTTAACACCAATGTGTGACGTTAGTTGGACAAATTTAACTCCTCAAAATTTAGCTCCTTCATTTACAAAAAGAGAATAATACTCAACTAACTACATTATAGGATTGTTTTAAACACAATAACCTAAAACACCTGCCATAGTCCTTGGACAGTGGTAAGAATTTAAGAGAAATATTACTTTTCTACTTCTTCCCTCTTTCCTGAACCTGTAGTATAAAATAACTTTTTCTAATATATAACTATTGTTTTATTAAAAAAATGGATCACAGTTCAATGTGGTAAGTTTTAGGTATGACTAACTGGACTTCTGTTTTTAGCCTTTTGTTTTGAAATATAGATTTCATAGAAAGTTGCAAAGAATGTATAGGAAGGTGTCTCGTTCCCTTCATCAGTCTCCCCCCATGTTGACATCTTACATGACTGTAGTGCAGTGTCAGTGTCAGGAAATTGGAAGGGGCACAGGCCATGGAAGGATAAAATAAGATGTCCCTAAAAATGCGTTTCACTGGGTTAACTGATTATGCCAGACTTCTGATAAATATGTCAATAAATTTTGTTTGTTTCTAGTTTTATTGAATTATAGTCAGAATGTGGCCTCCTGATTGTAGAATTGGGGGTCTTGTTTTGTCCTTTACATATGTCAATTTTTCTAAAAATTCTTAGGGTGTTTGGATGGAAAAAAATGTATATATCTATATATATACACACAGACACACATAGTAGAAACTCAAAAGTACCTCTTTAACTGTGTAATTTAGGTCAGGGTATTGATTGTGTTATTAAAGCCTTCATATACTTAATTATTTTTCTACTAATGCTTTGTTATTTGCATAGTTTTGAGAGGTATATTTAGTTCTTCTTTGATTTGTCTTTATTGATTCAACAGATATTTATTGTTTTCATATGCAAGGCATTTTGTAGCTCTTAGGAATACAAAAGTGAAAAAATTTAAGTTGTTGCACTCCAAACTTAATGAATATAAATAAAAACAAATAAAATGATTTCATAACCTGAGAAACACAACAGGGTCATGAGCCTAGGATGAGGGAGGGGCAGGTACAGCATTAAATAAGATACTCAAGATTCCTGTCCTGAATATGTGTTTGTGCACGTACTCTACCTGATAAGAAGCAGATAGCCTGAAGTCCTCTTAAACTTTGGGACAGCTCATACACAGCCCAGTGCTCAAGGAGCAGGGAGACCACTGTGAGAGGCCAGGTGTAGCTGTGGACCAGACCAGGTAGAGTCCTTGTCATGGCCATGGTCAAGGGTGTGGAATTTTCTCTGATTGTAGTGAGAATGTGCCAGCATATTTACTAGGGGAGTGCAAGATCTATTATGTGGCTGCTATTTGAAGACTGGATGGTAGTTGGGCAAGGAAGGGAGCAGGCAAACCAATCAGGAGACTGTTGCTATAATACAAAGGTGGCAAACGCAAGGCCAAAGGGCCAAAGGCTGAATCTGGCCCTCCACCTTGTTTTATCAGGCCCAGCACCTTATTTCTTCCTGGCAGCAACACCGAGCTCCTTGCTTCCAGTTTGGGAGTAGTTACATTTATACAGTCCTAAAATTACATTTGGCCCTTCGAAGGCAACCGTGAGGCTGATGTGGCGGCCCCTGGTGAAAATGAGTTTGACACCCTGCAATAATAGAAGCAAGAAATTGGTAGGCCAGGCATTAAGGTGACATGCAGAGCACAATTGATTGTGCTGTTTGATATCAATATTTAATCCTCTTCCTGTTTGTAACTGTATTTTATGTCTGTGCTTCAGTATGCACAGGTTTATGACTGTTTCTTGTTCTAGATTATCTTAAGCATTCCTCTTTTCCCATTTAGTGTTATTTTGCTTTGAAAAGACTACTCCATCTTTTCTTTTGTGGAAAATAAATGCATACCATTGGAGAGTACATGCTAGATGAGACTGTTCTTGTGAGTGCACATTGGGTGGGAGACCCAGAATTTAGTCTCTGTGCACTTTGTCTGCATGTTCTCTGACAGTGCTGGGAGCAGAGTAATTGTGATAGTTTATTTCTCATAGTTCATTCCTGATGTTTTTCCCAAAGCAATTCTCTCCCCACCTTGGTGCAGAACCAGATTGATCTGCCCTTGTTGTGCACTTAAGTTTGACTTTTCAGTAGCGCACTCTTTCCTTGCTTCTACCATGGAAGTCTCTGTCTGTACAGGTTTATCTAATGACCTCATTACTCTTATTTATGGCTCCCTCCCCACTTCAGTGTGAACTTGGAGGTGCAGTCTTCTAATTAGTTATGTTCAATAGTCTTCTCCTCTCCAGTTTTAATTTGACTCACTTTTATGACTACAGTTGAAATCACATTTAAAATGGATGCCAATGCTGGGTTATTTCTCCAGAACACGTAGAGTGAGGTCCTGGAGCACTTCTGCAGCCCCTGTGGTACGTTAGCTTAGTTAATGCCACTGAGTATCCCTGCCATTAACACATAACTTTCAGATTGCCTTGTTCATTTGCCCTTTGCAGTTAATGGAGAATCGACCTCACTTGCACCAACTGATGCCCCTCCTGCCATGCTGACTGCGGTGGTCCCTGAGGATGGCACCTCGTCACCAAGTTGCATTGGAACCTCTAGTGAGGAGGCCCCTGTTCCAGAAGTGCCGGTGTCCTCAGAATACAATGGATGTGTCCTCTCTGATGGAATGATATTCGGGTCTGGGACTGTTGGTGACCTAGACTCTGCTGCCTCTGCTTCTGGAAATAGCTCTGCCTTGGAAACAGTGAAGTTAAGGCAGCCGGGTGGGTGTGTGGAGCCTGGGACGAATGCCAGCACAGAAACCCTGCCCTCAGGGTACGTTACCTCTCAGATGTCTGATCATGTTTGACTGTTGAGTGTGTGTATAAAACTTTTCCAGTAATTGGACTTGAAATCTGATTCATACTATTTATTTGCTACAAAGCAAGTACCTTTCAGGGATGTCCAGCCTTTTGGAACCTCTGGGCCACACTGGAAGAAGAGTTGTCTTGGGCCATACATTAAGTACATTGCTTCATGTAATCACAAAAAAAAATTATAATATTTTAAGTAAATTTACAATTTTGTGTTGGGCCATATTCATAGCCATCCTGGGCCACATGTAGCCTGTGCAGGCTGTGGGTTGGACACCCCTGTTTTAAAACTAAGATCATGCATCTTGTTGAAATACATGCAATATGAGGAGAAAAGAAAAAAAAACAATTTTAATTTGCAGGACTATCTTTTTAAAAAAATATATTTTATTGTTACAAAATATATTTTATTGTTATTGGGACAACTGTTACAGTTGTCCCATTTTCCTCCCTTCACTCCCCTCCACCCTGCACACACCCTTCCACCCACATTCCCCCCTTCAGTTCATGTCCATGTGTCATACTTATAAGTTCCTTAGCTTCTACATTCCCCATATTATTCTTATCCTCCCCATGTCTATTTTCTACCTACCTTCTATGCTACATATTCTCTGTACCTTTTCCACCTCTCTCCCCCTCCCACTCCCCTGTTGCTAACCCTCCATGTGATCTCCATTTCTGTGGTTCTATTCCTGTTCTAGTTGTTTACTTAGTTTTTGGTTTTGTTTTAGGTGTGGCTGTTAATAATTGTGAGTTTGCTGTCATTTTACTGTACATGTTTTTTATCTTCTTTTTCTTAGGTAAATCCCTTTAACATTTTATATAATAAGGGCTTGGTGATGATGAACTCCTTTAACTTGACCTTATCTGAGAAGCACTTTATCTGCCCTTCCATTCTGAATGAGAGCTTTGCTGGATAGAGCAATCTGGGATGTAGGTCCTTGCCTTTCATGACTTGGAATACTTCTTTCCAGGCCCTTCTTGCCAGAAAGGTCTCTTTTGAGAAATCAGCTGACAGTCTGATGGTAACTCCTTCGTAGATGACTGTTTCCTTATCACTTGCTGCTTCTAGGATTCTCTCCTTCATTTTATTAATCTTGGCTAATGTAATTATGATGTGCCTTGGTGTGTTCCTCCTTGGGTCCAACTTCTTTGGGACTCTCTGAGCTTCCTGGACTTCCTGGAAGTCTATTTTCTTTGCCAGAATGGGGAAGTTCTCCTTTATTATTTGTTCAAATAACTTTTCCACTTGCTGCTCTTCTTCTTCTCCTTCTGTTACCCCTATAATTTGGATGTTGGAATGTTTCAAGATGTCCTAAAGGTTCCTAAGCCTTTCCTCATTTTTTTAAATTCTTATTTCTTCATTCTTTTCTGATTGTGTTTTTTTCTTCCTTCTGGTCCACTCCATTGATTTGAGTCCTAGTCTCCTTTCCAGCACTATTGGTTCCCTGTACATTTTCCTTTATTTCACTTAGCATAGCCTTCATTTTTTCATCTAATTTGTGACCAAATTCAACCAGTTCTGTGAGTATCCTAATTACCAGTGTATTGAACTGTGCATCTGATAGGTTGTCTGTGTCTTCGTCATGTAGTTGTATTTGTTCTGGAGCTCTGATCTGTTCTTTCGTTTGGGACATATTTTTTGTCTTGACACACCTTTTACATAGTGAGGGGTGAAGCCTTAGGTGTTCACCAGGGCGGGGCAACCCAGTTGCTGAGTTGTGAACCCTGTATTTGGGGGTGGGGTCAGAGAGGGAATGACTTGCTTCACTCTCAGCCAGATTTCAGTCCCTTTCCCCACTTCCCCCAAGCAAATTGGGCCCTTCTGGTGCTGATTCCTGTGAGGGTGGGTTTGTGTATGTTACATTCTAGGACCCTGTGGGTCTCTCCAACGAGCTATCCTGTGAAGCTGGGAGTTTTTCCTGGCACCTCAACCCCCACAGGTGTTTTCCATTGGTGTTTTCAGGTTTTTATTGCCCCACACTGGGACCCTGGGTTGTGTAGGATCCTCTTGACTCGATTCTGGTGTATTCTTTTTCTAAGAGTGACCATGGCACCACCCATCATAACCTCAGCTCAAGACTCCTTTGTGCACTGGTCTATGCACCCCATTCTTGAGAAAAAGCAGGTGTTTCCTCTGTTAATCCTGAATGTTGGGGAGTCATCCATCTAACCCTGATGATGGGTTATTATATACTTGGGTTTTCATTGCTGCTCAATGATTCTTAACTTCTGCATTTCCCATGGTCCTTATTCAGCATCATAGGGTTTGCTTTGATGAGTGCAGTGTATGTTTGTTTTGTTTGGTCATCTCTCCCATGGTCACTCACAGGTTGTTTACTCTCTGCTTGGCTCTGAAGATACTAATATTGGGTTGGCCAAAAAATAAAAGATAAATTGTTTTCATTTTCACCAACAACTTTATTGATTTGGATATTTTGAGTATGTCGGCTATCTCCTGCATGGTTTAATGTTGATTGTTCTCAATTACTGTCTCGATTTGGTCACTATCAACTTCAACTGGTCTACCCTACCATGAAGCATTGTTCAGCATATCTCCAGTATGAAACCTTGCAAACCACAGTTGACAATCACAGCACCTTCTCCATACACTGCACAAACCTTTTTTTGAGTTTCCGTTGCATTTTTACCTTTCTTGAAATAAAGCGTACTATGCCAACAATGTTGCTTATTTTCTTCCATCTTCAACAAAAATTCACCAGTTTTGATAAGCTTTTTTTTAAATGCGTGCTGATACGACAGCTGTCAGAATACAATCTAACAAAATTGTTTTGATTGTGGATAAAGACAACTAAGCACTACTGGAGCCACCTTAAGGTAAAACCCAAAAGAACTTTCTGGCCAACCCAATATTAATGATTCCTTGTCTCTGCCTTTGAGAGGTTTATTTAGTGGCTCACACTTGTAAACATGCATTCAGGATACAGTTGAAAATGCTGGATTGGGGTCTGGACACAGGTCGAACACTGGCATGTCTGCTCTGTGTCCAGCAGTCACATCTCTGGGGTCTGGCTTATAGCCCTCGTGCTGTCACTACAGTCCATGGTGTGCCCACTGTTCACACTGAGAGCTGGAGCTGGTATGCTCAGGCTGTCCCCTGGCTCTCACTGGGTGTGTCCACTGCCTTCCTGGTTCCAGCTGCAGTCCTCTGTACTTGTGCCCTTATGGAGGCTTGCACTGTCCCTCACTTTAGCTGTTCAGGCTCTGTGTCCAGATAGACCTTTCTCTGCATTTGTTTCCAACCTCCTACAGAATGGGAAGTCCCCACTTCTGTTTCCTGCAAGCATTTCAGACCATCCACTGCCCTCCCTGCCCCTCAAAAAATCTCTCATTGTCCCTTTGTCTCCTGTCTTTGGCAGCTTATTCATTTATCCTAATTTGTTATGTGTCTGCAACTGTGACACACCCACGAGGAGCTGTTGTTGCTGTCAGGAACCTCATACTCTAGGGGGTAAAGCTAGGCAACCAGGGACTGCATAGTACAGGGACAGCTCTGCCAGAGTTTAGTCTACGATGCAGTGGGGGTGCCTTGTCAACTGACATCAAAGAAGTCTTTCTGGGAGAGATTACCCTGAAGGGGCTTTCTCAAGAGTAGTTGAGGCAGTTGTTGGTGGGCTCACTCAGGGGAGCTGAGTACATGTTCGGGTCACTGTCATCATAGAAATGGGTAAGCCACACTCAGGAAAGAGCATCTGTTCCTGCTGGAGTTCAGCACTGGGGAGGCAAGGTGTGAGTGCTGAGGTATGAGTATGTGAAGCATGTGAATCCCTGCAGAGGGGCTGACAGTTTGTCCTGAAAACCAGGAGTGAGTACTCATGAGTTTTAAGTGGAGGGGTGTGTGTCATACTCAAGTGTGATGAAGGTTATGCTGGCAGTCCTGTAGACTGAGTAGGGGACAAGAGAGTAGCTGGGCTGTTCTATGAAAGAAGCAGTCATTCTGATTCAGATCAGTGAGGACAGAAACTGAGTTCTGCGGGGGTCACATCAGTGCTTCAGGCACTGTACGTGGTCTGGACAGTAGGAGGATGTCACAGATTATGACCAGAATTTGAACACCTAATGAAGTGACTCAGTACAGATGAGAATAGGAAATATTGACATGGGTGATATATAGTAAGAGTGAGCGCTGTTTCCAGAAGGTGTGTTCTCCTAGTGTGTTTGTATAAAACTAAATAAATTGCATTTAGTATACACAAGATGTTAGAGTAAAATGTAGTTCTTACTCTGTGAGCTGTGGGCCACTGACCCCTGAGAGAAATTAAAATAACCCAAACTAAGGTGGTTGCTGGCCTTTCAGGGTGATGTTAAGATGGGCCTGGGAATTAGTTGGGAGGAAAAGGAGGAACAGGAGAGTGGAGCCCATGTGGGTTCTGGCTCTGGTAGGACTTGGCTGGTGTAACCCAGTTAGTGTTCATATCTATATCTTTCCTTCTTTCCTCAAAAATCTTTGAGTTCCTATGCCCCTGTGTTTCCCCTCTGGTTTCTTACTCACTTGTTTAGCTACCTGCCAATAGCATTACAGTGTTCTCAGAGAGAGTGTTGGGTCTTGGGAACGACACTTGCATGTTATGCTGAGCACGATCTCACCTAAGAGCCTGTGTTGGCTGTGACTTGTGTGAAATGTTCCTTCTATATACACAGCTCAAGGTAAGGCTGTCTCATTCCACAGGACTTTCCTGCCCTCTTCCAATCCCCTGCCCACATCAGGCCCCTCTGTTCCAACTCTTACACTGCTCTATTTTTCCCATCCTTTTTTTTATGAAAATTTACAAACATGCAGAAAACTTAAAGAATTTTATAGGGAACACTTATATACCTATTACCAGATTCTACAATTGACATTTTACTGTCTGCTTTATCTCATATCTCTTCATTTCTCTGCCTATCTGATTTTTAAGTGCATTTCAGGAAGTTGCAGATACCAGTACATTTCACCTCTCACTTCAGCTTGCATATCACTAACTGGAGTTCAGTATTTGTAAAATTTTTTAGGTAAAGTTTGCATAGGAGGAAATGTACAAGTCTTAAGTGTACCATTTTGATGAGCTTTGACAAATGCATACATCTGTTAACCCCAAACCCTTGTAGATGTACCATCACCCCCAAAAGTTCTCTCAAACTCCTTTCTCAGAAAATTCCTGTAACTACTTTTAGAGAGGCAGTCACTGTTCTGACTTTTTCTGCTACAGATTATAGGTTAGTTTTCCCTGTTGTAGAACTTAATATTAATGGATTCATTGTGAACTCTTTGAGTCGGGTTCATTTCATCAGCATGAGGGATGGAACTGGTGTTGTTTTTCTTGTAGCAGTAAGATTGCCTGGTGGTGATTTATTCTATTTTTGTGTTATCATCGGTTTTCTCTCTTTACTACATTGATAAAGGGGGTTTTTTTTCCATTTCTGTATTACTTGTGCCTAAAACTGTGTCTGCTGTTTTGTTCAATTAGAATTAGAGCTTAAGTGAGTGATTTTGAGTGAGGGAGCAGTTGGGCAAAGGACCTGGCTTGTAAATACGTCTGAGGAAATGCTTGACAAGGTCAGAATATACTGAAAATTTCAAGGAAGATAAGAAATGAAAGACACCATTGAATTTAACAACAAAGAGGTTATTTGCTGCTGACCTTTGACAAGTAGTTTTGGGAAATGATGAGAGCTGTATTCAAGATGCTGCAAGGTGGAGCTTGGGAGATGGGGTGTGACAGCAACTCTTACCCTCTCCCGGTGAACACATGTGGAAGTGGGTAAGAAAAGACAGAACTGGGGGCAATTGCTTGTTTTATGAGTTGAGATAGGTGAAAGGGTGTCAGCTGCTGAGGGGATCGTGGGACAGCAGGTGAGCAGGGCAGGAGAGAGGTGACTGGGACTGAGCTTGTGAGAAGGAAAGTTCACCCTCTACCCTGTTATTCAGGTTTGAAACCCATAATTATACAGTCATTAACTAAATTCTATTGTTTTTATTGTAATATATTTCACAAAACTCTTCCAAATTTACTTTTTTGTTGTTTTAACAAGGTCTGTGGTAAGTAGTAGGTTTTGAAAATTGTTTTTATGCTTAGTGAGGCAGAGAGACTATATCTAAACACTAGAAAGGAGAATGTTGTGTGGTGAAGGTGATAGTGCCAGTTACAAATAGCACTTCTCTCCAGGAAAATAAAGAGTTCTATTGAGAAGTTTCATTAATCAGTTCAGTAATCTGCACCTATTTAAGGGTTATTCATGAATTTCCACTACTGGATAATGTGGTCTCTGGCCAGTTCCAGCCTGTCACTTTTATAGGACCCATAGGCATACCCAGAGTGCCTCCTTTGCTGCTATAACACCTCTGCCTGCCCTGAACTCCCCAGCACCTTCCTCCTTTGTTGCTGCTGAGGCTACTCTGGTCACCACCTACACACTGAGGGCTCACTTTTGGAGGTAGGGCCTCATCTGGAAGTGACATCTCAGCTAGTTCATGCACTTGGCCAGCTGTCAGGAGAGGTTAGACAGTTTCACTGGAAAGACAGACATTGGCCAAGCTCCTCCCTCTGGGCTAGGACTTCTGTGTCACCAGAATGTTGTCAGCATGTCCACAACCTGAGATGCCCCACCCAGAAAACAAGGTGGGGACACAGCAGAAGTTTTCTCTCTTATTAGGTTTGTATCTACACAGTGATCTCAATTTTGCCTCTTATCCCCCAAAGCATAGAATATTTACTGTCTGGCACTTTACAGAAAATGTTTGTCTCCCTTTGATCTAGAGAATAGAATGTAGACAAAATATAAAGAAGAAATCCTAAAGTAGTTCTGAATAATGTTCTGTGTAGCAAGCAATTTAGTTTGAGAAAGATAAATCCTGTTTAGAACAAAAATACTGAGTTCTGGAAGTAATCTTTCATTTTGGAAAAATTAAGAACCAGTGACTAGCATAAGTGCATACTGAATATTGTTAAATGTTAAATTGGAAATATTTGCAATTGATTTAGGATAAAACTGAAAAGGGCTTTATAGCCTTTTACATGAATGAGGCACTTGGTTCTTTCCTACCCAAATCCCAGAGTATTGACAGCCAGAATTCTACCTTTCCACCCAGAAGACTGGAAATATCTTCCATTGAAGACTTCCCCCACCCCCAAAAAAGACAAAAACACTGCTATCTGTTTGTTCTCCAGTGAAATTGTTTCATATAGCCCTTCCATTAATTCCCACAACCCACAAGCCCCACCCTGACAGACAAAGTCCCCAGGCAATTTTTGGTCCCCTACTCATTAGACATCCAAGGGAAACCTCTTATGGAATGAAAGAAAGAAATCAAAACAAGCAACCTAGAAAATGCTACCAGAAGAAACAGGTTATTTCAATATTCTCAGAGGGATAAGAGTAGATATAACATAAATTAAGCAACATGATGTTATAAAAATGGAATACTCAAAGAACCAAAAGCTCTTCGAAATCTAATTCAGTGGAAGACTTGGCTGATGAAAGTAAAGAAATTTCACAGAAAGTAGAATAAAAAGATAAATTTATAAAATAGGTCTGATAAGAGAAGTTTCAGAAAAAAGAAAATCCTTAATAAAATAACAACAGAACTTTCACAATATGAAGGACTTGATTTTCTTTTTGAAAGGGCTCACCAAAACTCATGTCAAGGGGAAATAAATCTGTATTAAGACACTCTGTTGGGAAAATGTTAGTACTTTGGAGCTGAAGAAAAGAAAATCCTAAGCATTTCCAGAGGTTAAGAAATGGAGGCAAGCAAGTCTTACACTCCTCAGAATGGCATCAGACTTCTCAGAATCCACACAAAGAGCTCTAGGAAACTGTGGCCGATGCCTCCATCATAGAGGGACATAGTGACCTTGAGCTCTGTGTTTAGCTGCACTGTTGAGTGTGAGTACAGACACCTAGGCTTATCCAAGTATCCTGCCCAGGTGTCCTTCTTAGGAAGCTACTAGGACTTGCATTCTCCAACTGGGCAGAGAAAATGAAAGTCATGGACCTGGGAAATGGGGTCTGACGAGGGCTGGAAGGGGTTCTGGTGTTCTCCCAGGGCAACAGACAAGATAAGTACCTGCAGTTAGAATAATGATGGGTATGGAGAAGGAAGAAGGTGGAAGGGCAGAGACAGGGAAACAGCACTCATGTCCTGTTTCTGGCTCAGCTCTCAGGAGGGTTTCCATAGTCATATGAAGAAGGGCCTAGCATGTGTGTTTTGGGGACAGTTGAGAGGAGAGTGAATGTATATGTGCATGTGTGTGCTTGTGCGTGTGCCTGTGTGTGTCTGTGTGTGTATACAGGAGACTGACAGCTTCATCTGTACGCCATGTTCAGGGAATACCTCTAGCAAGTGTGGTCTTTGCATAGGAAAAAAATCACTAAAGACCTCTCTAATCAAAAGGAAATCAGATTTAATTGGGTCCCTGTGTTTAAGAGAAATAAACATATTGTCTATTCTGTTTTCAAATTGAAACCATGAATGTTAAACTCAGAAATACCAGGTTTTCATTTTGTATGTTTGACATATTTCTTCTATATCATGGTATGGGAAGGCTGGAGAGGAAAAAGCAGGGATTACAGAGGAGAAAATGAGAGTGAGTCTTCAGAGTAGAACAGAGAAGATACAGCAGGATGTCTGTAAATTTGTAGGCTTACCCCAAACCAGAGAGAGACAGATATATGCAGAGAGGGGACACTGGGTGCACACAGAGGGAGAATTGTGAGGACACAAAAACACCATATGCTTCTTCAAGGTGGTTTCTGCTGCTCGCCCAGGGCGAGCAGGATCTTTTAGATGTGTGGTTTTGAAATTGCAGGCAAGAATGGATATTACTTCACTGACATTTTGTGCCTTGCGCTTGATCTTAGGCTGAAAGTTTGTCTACCCTTGATTAAATTGATTTTATCTGATGAGTTGGAAATTTGTAAAGTAGTATCTTTTAAAAACTTAACATATTACTCTAGCCTTCTCTGGTAACTATACTTACTGAATCTCCAATTGTGTTAATGAAAAAGGAAATGTGTAAGAACTTAAAAAGCACTAATAATTGAGGGAAAAAAACTTTATAGACTTTTTATAGACTTTGTAGACTTTTAAAGTCAAATATATCTGTAATATATGTATCTGTATCTGTATACTGATTATAAGGAGTCATTCTTCATATTGTTATATTTGTTGTCTTTTACTTATATTTTCACATTTTTTTAAAAGGTGGGAGCAGAGGAAAGATCCGCATGGGAGAACCTATTATGTGGATCATAATACTCGAACGACCACATGGGAGAGGCCACAGCCTTTACCTCCAGGGTAAGGTGGCAGTATTACCATCTTCAGTTGTTTCATCAAACATGGTTTTCAATTTTACATCATATGACATAACGTGATTCTTTCATTCTGCATATTGTTTCCTTACATTGTCTTGAAGGGCTTCCTAAAAGATTGTCCAACACTGGAATGAGTAACTGAGGGTTGTTGCAGAATTTTGGTCCAGTGCCAGTCCCTGTTTAATTTTGTAAGGAATGAAAGACAATTTATATGCATGGTTCTCATAGACAGTGATCCAAACCCCATTTTGTTGTGGGATTTACTGGCAGATATTTGAGTGGTTTACAGTGAAATCCACAGGTTGCCACAAGTTAACTGCATTACATTCCAGCTGATATTATAGAGGGTTTACATGAGGACAGATATTTGTTACCTGCTACTGATACAGTTCATGCTGTTAGGCTGTCACTGAAGGCCACTCACATGATGTCCTTTGTCCTTAGTTTCATTTATTCACCTCATGAGCACATCCCACTGATAGCCTGTCACGGACACTGGCCCACAGTGTCCGCAGCATTATGGATGAGATACGAGACAAATTCACATGGACTACCAAGTCCTGTGGAGGAAAAGGGACAGCACAGCTACCCTCTCAAGGGGAGGGTGCCTCAGAGTGGCCTGGCCACTCTCTCTAGGGGAGAGCGCTGCGCGCCCTTGCCTAGACTGGCTTTTATTGGGTTTAATTTGCACAGGAATACAGGTACAGGTTATTAATCATTGTCAGGCAGTAAGGATCAAACGATAGATAGGATACAAAGAACTATTAGGGCTCATTCTGAGTCAGGGTTTATAGCTAAAAGGCTACAAAATTTTGGGAAACAAACTCATTTCCTGCTCGGGCCTTTATCATTTAATGAAGAGCATTCTTAGCAAAGCAGGTTTCACAGGATTTTACATATCCTTTCTCAGGGCTGATTACCCAGGAGCCCGTCCTTTCCAGCACAGGGCTGCACCGCCCTCTGTCATTATTTCAGGCTTAAGTCAGGCAGAGGCAAGATAGCCGAGAAATTAGGAGACTTCTTGCAGGCAGAATGAGGACTCAGAGTTTGTCAAAGCCAAGGGGCAAGAGTCCATCACCCCCTTTTGCTGTAGCCCCCAAGTCCTTCCCTGGGGCCTACACATGATCATGCCTGTCTTAGGTCGTTCCCCCCTTGGGGAATCTTACCCGTCATTGGCTAATTGATCAAGCATTGGGGGCCAGTTATGAAAAAAGGAGCAGAAGTGGCGTTCTTGCTAGTGAGACAAGCTTTGTCTCCCTAGTGGTTTATGGTCCGAAGGTCACTCACTCAGCCTTAGCCATGGGGGGGGCGGGGGGCGCGGTTACAGCTCCTGAAACCAGTCAGGGTAGCTCCCAACAATAGCCAGCTTGGCTACTATTCATGGTGTCCCCACACTCTTGACTGCACTTGGCATTCCTCCTTATCATCTTTGACACTCAGGAGCTCTGTCCACCAATACATAACACATTCCAGCTCTAGAAAATTCAAGGCAAGGAATATTATTTTGTGAGGTTGGTTGCTGAGAGAATTCTGAGATTGCCATGTAAATTAATGACCACAGTGGGTTCAAGGTGAACTGGACCCTGGAGCATGGATGTGTTTGGGTATGCAGAGACTGGGAAGGACATTCTGTTCCAAGGGACCAAGAGGGTGTTCATGTGGTTCCATATGGTTCTCTTGAAGGTAGCATTGGGATGTTGGGGGGGATGGGACACTGAGGCTGGAATTGGGATGTTTTCTGAGCTGTCCCTGAAAGCTGTGGCAGGTGAGATGACATGACTGCACCTGCAGCTCATATCAGCTATAGGATGGTAGGCAAAAGAACTGTCAAGATTTGAGTTAACATCCTGATGTGGGGAGTGACTGTGGGGTTGATTGCCAGATCATCAGTAAGCACTCAGTAAATGCTTATCAGAAAAGTGGGGAGAACGTGTAGTTGGATCAATTCTGGGATGGTTCAATCTCTGGCTTCTTTTTGAGACTATTCTTATGTTACCAAACCAAAGAAGGAGGGTTCATCTGCCTCCTGCCACAAAAGCCAAATTCATGAAGCAGTAGCAGGTGAAAAAGGAAAGAGGTTTTATTCAGAAGCTACATAATCTGGGAGAATGGCGGACTCCCTGTCTCAAAGCCATCTCCTTTGCGAGACCAACAATCCTCAGCAAGACCAAAACAAAAGCCAATGCCTAGGGTTCCTGCTCCACCTTGAAGTATATCCTTTGGAGTCTGCAGGCGGCTGCTAAGTGGTCATCCAGGTAGCTTAGCTTGTTCCCAAAGCTGCCCATTTCAGGCTCCGTCCTGGAACCTGCATGTGGAGCCAGTGCTGCCATGGGCCCTGTAGCTGTTCGCTCCTCAAGGTTGTGTACTCCCAGGGTAGAGAACATGCCAATGCATGCTTCACCAGGTGGGAGAGAGAGCAAGAGTCTCCCTCCTGGAGGCTATGGGCCATGTGGCTGCTGAGGCTGCTAAGGCCACATGGCCCATAGAGAGTACAGGCAAGTTCACTCTCTTAAGTGCAGGTCACGAGCCAGAGAGCCATGAACAAGAGAGAGAACATTCTTTGTTCCCCTGTGTTTATATTGACTTGGATGTGGGATGGACCAGGTACTTTCCCAAAATGACTGATTTCCCAAACTTTTGTGTGCTTTGGTTAGGTCCACTCCCCAACCAATCCCATCTTTCCCCAGGCTACACTGACAGGCCTCTTAGGTCCAGCACGTCTCCTGCTGCCATTTTGACTTCTCTGGCACATGTGCCTGTCTTCCCCTGGTCTCACCACCAATCTGGTACTGGAGGGGCAGGGGGTAGGTACTCAGTGTAAGAACCTCCACTTGCCACTATCTTGGCCAGGGGTGTTACTCCCTGGGCCAGCCATCCACCAGTAATACTTGGAAATCATGCAGTGGCAGAATAGAAAGTATTTAGTTAAGATAGTTATATGTTCATAGCTTTTCTTTTTCTTTTTTTATCATGGGTTTTTTTTTTTCCAGCTTTATTGAGGTATAGTTGACAAATTGCAACATATTTGAAGTGTACAACATGATGATTTAATGTATGTTAACAGTGTAAAAATTCCCACAGTCCAGTTAATTCACACATTCTTTACCTCACGTATTTCCCTTTGATTTTGTCCCCCCCTCCCCAAATTATTTAACCATTTGCCTGTTGAAGATTTGGGTTGACTAAATCTTCTAAATCTGCTTTAGTCAGTTGACTCACTAAAATAAAGTAAGTTGCTGTTATTACATTCATGTGTAGGATTTTGTGTAAAAATAAATTTTTGTCTCACTAGAGTAGATGCATAGGAGCAGTATTGCTAGATCACATGGTAATTGTATTCCTTTTTTTGAAAAGTGGCAAATTGTATTTCAAAATGTCTTTACAAATTTATATTCCAGCCAGCAGTGTATAAAAGATTCATTTTCTCTGCCCCCCTTGACAGCATTTTGCGTTAACATGATTTTTATTTTAGTTGTTCTAATATATGTTCATAGTTTTTCTGAAGAATATTGTAATTTACATTTTTTAAAGTTATTTTATCATGGCTTGGACTTGGTTTTTAAATTATTTGCTTGTAGTATTAACTACTTCTCATTGCCTTCTACTGAGATTGTTTATTTTTATTGTCACTTGGTGTTAGCTGGGAGAGAAGAGTGGACGACCGTGGCAGGGTGTACTATGTGGACCACAACACTAGGACAACCACGTGGCAGCGGCCGACCCTGGAGTCGGTTCGGGACTTTGAACAGTGGCAGTCACAGCGCAGCCAGCTCCAGGGTGCCCTGCAGCAGTTCAATCAGCGCTACCTCTACTCAGTGAGTGCATGTGGCCCCTGGGTCTGCCTCATTCACTGCATTACAATCTATTGCACTCCATTCTGCCATGCTGCACTCTATTGCATTCCATTCGATTGTGCGTCATTTGGCTGCATTTCATTCCATTGCATTGCATTCAGCTTTATTCCATTCTGCAACATTTCATTCTACTGTATTTTCCTGTGTTACATTCTACTGCACTACATTCTCCTGTGTTCATTTCACTGCACTGAGTTCTGCATTCTGTTTACAGTACTGCGTTCTATCATATTCCATTCTACATTCTATTCTGCTGTATTTTATTCTACTGCACTGCAGTCTACTGTGTTACATTCTTCTGCACTGCATTACATGGCCCTTCACAGTCAACCTTTGATAAATAATTAGCATTGCTTGTGATATAACCACTTCAAGCTTTTAAAGAAATTTTTTAGTATACTAAGAGAACTTACTCATTGTCCTTATTAAATGGTAGCTTCATAATTGCAACTTCTTTATGAAGTACTATGCCTTTACAAATTCCCATTCTTCTGCCTTTAATTGTGATAATTTTACTGGCTTTAAATAAAAGTAGTTAGCTCCTGATTGTACTTAAGGCTAGCCTCATCATACACAAACTACTTTGGGTCTCTTCCCAGGTTCTGAAACAGCACTTCACTCTCTTTTTGGCCTGTCAAAGATGTTCCTGGGATTGGGGACGCTTTTGTCCAAAAAAAATTATAATATACCTGAATATTTGACCATTGGTGATTTATTTATTGCCATAAGTAAACGTCCACAAGAAAAATTGAGGGAAAAAACCCTAAAAAAATTGCTAAATGTATTTGATCATAGGAAGGAGAAAATATAAATTTTAACTACTGGGCATCTGTAGATAGTGTTTTTGAAGCAACTTAAACCCCAAATATAGAGGCTGGTAGATGGGCAGGAGGTAGCAAATACATGAAGAGAAAAATCAGCCTTTCCGAGTCCTGCCTTGTTCATAGGTGAGATGATGAGGTTTCTTGTACAGGTGACCCCTTTCCTGCTATTTGCAACCAGGGAGGAGTTGTAGGCCACCCAGCTGCCACCCATCGATCTTACACAGAATCTGTGGTGATATACATCATCTGGTTGAATATAGTAAACCAGGAGTTATGTAGTGTGAGTATGCATTTGGTGGGACTTAGGTATACACAGGAACACCTTGGGGAAACAAGGCAAACTTGGGTAAGAGGTATGTATCAGAACTGTGTTCTCCTGCACATGACAAAACATCCTTGAATGGATTGAGGGTTAGTTGTTGAAGAGTAATGCCAAGTCTGGGGAGGAGTCGAAGCCAGTCCTCACTGGCTCAGTAATGCCATCAGAGGCCTGGGCCTTTTCTGCCCTGAAGGAGCATGGCTCCTTTGTCCTCATGCTTCATGCTTCTTACCTTCATCCTGTGCAGTTGCTTTCCTTGGGCCTCACTTCCCCAGTTGAGGCAGAAGGATGGAGAGGGATGTAAAAGGGAGATGGCTTTTTCTAGTAAGCTTTTGCCCTTTTATTCAGAAATGGAGGCCCTCAGCAGGAACCTCTGCCCAGACCTCCTTGTTTAGAATGGTCATCCCACTAGCCAGACCTGTGCACAGGAAAATAGAGATGGATCATTCCTAGCCAGCACATCACTGCCCTCATAGAACATTGGCTGCTTCTGAAGAGGAGAGAGGAGGGACACTGAGTACAGGTAGCAGCAGCTCTTCCAAAGTGATAAAATGTTCATCAAGGTGCATGTATGTCATCATTGAGGAATGTCTTTTCAGGGCATGATTTTACATTCGTTATTATTTTCAAATTGATGACAGAATGTTTACATGTGCTTCAGAATATATTTCTGGGTTGTAATAATGTGTAAGCATAAGTGTTTTATGTATGACTATATAAAAGGGAATATTAAGATAAACATTTATTTGTATAATGATGAAACTGGAGTTTAATATTGGCTGTATTAATAAGCATTTATTTTTTTAAAAAATAACTGTGATAATTGTGTTTTTAAACAAATACTCTTGCCTCATTTAAATACCACTGTTCTCATATGCCCTTCTCCCCTCCCACCTGGTGCCTCTCGATTATTGTGGAAAGGCTAAAATGAAAACAGTGATAGGGTGTTATTTCTAAGTCATTGTAGAAACATAATAATTGATTGACTCCCCTTAACTCATGGCATTTTTAGGACTTTAGTATCTTGAAATTACTACATTCGGCCCTGGCTGGCGTAGCTCAGTGGATTGAGCGCGGGCTTCGAACCAAAGTGTCGCAGGTTCAATTCCCAGTCAGGGTACATGCCTAGGTTGCAGGCCATGACCCCCAGCAACCGCACATTGATGTTTCTCTCTATCTCCCTCCCTTCCCTCTCTATAAATAAATAAATAAATAAATAAATAACATTTTAAAAAGAAATTACTACATTCGCATTCTTTTATTATATTATTTAGAACATTATTATAAAATGTGATTCTGACGAGTGCTTGGTTTGTCCCTGCTTTTATATTAACATCCTGTTATTTTATTTCTCTTCCAACCCTTTCTCCAATCAGGCTTCAATGTTAGCTGCAGAAAATGACCCCTATGGGCCTTTACCACCAGGCTGGGGTAAGCCAATATGTTGTTGGTAAAAATACCTGAAAAGTATATATAGAAATGGTTATTAAATGTTATGTTCACTCTTTTTTTAGAAAAAAGAGTAGATTCAACAGATAGAGTTTACTTCGTGAATCATAACACAAAAACCACCCAGTGGGAAGATCCGAGAACTCAAGGGTATGTATATATTACAGCCTTACTTACATCATTCTACATGTATCTACAGATAGCTAGAATCAGGTAAACCTTGACTCAGATGTTTTTAGTACCTGGAGAGTGTTCACCTTTGATTGTCTCCCTTTCAGCTTACAGAATGAAGAGCCCCTGCCAGAAGGCTGGGAGATTAGGTATACTCGGGAAGGTGTACGCTACTTTGTTGATCATAACACCAGAACAACAACATTCAAAGATCCTCGAAATGGGAAATCGTCTGTGTAAGTGACAGCCTGAGGTTCTTAATGCTGCTTCATTAGAATGTGGGTTAGCTGCTAAGTGAGCCTCAAATTTTGCTTTGGATCAAGAAAACCTACTTAGTAATAGCCTAGAATGGGTTTGGGGCATGTAATTCCTTAACAATAACAGTAGCAAATATTTATATAGTGTACAGAGTGCCAAGGATTGTTCTGAGCACTTGACAGACATTAGCTTGTATCACTTTCTAGCAACCCCTTGAGGAAGATACTATTATTTTCCCTTTACCAAGCACAGAAGCTGAGGCTTAGGGAATGTGCCTGACTTGGGGCAGAATCACATAGCAGGTCATGGGGCTGGTTTCAGACCCAGGCAATCTGTCTGCTATCTGTGCCCCTGACCACCACATCTCAGTACCATGATCTCAGAGGCTCAGATACTCAAGAAGACTGAGTTTTCCAGATGAAGGTATCTTTGGGGCATTTGACAGATTTCTCGTTCATCCTCACTCCTAGGTGTGAGGTCTTTGCATCACTGAGAATAGAACCCATCATGAAAGGCCTTTTTGCAAATTCCTGCTGTCACGTTTGCCTACCTGGCAGCATCTCTCTTCCCTCCTGATCTTGTTGGTGACCTGTCATTGTTCCTATCAAAGTTCAGGCCCTCTGCTGGTGCCTGGGTCTTGTCCCCTCCTTCCCATTTAATTGTTCCAGCAGTGATCATCTTCCTGTGCTACATCATCGGTTTTTCTTTCCCCACTAAGTTGCTTTTGTCAGCTCTTCTCTTAGATTAAAAATAAAAACAAAACCCATAACTCTTCACCTTATAAATCCATTCGGTAAAAAATAGTCTCTATCACTAATCTTTCCGGGGAAAAAACCTGAAGGAATTGTGTCTATGTTGCTATTTCTGATTTCAGTCTAGACCAACTCTGGGACACTCCCCTGCCTCTAAATTTGTTAAGGGCACCAGTACTGTTCACGTTGTCAGTCTGGGGCTGCCTCGCAGCCTGTCTTAATGGACTTCTCAGAGCATTTGACACAGTACACCTGTCTCTGGACAGAAGCAGGTTGTGTCTGAATGTCCATGCTTCCTCTGTGCCTTCCTGGTCTTATCTGCTCCTCTGTTTTCTGTGCACCTTTCTCTTAAGCCTCTCAACATCAAAGGAAGGTCCCAGATCTCCCTCCTCAGCTACCTACACTCATTCTCCACTGTCATGCTTTTCAAAAGCATCGGTATGCTGAAGATACACTTTAATCTTTCACTTCAAATTTTGCTTCCTCTATTCAGCTACTTCCTTGTTATCTTTGTTTATCACCCCTTCCTGACAATTTCCTTAACACTTGTACCACCAGAGATATTTCCATCTTAGCTGATGGCCACCTGACACTTAGGTATGCTTGGACCGAAGTCTCAGAATCGTCCTGAGCCCTCTTTGTCTCTTACCTAATCCTCAGTACATCAGGAACTGTAACTCCCTGCACTCCGACTGCTGTCTCAGGATGCTACCACCATCAAGTATCACCTATAGTGCTGCCTGTCCTACTGCTTCCTACCCTAACCCCACACAGTGATGTTTTCTGTATAGCACCTTGGCTGATTATTTAATAAAAAATCTAAGTAAAAAGTCATTCCTTTGCACAAAAGCATTTAGTGGTTTCTTTCTTGGTCTGAATGAAAAACAAAGTCCTTACAAGGCCCCTCAGGACCTGACACCTGGTCCTTTTCTCCTCTTCATTCTGCTCCAGCACCACTGGCCACCCAGCTGTCCCTGTAATACCTGAGGCCCCATCTGCTTCATGTGCCCCTTCCCCAGATATCTCCATGGCTGAGCATCCATGTTTTCACACAAGTGTTGGTTTGTGAGCCCTACTCTGCTTATCTTTCTCAGCAGTGAGAGACTCTCCTGTTCTCCTCCTGTCCTTTTCCACACCACGTTTTCTCTTTTTGAGGAACAGGGAGACGTGTCCCCCTTTTAGAAACAGTTTACTTATTCATGCTGTTTCTCCTCTGGCTCCTTCACTCCTGTTTAAGCTCCACATAAAGCAGTCCTTCCTTTCATCTCGTATCAACAAAGAATGCTCTCACTCTCCGGGAGGGGGCCAGTTGTATGTATGCACACATTTCATAACATTTGTTGAATGAATGAACTTGAACCTGGCTGCATGAGAACATTCTCCCTCCATTCCAAAGTGTCCCCTTGGAAAGTGATAGCTCTTTGTGCTCATGTTTCAGGCTCTCTCATGAGGCAGGAGACTCAGGTCCTCCCTTGGGACTTGAGCCCTGTTTGTAAAACCTGTCCCTACATACCACCAGCTTGGCCATTTCCCTCAATGACCCACCTGTCTCTGGAGTCCCATCTTGTTGTGCTTATGCTTGTTTTAGTTTCAGCTTTGGGTTAAGGTGTGGTGGAATTACCTCCATGTCCCTTCTATCCAGCTCCTCTGTCCCTTAGATTTAAGGGTTATCAAAGGTTCTCTTTGAAATGGTCTGCACTGGATGTTGGTATTTCACTTAATTGACTCTTTATAAAGCCCTGCCCAAAATACAGCCTTCGTACGTGTGTGGTTGTCATGAATCCTCATTGCACAAGCTCCTGCTGGCCCGGCAGATACACCCTCACTCTCCCAGAAAATGACTGTCCTGTGGTCATTATAGGCCTCTGGGGCACTCACATTATACTGAATGTTAAAGTTGTGACTTTAATGTGAATTAATACCTGCTCATTCTATTTCTCTTCAGAACTAAAGGTGGTCCACAGATCGCTTATGAGCGCAGCTTTAGGTGGAAGCTTGCTCACTTCCGTTACCTGTGCCAGGTACTGCATTGCTAAATGAGTCTCATATCTTAGCATTTAGTTGTGTTTTTACATAGTGTGTCTACTAAACTACATGATATGGTAATGCTATTTTTGTTTTTAGTCCAATGCACTACCCAGTCACGTAAAGATCAACGTGTCCCGACAGACATTGTTCGAAGATTCCTTTCAGCAGGTAAGAAAATCTTTACCAGAATAACCCAGCACGACCTGTCCTATTGTGAGGGACAGTGAGAACTTTAGATATTTTAACCACACAGAATGCAGCTGTAACAGTGACTACCTTACTATAGTCTCTTATTATAGTCTCTTACTATAGTCTTACTATAGACTGCCTATTATAGTCTCAGTCGTAATAAACCCCATAGGCCTGGAGGGATTGCCATGTGCATGGCACTGCCATTTAATTTATCCCCACAACATCCTTCCATTCAACAGGCAGAGGCGCTGGGGCTGAGAAATAGTCATTCTACCATGAATGAGATTGCTAAACTAAAGGTTAAACAACTGCTGGGACAAAGTGACACATTTTGACACTTATTTTGCTAAGACTTTTTAACTTGAACAAAAAGTCTTGGTAATACTACCAAATTAAAATTAAACAGGTATAGATACTGTTGCCATGTGAGTATTCCTTTAATAACCCTCCTGATTTCTGTGTAAACGTCATGCTCTAATCAAGACCTCTGTGAGCTCACCGTTTAAGCTGGTAGTCCCTGCTCACTTCCCTCCCAGCCCCCTTCCACAGCTATTTTTGGTAATTGATTCTTTCTGCTGACATTTTGTACCACCTGATGGACTGGAATGTCACTCCATGGGAGCACAGACTGTCTTGTTGACTGTGGTTGTGCCTGGAACAGCCCAGCACATAGCAGGTGCTCAAGAAACACTTGATAAGCAGATAAACGAGTGCAATATGTTTACTTGCCTGAGTCCTATGCAGAATATTTAAAGATAAAAAATCAAAATCTTGACAGTTCTTTTTATTGTGATAAGTTGGAGAATAACTCATGTAAGTCATTTCAGTCCCTGCAAAGCACTCCCATGAGGACCCAGAAGGCCCTGTGTGTACAGGTGCATGGGGACACCACAGGCACGGGCCTGAAAGAAACAGAGCACTCTGAAGTCAGGATGCTCTTGTCCTACCTTACTTTGACCAGCTGTTGAGAGGGGACAAGACACTTATTATAACTACTCTTCAGACTTGTCTTTTGGTTTAAGTTAGTAAATTCTTAGCAAAGTGTCAAATGATTCCACCTGTTCCAAGCTCTGCCTAGGCTTTATTTTGATGAGTGTACATCCAGATTCATGGGGACTTTGTTTTGCTCTGTGCTTTGCCTGAGAGAATTGTGGTCTATTTGATGTGCAAGACGAGCCTGTGCCACCCTGTGCAAGGACCCTGACCATGCCTGCCAGCCTCGGCTGAGGTTCTGACACATGGGGAATTCATTGTTATCTAAAAATTAAGTCTATTTACTAGTAACCTTAATATAAGCCATTAAGGATTATGAACTTGGTTATAGGTATTGTTTTAAGATATACTTATGCATAAACTCATCATGTTGTAAATCTTTGCTACGAACAAGTTCTTTTCCTACTGAGAATGGAATGTGTGTATAAACAGGACCCAGAACAAGACCTTCTGCTTCTCATTTAGTGTTGCTAGTCAGAAAAAGTTACAAGTCACCTTTTATAAGATTTTCGTAAAGTTTGGGATTGACGGGGAGAGGGAATATTATCTAATCTTAAAGCTCTCCATGTCAGACTGTTCCTCTCCTGCTACTGACCCAAAGTAGAGCCACCATTCGGTACAAGAGATGACATAAGAGTAAAAGAGAGCTGAGTATCATAAGGCACACCTTGATCACTTTGTGGAACAAATCAATTGATGTTTATTTAGAGTTAAAGGCATTGCAGTATGACATGAGGAAATGTGTAATTCTGAAAATACAGATGAAATTTAAGTTGAATTGTTTGGAAAAAATTTGTGCTGTATTATTTGTGTTTAAATGTCCATGTTTTTGTTTTTAATTAGATTATGGCATTAAAACCCTACGACTTGAGGAGGCGATTATATGTAATATTTAGAGGAGAAGAAGGACTTGATTATGGTGGTTTAGCAAGGTAAAATAAAACACCTGCTTCTAAACAGTGTGGCTCCATTTATGCAATAGATGTATTCTTGAGAAGATATATATTTTAATAGCAATCCAAGATGATTTTTAAAAACTAAAATATTTCCACAGTTCTATAGATAAGCACTATTATTACTCTTGGTTATCCTATACATTTTATCTGCACATAAATAAATTTGCATCTATTTATGAGATTTGTATGTTTGCTGGTTTCTTAAGCAGAATTGGTCATAAAGTGTGTACAATATAGCAACTTGGTTTTGTTTTATATAATCTGAACATTTGTTATTTTATATAATTATAATTATATAATTATATATATATTTAGCTATTACTCTTTTTATTTAATGGTTGCACAATATTCCATTATATGGAGATATCATAATATATGGATCAATATATGGATCCATAATATATGGATCGATATATGGATCATAATATGATATCCAGATATCATATTATATGGATAAAGTTGTTTCTTATTTTTCACTGTTGTAACAGTATGTGTTGGTTTTATGTTTGTGTTGTTAATCCAGCCTGAGTCTTTTTGAGAATAAAATTTTCCACATTCACTCAATATATTGTTAACAGTAGATACTTCCGAAGCAATGATTGGGAAATCCTTTTAATGTTTTTTTTTATTGCTTTGCCCACACATAATTTGACAATAATTTGTTTTTTTAGCAAAACACTTCCACTAAATCTTTCCAAAGAATTAAACTTGCTTTGCATAGAAACAACTCTCTTTTTGAACTTACATTTCATAAGTATACAGAGTTACAAAATCACACTTTTACTGCAGCAGGGAAAAAGAGATGTGGAACTGGGTACCACTGCTGGCAGTGTGTAAGAGGGATTATTAGTGTTGGTTGTATTAGCATATTTGCTCATCTAAAACATTATTAAGGAAGTTTTTTTTTTAAGAAAAGAAACACTACCTATCACAATAAATGTTTATATTACATCTGTCTATTGTGATGTGTCTCTATTTCAGAAATGCTCAGACATAAAAAGAAAGGTACATCTAGAAATGAAATATATTTTTACAGTGTCTGACTTTATAACGTTCATTCTGGTCTGAACCCTTATTTACCTCAACTATTTGGTTTAGTTTTATGTTTTGATGGTTTTACTGCATATAGTTATTTTCTCTATCATAATTTTCTTATTTCCAAATTCTTTGTTTTGATTTGTATGTTGGTTTTGGTTTATTCAGAAATTCAGAATTTACAAGAGTGGTGTATTCCTGAAATTTTCAGAATGCGTTTTCTTTTGCTTTTGTATATAAATGGCAGCTTGAGCAGATGTAAATTTCTTGCACAATGACTCTGTGGACATTGCCTCCTGTCCTCTAGGGTGAATATGAGTGCTGCCAGTGGGAGCCCCGCTCTCGTAGGAAAACAGTTTTCTCTGGGGCCACACAGTCCTTATTCTTGAAATTCGTCGATTTCATTGTTGATTGCTTTGTATCTTTCTTTTTTACAAACATATTAAGGACTTTTTTTAAGGGAAATTTTCTTCTGTTATGTCTTTGAACATTTTTTCTGTTCTGCATGTTTCATTTTCTTGAGGAACATCAGTAAAGTCAGCCATATGTGCCTGTTATTTCTTTCTCTTTGTTCTGTTTCACTTTGTTTTGTTTTTTCTCACACCTGTTCCCATGTCTGGGTTTGCAGTGCTGCCTGCCTTTTGCTTTTGCTGTGATTTCCTTTATTTTCTTTGCTAGGTTCTACTAGCTCATCTGCTGTCTCATGATTTATTTGAACTTTTGTGTCTCCTTAGTTACTGAGGGTGTTAAGAGAGGGGTATGCTGAATGTGACTTTACCTCTCACTAGTTAGAATGTCTCCCTCTTTCCTGCTGTCAGGTACAGGTCAGGTGCCATGTAACAGCCCTCATTCCGAGTAGATTCAGTTTTCTCTGGGTTGCTTTGGCTGACAGTGACCTGCAGCAACCAGAAACTTTGTTCCTAGTTTTTGTGTTTGAACACATTCTCAGCAGATCTATTCAGCCCCCTTCCCTGGAGCATGCCTTACTTCACCTATCCATTTGGTTCAGCTACTGTGTTGGGACTGGATTTAGTTTTAGGAATTGGTACCTAACATTTCTTAGTTGATTTTGTTTGGGAACTCCCTTCTCTCCCTTTCAGGCACTCCTGAGATTATGTTTTAAAATATTTATAAAAACATTTGTAAACAGCCTGCCAGGCCAGATCTAGCCTGCATAGGAGTGACCCCCATTTTGATTTAAATTTTACTTGACAACATTAAAGAAAATTAGTAGATTATGCTTAAGAGTCAAGATTTCGCCCTGGCTGGCATAGCTCAGTGGATTGAGCGCAGGCTGCGAACCAAAGTGTCACAGGTTCAATTCCCAGCCAGGGTACTTGCTTGGGTTACAGGCCATAACCCCCAGCAACTGAACATTGATGTTTCTCTCTCTCTCTCTCTCTCTCTCTCTCTCTCTCTCTCTCTCTCTCTCTCTCTCTCCCCCCCTCCCTCTCTCCCCCTTCCCTCTCTAAAAGTGAATAAATAAAAAATCTTTAAAAAAAAAAGAGTCAAGATATCTGGCTTCTTTAAAAAAAAAAACATTAGATCCACATTGCCACCTTCTCATGTGGCATCAGTTGGCTGAATCAGAGGAGCTGCCCTCCCCTCTCCCCTGTGAGCTAGTGAGCTCTTTCACTCCTGTGCCCATCACTGCCCCTTTGTCTGAGGACTGTGATTATATGCCCAGTAATCATTTTTCTTTAAAACTAATATGGCTTTGATCAGGCCTATAGTAGAAAGCAGGAGCTTGTGGATATGTAGTAAATTAAGGCCCCTTGTTCCAATCAACCATCACTGCAGGCATCCAGGTTTGGAGCCCTGCTTTAGAAGCCATTGCTATTTAGGAGCCTTTTGCCAATCAAACTTACTTTGTCATATAAATTATTCATCTTTTTTCTAGTTGTATTTCACGTATTAGACCTTTATAAATGAGGCAAAATAGGTAGTATTTTAGAGAATGTTTATCACATTTAAAGATTTCACCTTTTTAATTTTACTTCCATTTTTAAGGCATTGGTGGTAAAACTAAAAGTGTTCCATAGCAGTAGTGCTGTGTATCTCTGTATCACCAGCAAATATCTGTTAGAACCTAATGTGTATTGTCCTACAATGCCTGTAAGAGTTAAGGTTACAAAAATATATTAAAAGGTTGCCCTTTCTTTTGAGGAGCTTATACTCTGGTAGATGGAGCTGATCATCTGCAGAAAAATGAATACCATTGTGAGGTCTTACCAGTTACTGGTACACATAATACTGTGGAAATAACTTAACAAAACTGCACAAAATGGGATGGGTCTAAGCAGGACTATAAGGAAAATGTGGGCTCTGCTGAGGTGGAGTTGGAGTTGAGGGGATAGGGGATATACACAAGTCTGCACAGAGTGAGAAAATTAGCTGTGGTGACACCAGCTTTCTATTTGGCAGTGCAAGACTGGCCATAATTTTGTATATTTGATCTTGCTTTAAATCCATGTGCATGTGAATGCTAAGAAATTATCTTACTGTATTTTCTCTAGAGAATGGTTTTTCTTGCTCTCACATGAAGTCCTGAATCCCATGTACTGCTTGTTTGAGTATGCTGGCAAGAACAACTACTGTCTTCAGATCAACCCTGCATCCACCATCAACCCGGACCACCTTTCCTACTTCTGCTTCATCGGTCGCTTCATTGCCATGGTAAAACTGATACCATATTTATTTAAATTTCACTTATTTCAAAAGTAGCAAAATGACATGCATTGTCCTTGGTTATGTCTGTTCATTGTCATGCAAGTGTCTTGTAAAGCAATGTTTAGGACAGAGGGAATAGCAAACCAGGGATGCTGGAACTGCAGTTCTGATCTCTAGTGGCTTGGCTATAGTGGAGTAGGTACAGGTGTTGTAAGAGCCTGGGCTAATGGGTACCAAGGGACCCTTCAGGCATTCCCTGAAGAACGGTGAGCAGAGAAGCAACAGGATCCAAGTAACGTGGTCTGACATTGACTTTATCATGCTGACTTTGCTGCTGTGCAGAAAAGAGACTATAGTTGGGGCAGAGGAGGCACCAGGAGAAGTGGGGACATATGGCAGTACAGATAAGGGACCTGAGTGGTGCAGCAACTGGGTGGTAGGAAGTGGTTTGCTATTCTGTGTTTGAGCTGACAGGCTGTCAGACTGCTTAGATGCAAGGTGTGAGACAGAATCAAGTGCAGACCTGTGTCAGTTTGTAGTCCCCTTTCCTAAGGTGGTGGGGTTGTGGCAAAAGCAAACTTGGGGCTTGTGGAATCAAGAATTTGGATTTGGTTTGTTAGGTTTTAGACACCTGTAGACATCCAGGTGAGGAACAAGTAGCCAGCAGACCAGTCTGGTAATAAGGGGATAGCTAGGTGAGGCTGTGCAATTGTTTATGGAACAAGTGTGGGTAGATAGGAAGCTCAAGGACATTTACATCAGGGAGATGAGATGAGAAGGAACCTGCAAAAGAGATGAGGTTGAGGAGCAGAGAATCCAGTGAGAATGGTTCCCAGCAAATGAAAGAAGAACGAATGAAGAATTGTCACCTGAATCAGTGCTGTTGAGCTGAGCACGATGAGGTCCGAACAGTGACCATTTGGTGTGGCCAGAGAAGAACCAGGAGTGAAAGCCAGAGAGATATAAAGAAGCTTGCTTCAAAGGATCAGAGAGAAGCTGGGCAGTGACTAGAATTGATGTGGGATTGAGAATGAGAGGGACTCACGAATTCATCTGCTGTTGCTGTTGATGGAATGAGAGGGGAAGGAACTGAGTGAGGCCAGTGCAATGAGACCTGGAGGACAAGACCCAGGAGAAACTCAGTGTGAACAGAGAGAAGTAGTAGTAAGCTGGTCATGAGCACCTGTGGGGACCCTGCCAGTCCTCTAATGGCTTTTTCCTAGAAGAACAGAGCCCATGACCAGATGAGTAAATTGGTGTGGACACAGTGGAGCATCAGCACCGCGCTTCTCTGCACTTTACTTGGGGCTGTGAGTAGGAATCAGGCATGTGGTTGTGCACCCATTCTGGCATGTTCCAGCATCCAGCCACAGGCTGATGGCTGAGAGTTGGATTTCGTGACCTTGGGATTTTGAAGGTATGGAATCTAAAGGGAGCATACACGGAAGTAACAGTGCAGGGCTGAAAGTGAAAAGGCAGCAGTTCTATGGATTAGGTTCCGTGGAGCAGAAAGGCCTGCTGTTAATACCACAGGCACTGAGCTGGGTGGAGGTGGATGTGCATCTGAGGTGACAGAGGAATTGCGGGTACTGGTCATCACAGCACCCCTGGCAGGTGCTGAACGTTTTTTCAGTAAAGTCTAAAGTCATGGACTAAAAGCCAGCCTCAGAAAGGGCTCATCACATGGGTTCTGAAACATGTAGGACCAGGTAGTTGTATAAAGATCGTGACACTGAACAGATGGAGAGGAACCCAGAGAGCCGGGGGTGACCACCACATGTCATGGGCAGCTGGGGAGGAGGGATCGGTAGAGAGGAACATACCCACTCATTTCCTGGCCTGGTGACATGAAAGGACAAAAGGAAATCATACCCCTTTGAAAGGACTTGCAGGGAAGCAAGGTTCTCAGAGAAATGCCAGACTTTTGTTAGAGCAAGATGTTTGTATTTTTTTTTTTTATTCCTCACCCAAGGATATGTTTATTGATGAGGGGGGAGAGGGGAGAGAGAGACATCAATGTGAGAGAAACATTGATCAGTTGCCTCTTGTGCACACCCCTACTGGGAGTCAAACCCACAACCTAGGTATGTGCCCCGAATGAAGACTGAACTCATAACCTTTTGGTGTATAGGACAACACTCCAACTGAGCCACCCAGTCTGGGCAAGACACTGTTTTTCTAAAGAGAAACAGTTGAGTTTCTGGGGCCTTTTTGCTAGTAATGGATTGTGTACAGGACACAGCACAAAGCACAATAGAGGTTGGGGACTGATGGGACTGGGCTCCCTGTGCTGGCTGTTGCCAGAGCAGTGAAGGCACAATGTGCCCAGGGAGCCCTGCATAACCCCTGGGCAAAGTAGGGAAAGCCAGGAGTCGGGGAGCCCTGATGCCCTTTCTCCATTCCACATCCAGTTAGGTTAATTGAATTTATAAAGTACATTAGAGTGGGGTTGGTAAAGCTCCTTTATCTCCCTCTTACTTATCGATAGGACATGATGTAGCTGAATGTTTGACCTTAGTTAAATAGGTAAAACCTTGTGATTTCTCTGTTATCATTGTATACTCAATAAGAAAATTATTCTGTAAATTTTAAAATAATTTTTTTGTTTTTATTGGCAGGCACTTTTCCATGGAAAGTTTATTGATACTGGTTTCTCTTTACCATTCTACAAGCGTATGCTAAGTAAGAAACTGACGATTAAGGATTTGGAATCCATTGATACTGAATTTTATAATTCCCTTATCTGGATAAGGTTTGAAGATTTATCTTTCAATAAGGCATTTTCTTGAAACCAATTTGTATGTCTTGTTAATTAGTATGTGTATATTTTTATCACCCAGAGACAACGACATTGAAGAATGTGGCTTAGAAATGTACTTTTCTGTTGACATGGAGATTTTGGGAAAAGTTACCTCACATGACCTGAAGCTAGGAGGTGCCAATATCCTGGTGACTGAGGACAACAAGGATGAGTACATTGGGTGAGGTTTCCAGAACATTTGGCACTAATCCCCTGTCTACACCCCAGCTTCCTCCCTCTCCGCAACTCTGGAAGGACTCCACATACATTTCCTATCATTTACCTTTTCATCTTTTTCTCTCTACTCGACCTATATACATGCTCCACCGTACTCCAGAGTTCACATGTACTATAGTAACTTCCCTGTGTCCTTCTCTGTTCTTGAAGTAAGAAGTGATCTTCCTTCTTCACAACCACTGGCTTGTGTGCTCCCTGCCTGTGTCAGGTCACATGTCACTGCCCTTGGTGCTCAGAGGTTGGTGCAGAGCCCACAGCTGCTTCCTTCCAGACAAGTGAATGAGGTGTTCTGTGGGGCAGTGTGATATGGACCTGGCTCTGACCGACCAGCAGGGTTCATCTCCTGGGGCATCTCACCTGCCCTCACACACCATTTTCAAATTGTCCTCTTGAATTCCATGATCCAACAGCCTGTCGTTTCTTCACTTTCTCCTTTCAGTGATGCTGCCCTCCATCTCTCTCTACTTCCTAAATGTGGATCTCTGTCCAAGGTCCTTCATTCAGCCTGTTTCTCTGAGGAGTCTGCTCTCATGACCTCAGTGTTCTGTTAAAGTCAAATATGAACTTTAGAAATCATTGCCACCAGCCAGCAGACTTTTCCAGGAAAGAACCAGATAGTAAATATTTCAGGCAGTTTACCACTGCCCATGCCCTGCACTTGGAGCTGAAGCAGTGCAGACAGGATGAGAATAGACCCGTGTGGCTGTACACCAATAAAATCACAGAATACACACTGAAACTTAATTTCATGTGGTTTTCAAATCATGGAATATTCTTTTAATAATTTTTCAACCTTTCTTTTTAATTAAAAAAATATAAAGACTGTTCTTAGCTCATAGGCTGTATGAAAAGCAAATTATAGACTAGAGTGGGCACATGGGCTCCTGAACTACTAAATGACCCAGGGTAAAGGTAAAGTGTCACTATCAGATTTCTCATTTTTTCTACCACGTCTTCACCCTCCTTCTAGACTTAGGTTCTCAGTGTTATCTTTGTTTGTTTCTTTCAGATTCTTTGTTTGCTTTCTGTAATTGTTCCCAAAATGGGATCATTTAACATACATTACTCTTAGCTTTTGCAGGTCAGGAGAGCTAGATTAACTTGCTTCCTAATAGTTAATCATGGTATGTCCATTCTGTATTACTTGCACCATTCAGGTTGTGTCCAGGTTGGGCCACTACAGACCAGGCAGCAGAATACTGTAAACATGAATCCAGTCATGCTGCTGCCTCTGTCCTTGTGGGGGAGAGTACCAAAAGAGGACATTTTAGTGAAAGACTATTAAATAGACATGGCTGTGTTTCTTTCTTTCTTCTTAACTTGCAGTTGTTACGGTAGTGTCCCACACTTAGCCCTCATTTTCTCTGAGCATGGAATCATCCATACCTGTTCCTCTGTACACATGTTGGAGCACATAGAAGATTTATCACTTTTACTAGAAAAACATTCTGAAGAAAGTATGTTCACAAAGGTAGTAAGGCACCCAGCTTTCTATATTTGTTAAACTTTAAGCTTTCCCCAAAGTCCAATCCAATGGTTATTAAATAACACAATCTAAGCATTTAAAAAGTGCTATCTATGTTTTCAAACATCAAAAAAACAGTTTAATGTTTGTACAATACTTTCTATATTTGTTAAACTAAGCTTTTCCCAAAGTCCAATCCAATGGTTATTAAATAACACAACCTAAGCATTGAAAAAGTGCTATCCATGTTTTCAAACATCAAAGAAGCAGTTTAATGTTTGTACAACACTTGTATACTTTGCTTCTTTGCATTCTGCACTTTGTGTTAAGGTAACCACTACTTTAAAAAATCTTTTCTGTATAGTACCTACTACATAAGAGTTCATATGTGATCTTGAATATAAAAATTTTGGGAGGATTTTATTCCAATCTCTGATACAGTAGCAGACTTTGATCTTGTTTTTTAAATCTGCTCTTAAAATTAATGTGATAATTATCTTTTACTTGTGATACCTTTTAGTGCACAAATATGACTGGGTAGACAACTCTTTGGGAGGCAAAAGCCAGCTGGAGCAGAGGAATTGAGATATTCCAGGAATATGGCAAATAGCAACAAATAGTAGCCAGAGAGGGGCCTCAAGTGGTAGACACTTGTGCCTTAGTCTAAAGAAACCACATTATTTCTAAGAAACCTGGATTTTTATCAAAACCAACAAGATGGGATGATCAGAAGTGGTTTTGGAATCCTAGTTATAGCATCTGTGGAGGATAAACTGGGGGTTGTAGATGGGAAGGGAGTGAAAGGGAAGAGAATGATAGGAAAGGAATGAAAGGGGAGGAACCCTGGGTAGGTGGTGGTCCAGGGATCTAGAAGGTGGGAATTAGAGACCTGAAACAGGTATGACACATAAAAATGAAAGGATGGGTGTTTGAGGACATTATAGGAATGGAATGGTTCAGAGTAAGTCATTACTTATACATAGTATGGAAATAGTAAATAAAGTAGTTAACAATTGAGGTTTCTAGACTGATTGACAGTGGATGTGTTACCAGGATGTCCACAGAGAGATGAATTACAAATGTCATCATCTCAGGAGAAAAGCAGGATTTGGGGATTTAAGAATTATTGGCTTTTCTATGATAGTTGAAACTTCAGTAATTAATGGAATGATCCTTAGTTAGTTGAGTGACTGACTAGAAGAGTTGAGAAGGCAAGAGATCTCAGTGACACTCAGTTATAAGACAGACACCGTATAGGACAGATGGAGAGCCTTTAAGAAGTAGGCAGAACCAATCAGCTTGTGGTGGTGCTGGGTGGAAAGGGCTTTGAGAACTGGGAATGCTCACGCAACTGTCACAGGTAGCATGTCACATGAGCACAGAAAAAAAGGGCACAAGACTTGGCCCTTCCAGTGCCTTGGTGACATTTTGTGAAGGCGGTTGTTTCTTCCTGTGGGAGGAGATGTTGAAAGCCAAACTACAGTGGTTTAAAACTTGAGTGAATGGGAAGTGAGAAGGTGAGGACTGTGAGCTAGGGCCCCCTTCTGATGAGTGGTGGCAGGCTAGGGAGGGGCAATGGACTGAAGGGGGTGTTTGGAAGAGAGCCATCTGAGCCGCATGGGGGCAGTTGGACAGAATTGAGGGCTTACGTAACTGACGTAGTGGAGTTTTGGAGGCAGCAAGGATGAAAGGTGTCTGAAACAAGTCAAGCACCTTCCTCCTCCACACTAGGGAGGGGTTGGAAGCAGGAGACGTGGAGAGGCTGCTCCCTCACCCAGTTTCCATGGCTGCTGCACAGGGGCCTCCACACCCACCTCCCTTCCAGACCTTATAACTGCCGAATTTTCTTCCTCCTTCTTGCCTCCCTCCTCTACAACTGCCTTATGACTCCCCCGAATGTTTTGTTTCTGTCTTAAGTAACTTCTCCTTTAAATGTTAGGAAACCTTTGTGTTCTCCAGTAAATCAGTGTTGAGTCTTCTCTGACAGGGACCATAACCTGTCCCATCTCAAGGCCTGCAGACAGTGTGCCTGATATCTTGTGACACACCGTTGCTTCTCTGTGGAGGGCTGGGTCAGGAGGAAAGGGAGTCCATTTGGTGGCTGTGGCTGCCCTTCCTGCTCATGGTGTAGCCTCATCGTCAGGGAGCCTCTTACATATTCTTCACTTTGAAAAGCATCTTGACAGCTGTACAGGTGCTGGAGTGAGTTCCTCGTGTAGACATGTGTTAACTCAAAACTATACATGTGTGTGAGGAATACAGATGGTAGATTTAGAAAAAAATGGAGTTAGAAGTTGGATTTTTTGGATTTTTACCTAAGCCTTTTACCACATACAAGTGACCTACTTTATATGTTGTCTATTTTCAGTTTAATGACGGAATGGCGTTTCTCTCGAGGAGTGCAAGAGCAGACCAAAGCATTCCTGGATGGTTTCAATGAAGTTGTTCCTCTTCAGTGGCTACAGTACTTTGATGAAAAAGAACTGGAGGTAAAGCATTTTAATTAGGTATTATAGGGAGTGGGGGCAGGGGCTAAATTGGTGCTTTCGCAGAATGCCCAATGGTTTTAAATCATGTGGCACAATCTAGAATCTTCTCACTCATCCAGAAGTTTTGGGGCTGTTAAATCCTAGCACTGGATGAGGGGCTCATGTTCTTTGAACCATGATGATGTCATGGGCACAAAATCATCGATCAGGACTGTTGTAAGGTCCTAGACAGTGAGTGTAACCATATTACTCATTTGGGGAAACTTTCTGATACCCTGGCTTAGTAATGAGTTACCCCAAATACCAGATTTTAAAGTCATGACTTCCTAGTGGTGTTAACTGTATTTAGATTTGTTAGAAGTGTAGAGAATTTTTTTGGAGTGTGACAAAATACACATAACACAATTTATCATCTTAGTCATTCTTAAATGTACAGTTCAGTAATCTTAAGTATGTTCACATTATTAGACAACAGATCTCCAGAACTTCGCATCTTGAGAAACTAAAACTCTACCCATTAAACAAGTTCTCCATATTTCCCACTCCCTAGCCCATCACCACCCACCTATTTTCTGTTTGACTACTCTTGCTATTTCACTTAAGTGGACTCACACAGTATCTATCTTACTGTGACCAGCTTATTTCACCGAGCATAGTGTCCTCATGGTTCATCCACGTTGCAACAGGTGTCAGAATTTCTTTTTTAAGGCTGAATTATATTCCATTATATGTATAGGCCACATGTTCTTTATTCATTCATCAGCCAGTGTCTCCACCTTTTGGTCATTGTGAATGCTGCTGCTCTGAATGTGGCTGTACTAGTATCTTATATCCTGCTTTCAGCTCTTCAGGTATGTTCCAAGGAGTGGGATTGCTGGATCATTAAGTAATCCTGTATTCAGTTTTCTGAGGAACTGCCCCAGTTTTCCATTCCCACCAAAGTGTACCAGGGTTCACATTTCTACACATCTTCACATTTTTTCTTTTTTTTGCTTTATGATAGACATCCTAAGGGGTGTGAGATAACATCTCATTACTGTTTTGATTTGTTTCCCTAAAGATTAGTCACTGAATTTGTGAAGTCTTTTCTTCCCATATGGACACCAGGATAGTCCTTGGCATTTCCTCTCAGCCCCCTCCCTGTAGGTGCAGTGTTTTAACTTTAGCCAGCTTGGATTCTTTACCAAGAAACTTGGTTTGTCCATGTAATCAAACTTGCATGTGAAAATTAGCATTTCATGTTTTATATAGTAGTATTCCTATGTAGAAATTAACCTGCTGAAAATTCTGACTGAGGGGGGGAAAATATTGAAAGTCAGGACTCTGCGTCTGAATGACATGTTGAATCGTTAGCCCTGGTTTACATCTTTCCTAACAGCTTGCTTAAACAAGCAGAAATACATTAGAAGAATGAATGGAAGATATTTTTTAGGGTAGTGTTAATCATTTTTTAATCACAGACTTCACTAAGAATCTAAGGGAAATTAAACTATTCTGGGTCTTCAAAACGCATAAACCTAAAATGTTCCATGGCACCACTGAAAGCTCTCCCTGGAGGTCCCCTGGGGAAAGGGTGTTAGGTAGTGGCTACAGCAGAGGCCCAGAGGGCCATGATGGGCTGGTGCTAGTCCATAGCCCTTAATGGGTCTTTACATGTTTTCATGTACAGCTGAGACATAGTTGGCTGCTTGCAGTACATAAGGGGACTTATGTCCTGTTGGGTACTGACTTGCCTTTAGCTCATAGTGCAGAGCTATGATAAAACACCCATCCCTTTTTGGTTTTGATTTTTACTCCTAGTCTGTTCTTTCTTTTCTTCCCCTTCATTGTCTCAATCCATGAATAATATTCAATAATGAGTATTCATATCATTACTCAAAGTAATGTCTATTCATAATCATGCCCCCTTTGGTAAGTTAAAAATATTTTAAACTTTAAGATATAACAGTTATTCTTTATAAAAACTCTGACCATACTAGGACTAGAAGGGAGCTTTCTCAGTCTGATAAAAGGCATCAACAAAGAGAAAGTTTCACATCATTGATTGTCAACTTAGGAAATCTCAAGGAACCTACCAAAAAACTATTTGAATTAATAGTAATATAACAAGACCGTAGGGTACAAAGTCAGTAATTATATAAATCAATTTTTATCTTCTACTTAATACTAGCAATGAACAATTGGAAGTCTTATTTACTGAAGCAGAGAAAAATGAACTACCATATTTTTCAGACTATAAGACGCACTCCCCCCAAATTTGGGGGAAGGGAGGTGTGTCTTATAGTCCGAATATAGCGTGCCTGGCTTGCTGTGGGTTGGCGATGGCGGTGGAGTAGGATCACAGGTTATTAAATATTTTACCACATTTTTTGCTTCAAAAATTTTTTTTCCTATTTTCCTCCCTAAAACCTAGGTGCATTTTATGGTCCGGTGCATCTTCTAGTCCTAAAAACACAGTACTTTAACCAAAGACATGTAAGACCTCTATCCAAAAAACTCAAACATTGCTCAGGAAAATTAAGGGTAACTTGAATAAGTGGAGAAGGTATAACAGGTTATATATCGAAGGATTCAGTACTGTAAAAATGTCAGTTCTCTCTAACTGAATATACAGTTAATCTGTATATTCAATACAACCCCATTCAACATCCCAGCAGAATTTTCTGTAAAAATCGATAGGCTGATTCTAAAATTACTAAGGAATACAAAGGCTGTGGATGGACAGATTTGGAGGCTGTGCAGTACCTGCTTTCAAGAATTGTTAGCCCTGGTTAACAATGTTGTCTTTGTGAAAGGAGAAACAAACAGATCAGTAGAACATTGGAAACTCCAGAGACAGACCCACATGTCATTGTCATTTGATATTTAACAGAAGTGATAATGCATTTCAGCGAGGAAAGGGAAAGTCTTCTGAACAAAGGACATTGAATCACCAGGATATCCACGTGGAAGAAAATTACCCTCAACTCTTGCCTCAGCCCATAAAAAAAGATTAATTAAAAATAAGTCAAACATAAATATGATAGCTAAAAAAAAAACATGGAAGCAAAATCTTGGTGTAGGCATTTAGTTTCTTAGAGAAATCACAAAAAAACTATAAACCACACAAACAGATTAAATTTGACTTCATTAAAACTGAAACCTTCTCCTCTTCAATGTTTTTACTTAAAAGACAGCCCACATATGGCAACAGATATCAACAAAGGCTTGTTTAGTACAAGGACAGTGACAGTAGGTAAATGCCTGAAAAGGGCTCCTTAGTCTCTGGAAAGTGCAAGTGAAAGCTCAATGAAGTCTACTTTGGGGCCATTTAGTTCTAATACCATGTTAGAAACACCTCACCCTCATGCCCTGGCCCCTTCAACTGTTAGGTATTTACCTGAGTGAAAGGAAATAAACCCACACAAAGACTTTTCTGTAATGTTCATCACAACTTTATGCTTCAAAGCTGAAAATCTGAAGTAATCTAAATGTTCACCAACAAGTGAATGGATAAAGTGTTGTATGTTCATATAATGAAATACACCCCAGTGATAAGAAAGTGCTGGTGCCCAAAGTACCAGGTATAACATTGTGTTGGGCGGGGAACAAACAAGACTGTATGTGCATGCACACTGTGTGTGATATTCTTGAGAATACAAAGTCATTGGTCACCTAGCACCACATGAGCGTGGTGGCTTTTGACTGAAAAGGAGACATCATAGAAACGTTAATGCATCTCTACTGCAGTGGTAGTTACACAGGTATGTGTACAGGTCGAAGCTCATCTGACTCTATACTTAAAATGTGCATCTCATTGTCTGTAAATTATAGTTCAGAGTTGATGTGTGAGAAGTATAATATGCACCATACTATTTTGTTATGCACAAAATAGTTTCATCCCATATCTAATAAATTGGAGTTATTTGAAAATTTCACATAGAATATTTTATTCCCAAATCCTGGATAAATGAAAACAGGTTAGTATCTTTTTAAGTAGATAAGAGCACTAATTTTTAAAAGGCAGAAATTCATGTTTGAAATGAATCACTAATTTGGATACCTAGTTTAGGATGTATTTATAGTAAAGGGAGATACTCTTTTAACACACCTATTGTTTTCTTAAAGAATAGCTGGGTGGTTTTCTGAGTTCAGAAAACATAGATAAGGTACCAAAGAATCTTTCATGATAAATAGCTATAAAAATTTTGTGGATTTGCTTACTGTGACCACTGTTTGTTGTGCACATGGAGTCATAGTTCTCATCTCCAAGTCCTGACCACAACTGAGACTGTGCTCCCCCCCGCCCCAGGTTATGCTCTGTGGCATGCAGGAGGTGGACCTGGCTGACTGGCAGAGAAATACTGTATATCGGCATTACACAAGAAACAGCAAGCAGATTATTTGGTTTTGGCAGGTATTTTTATTTTTTTTGAAACAAAGTACTTTAGATATTTTCTAATGAAGCAGCAACTTAAAAGTTTTGTTTTTTTTTTAAATTTTTATTATTGACACCAAGTTGAGACTTTTGGACATGGTTTTTTAGTCTTTGAATTCTAAACCAAAAGTGAGTATGTGGCTTTGTTTGGGTGGCTCAGTTGGAGCGTCATCCCATACAGCAAAATGTTGCATGGGGGGCGGCGGGGAGGCAGTTTGGTCCCCAGTAAAAGCACTTACCTAGGGTTGTGGGTTCCATACCAGTTGGGGTGCTTACAGGAGGCAGTGTATCAGTGTTTTTCTTTCTCTGTCCTCTTCCTTCCCTCTCTAAAATCAAACATATCCTTGGGCAAGGATTTTTTTAAAAAGTGAATATATGTTAAAAGATTGCTTATTTTGACCATTTCTGGATGAAAGAATGAATGGCAGGATCTTCTTTAAGTGATTACTTCTTTAAATTTAGGTATAGCATTTTTTCTAGCAATATCAAAGTACTCTACAAATTCTACTTAATTCTGTAAGTGAAGGAGGAAGTATGTTTTATGAGGAAGTCAAAGCAGACAATTCATTTGAAGGTGACAACATGCTAGGGAATTAGAATAATCCACAGGGTAATATCCACCCTCTCCTTTCTCTTTCCTTTCCTGGTGGCTAAAGCTTCCATCAGGTGGTCTCTGGGCATCCAAGTGCTGTGTACTGATCTTCATGCTAGACTCTGTTTTATATGTTCATTTGAAAATTTAAAATCTCTAGGCCAGCAGATAGTCTTCACATAAACCTAGTAACTGAGGCTTACATAGTAACTGAGCTGGTTTACTGCTTCACTCTCAGGTGCAAAGATGGTCTGGGTATTTGTATTACTAGAAAAGGATTTTCCAAAAGTTGCATCTTTATGGAAGGATATGTGCCATGTGTTCATCTTAGAGATATGTTTTGACATGCAAGATGGCACATACCAGAGTACTTAGTGCAGCATTACTGGTAACATTGATGGAGACAGGAAACATCTGATGTGCACCAGAAGGGGACTAAGTAAAATAAACTATAATATATCCATTCTGCAATACTATGCCCTGCAGTCCCTCTTAAATGCAGATGAACAAAGACACTGGAGATTGGTTTCGATAGAACATTAAGGGGGAAGGAAGGTGTGTCTGTGACACTGTCTGCTGGTTCGAAGGAAAATCCGAGTGTGGAGGAGCCAGCTCTAAGAAGTGGAGAGCTGAGCAGCTGGAGGCAAAGTCATGGAAGCTGCCCTTACTACCTGTGGCTTCAGTTGGGTCTGCCATTGTTCCTTTAGGCTCACTCCCAGCCTGTTCTCTTGGATGTGTCTAAATCTGAGAAGCTGACACTTACACCACGTAAATCCACATGGATTGGGTTGGTTTTAGGGACAGTGGTGAGGTGTATGCCAGACCCATTCATTTTTGTGTCTGATGGAGTATGTCAGCAGCACCATTGTGCATGGAAACATTGTGGCTGGATTAGTGTATGACTTGTCTTGTCCATCCCTAAGTTTAGTCCCACCTGTAAGGTACATGTCTGCTCTGAGCATCCCTGCATTCTTTGAAGATGCTCAGACCAATTCAGATCATTGTAACAGCATATAACCCATTTGTGTCCTTCTTTGAAAAGAAACAGTGAAGTAGATTATTTATGGAAGAATGCATACTTTGGGTTGGGAAGTGGTGCTGAGTGGGAGGAAGTGGTCATTTTTTGGGGGGTCCCTAAAGGGAAAGTACAGTTGTTCAGGACAGGACAGTGGCTCAGAGCTTACCCAGCGTGTGTTCTGCCACTTATTAGCCATTTGAGGACACACTGTATGGCTCTCCAGGCCTTGTCTCCTTACATGTAATGGGGATGCTAAGGTAGGACCCATCTCACAGTATTGGGAGGGCTGCACACCCAGGAAGTTCATGGCACTGTGCTGGCGGGACACTCCAGAGGTGACAGCTGTAACACCTGTCCTGGTTTCTTGGATCAGTGATGATATTTCTAAGTTTCTGCTTCCTCTTTGTAGTATTCTCAGCACTGCACAAATTAGCCCTAATAAATGGTAAATGCTGCAACCACTTTTTATCACTTTTCTTTTGAACCAATTTCATTCTTAAATTTCTTATTCTTCAAGTTCACTCTTAATTATCTGGAAGAAATTTAGGAATACTTTAAATGTCTACTATTTTCATTACTGAAGATAACTTAGCATTTATTTTACATTAACTTTGGCCTTGTTATAGTTTGTGAAGGATACAGACAATGAGGCGAGAATGCGTCTGCTTCAGTTTGTCACAGGAACCTGCCGCCTGCCGCTTGGAGGCTTCGCTGAGCTCATGGGTGAGTGCCACCTCTGTGGGTCACTTTGGTCACTCGCCTAAGGCTCATTCCAGGTGCTATACGTAGGGTAGGACAAGGAAAGTCACCCGCCTGAGTGGCCACTGCTCTGCCCCTCTGGGTGGTGAGGGTGTAGACCCCTGCAGATACTGGTTTTTGCACTGATGTGAGGTTTGCTGCTGGGTCCCTGTAGCCAGAAGGAGCTGTTCAGGGCAGAAGCAAGTGACACTGTAGTATTATCTTTGTGATGTGTTATATAACTAGTTTTCAAGACCAAAAAGTTTCAAGGATCAGATAAATTTTATTTTATTTTCCTGGTTTAGGAAGTAATGGGCCTCAAAAATTTTGCATTGAAAAAGTTGGGAAAGATACCTGGTTACCAAGAAGCCACACGTGGTAAGTTGAAGAGAGTCCTAAGTGGAAGGTAAAAGCCAGTCTTGTCTTTTTTTTTTTTTAATGTATGACCCAATATAACTGCTAATTCATTAGAGTAGCCAGATTTCAGCGTTTAGAACATACTCATTAAGGCAGCGTCCTATAACTGAGCACCACCAAATGGTTTCTACCTGGTTAATCTGAATACTTGCAAAGTGTAGCCCTGACTGAACAAACCAATATTTAGAGTATCCACTGTCAGTTTGCACTCCTTGGGGGAGGGCACACAACAGTTCTAGGAAGTCTGGAGGGAAATGAAGCTGAGCCATGGTAAACACAGCTAGCCTGGTGGACAAGGAACCCTCAGAAAGGGCCATGTTGGAGTTTGATGAACAGCATGCTCTGGAGATCTGAGAAATGCACTCTTTGTACATGGTTGTTTACAAATACCCTGAAGTGAGAAATTGCAGAAATGACTGGTTTGAGTGAAACAGACCTGTGAGTCAGGGGAGAGAGATAAGGGCTTTGGAAATGCAAGCAGTCATTACAGGTCAACTGTGCAGGACCCTGGGCTACTACTCTGAAGAATGTGGGTTTCACTGTAAGGGCAAGTGGAAGCTTCCAAAGTGTTTTACTTAGCAGATGATGAGATTCAAGGAAATCTACTGGCCAAAGGAGAGATCAGAGACAGTGAACAGGGAGATAATACAGAACTGTCAGTGTTCCCAGCAGGTGGCGACCTGACATGGGCAGTTCTCTTCAGTCAGAACTATGTTCGTGCTAAGCCACACTTCACCTTTTTATGGTATTCACATCTGCATGCTGGTGGCAAACTGTCACCCCTTCACCAGGTCCTTGTTAACCATGTGTGCTGTTGACAGCAAAAGAAAAAACAATCTAGGTTCACTGTGGATTACACCTCATGAGGCTGTGAGAATTGACTTTGTTCATCTGGTATCTAAGCATGTGTCTGATGATGGTGCCTGTTGTGAGGGGAGGCTTTTAAGCAGCTGCTTGAGTTGAAGGCTGGCTTTTTTATGAACACTCCCATTACTTCAAAGAATGACTAACAAATGGTTTATTCAGACTTGGATATTTGGCAAATACTTTCTTGAAAGTAGTGAAGTAAGCGTGTCACTTCAAGGAAAACAATTCACAGCATTTGTGGGCAGTGAAGGTTTTGAGCAAAAATTAGAATTTTGGAAAACTTTTATATATGCACACATATATACATATACACACCATGGGCTTGACAGCCTCCCAGGACTTTTTTGGTGAGATTAGCAGTTACTGACGAGATGAATTCTTTTTTCTATGACGTAATTAAATGTGTCACATTTGAAAATCCTCTGTAAGTTGGTGAACCAGTATTTGCAAGTGACCAATACATGTCACAAAATCATGCACGGGTAAAAAAAGATGGTTCAGAGGGCAACACGATCCAATGGATTTTACATAACAGTACAAAAAAATTCTTTGATAGGATTTCATATTACATGTAACCTGGTCAAATCTAGTATAGTGTCAAGGAATAATACAATGATCTGAAAAAGTGACTAGAGCCCATCTCTAGTTCCTGCTGAACGTGTGGGTGTACATTTCCTAACCAAGATCATATAGTACAGCAGAGCTGTACAGGTATCAGAGTCCAGACAGTAAAAAGATTTGCGGAAATATAAAACAAGGTCACGTTTCAAAATGAATTATTTTTTAAATTTTTCAGTTTTAACTTCTAATATAGTAGTTATAATTCACATCAACAAAAGCTGTTTGGGGTTCTCAGTACTTTTAAAGTATGAAAAGGGATCCTGTGACCAGACATTTGCATACCAGCCAAGATTAAATTGGTGAAGCCAGTAGAGAAGGAGTTGCCAAGGCAGGCAGGGCATTCCATAACCAGAGAGAATCACCAAGGACAGCTGAAAGGAACTGGCCTTTGCTGTGACAGGAGGGGGAAAAGTTGGTTGTCACTATAGACAGATTTTAGATTTTGTGAAAGGGAGACAGTTATCAACCTTCGCTTTTTGTTTTTTTCAAAATGTAAGGTAAGGTCACTGGTGGGGGTTGAAGAAAGAGTTGTCAGGAAGGCAAGGCTCACAGCTACAGGCAGGATGAGACTGCCTACTGGAAAGGGAAACCAATTTACCTACTTGTGGGATGTCCCCGTCAAAGTACAAGAAATGAAAAAGGACAAGATTGAAATCATTCAGGGTCTGAGTTTTGATTACTTTCGAAAGAGGGAGAGAGAGGGACATAAATGGGCCTTTCAAGACAATGATTAAAAATGCTAGACCATTTTCTCTGGGAAATGTTAAAATACTCTTATGACTAGGTCTTAAGTCTGAATAGACTGCTGCAAGAAATTTGTATACATTAATAATGATAGATATAAGTAGTATAGTAACATGTCTCTGTCCTTTTAGTTTTCCAAATGTGCTTTAAAAATATTGTACTAGAAATCTTCATTTTATTAAACACACATCTGATTTTGTTTCTGTTTAGTTTTAATCGCTTGGACCTCCCACCGTATAAGAGTTATGAGCAACTGAAAGAGAAACTTCTTTTTGCAATAGAAGAAACAGAGGGGTTTGGACAAGAATAAAAGGTTTCTCATCTTGGGGAACTCTGGTGTTCACATACCCCAGCCAAGAAAAATTTCACAGATAAGTGTAAATAAGCCGTTCGTTCTGTACGGTGCATTTTCTGAACATCTCTAAATATAAATGTTTTCTGTTGTTATACAGAATATACAAAAGAACTCATCCTTTTCTACTTTATTTATTATTCCCTTGAACTGATTGACCAGGAAAAGGATTACCTTTAACTTCTGCAGCAAGAGACTTTATTAAAAATAAGTATCTACATCAGTGTGCCCATAGTGGCTCTAGTTTTATAGAGCTGCATGGCTGCATCATCACAACAGCGTTCCTGCGGAAGCAGTCTGGATGCCTTCACCTCAGTTCTGCCCCCTCACATGACATATCCCATGTGGTATGTGCAGTTGTGTGGATGTTCAGGAAGGTACTGAGGGCCTAGGCCAAATCTGACTTAGAGTATGTTAACTAATGCTGCTGGCTTTTCTGAAGACAGGTGCTCAAACCTGTCAATTTATTTTAAATAAATACAGTAGTTGAAAATTTCCCCTCTGCTACACCACTAAGGAAATGCAGTCCAAGTAACAAATGAAAGCATCCTTACGTGAAAGTCATGTACTAACAGACCCAGCACCATTCTTTCTAGTTTAGAGATGGAATCTATTGAGAAGCATCGAGTTTTGTTTACATGTTCCTTTGGGATACTAGGTATTTGTGGGATTGAAAGAATCAGGCACATCTGTACTTTTGTTTTTAAGTGTGATGGTCTTTTAATTCGTAACTTGATGCAGTTTGATACTTAGGGACATAGAAAAGGTAATGAACTTTTCCATTTTTGTTTTCAAAGTTTTAGTTCATTAAATCAGATGGACTAAAGAGTTCATAAGCATTTGAACTCAAATGAGTCTAATGATTTTCTGTTCATGAAAATTCTATGTATATGAATTAAATAAGCATATCAACAATCTTTTGATCCTTCCCCCTTTCCATATAGATTTTTGTCCTAAGTAACTTTTTAATTGTTATCAAAGCCATTTTCTGAACTACAAAGTTGTATAACAAATTAAAATCTAATGTGATATTAATGCTCCTTTACCAAACAGGGCTTCCTAATTAATACAAAAATTTAAATATGCATCATTTCAATATGCACTGTAAATTTCATTTAACTAAAAATTTTCTATAACCACAGAAGTGACATCTTAGAATGTTAACGTATTTCACTGCTGAATACATATAAAAATTAGTATACAATCTAATCTCCCTAAAGTTTGTTTTGCCAAAAAATTTTTTTATATATTAGATTGTGTTCTGTATTTTTTCAAAACTCACAGTAAAGATGCAATAAGGGCAGTGATCCAGTTGGTTGAATAGACTCCTTTCCCAAACTCTAACTGCTGACACGGGTTCTTTTCAAGCCTAAAGAATTTTTTTTTAATCTAACATATATGACAGAGTGATAACTAGTCTTCAAAGTGCTCCTCAAGTTATACCTGAAAAGAGTTCACTGTCAGACACATAAAGGTGCCCCAGCTGGATGAGTTTGTAATGATTGAAGACAGGAGGTTTTCATGGGTCTGGTCCCCTCTCCACTTCAGGTAAGAAATTATTGTGATCAAATGGGCTAACATAACCCAGATCAGCTTTCTGGAGAGGCCTTCCCCCTTCCGTGATGATGACAGAAATACAGACCTGCAGGCAGGATCCCCTGTCCTGACTGGTCCTAGCACAGACAGCTCCCAGGGGAGGCTCAGCAACATGCAGCACCAGTACCAGCAAACAGATCACAGGCACAACACACTTTCATATACCATATTAGTTGCTGGCCTTCTCTGGACAGACACTACAAGTGGTTTTGTTCTCAGTCCCTCCTCAGCGGTTAGTTAGAACTGAAAGGTCTGAAAAACCGTTAAACTACAGCCTTGGCTTGCCCACCCACCCAGCTCTTCTCATCCTCAGAGGCAGACAGGGTGGCATGTGTCAGCAACACTGACATTGTAATTCACCCCATTCCTCACCCCCTTCAATAGACACACTCTTAATCCACTGAACTTAAAAGCCAAACTCGTGTTCTATGCTTTTCCTTTGACAGATCAAATCCCCACGTGACCTCATCAGACGGCACTTCACCTTCTGAGGCTCCTCTGCACCTATTATACACTCTCTAGTCACAAGACACAGTTCAACGCTAAGTGCAGGACATTTGTCACATGAACCCCATGGGCCTTGCCAAAGTTACCACAGTGATGCACAGGCACATAGGCCAAAACAGTGTCTAGAGTGAGCTTGCACAAAAGCAAAAAATGCCACCAAAATAATGTTCTGCCAACAAAGACAAATCCAAAAGGGGCATCTCCTACTAAATCCCAACTTTACTCCCCAATTTCCACAAAGGAGAACACAATCAAAGGGCCATGGTATTTAATATACATACTGATACTCATGGTAACTCCTTCATCCTCATGACTCCACAAACTGTTTTTTTTTTGTTGTTGTAGAGTGTGAGAAAAGTCATTTTACAAAATCCACAGTCTGTAATTAAATACTCAGTTGGGAAAACTGCCAACAAGAAGTTAATTGAGAGCTTCTGGGTTCTTACAGTATAGTAGCCAATTTCCAAGTTCAGATTTCTTGTCACAGCCTCTAAAAAAGGAAACGTCTACAAGGAGGTCCTTGTAACCACCCAGCCAGTCTGTAATGCTTACAAGATAGAACACAAATATTTGTGTACACACATAGGAGGGGAAACGAGGGAAAATAAGCATCTCAAAACAGCAGTCGGTGCTGGGGCAGGAGCCCAGAGGGGCTGCACAAGACGGAGCCAGACTGGGCTCCCGTAGTTCAAAGCAGGTCTAACCCAAAGGAAGTCCTGGGTCATCATACTCCTGGGAGTCAAAAGGCAGAGACTAAGAAAGTACATAGAACCCTGGAAGGTGCCATGTCCTAGAGGAGGGAACTGCCCCTTAGTTACAGGGAGAACACAACAGCTCTGTAACAGGCCCAACAACTACACTTCTAAGTGTCTATCCGAGAGATATGAGATGTACCATTCTAATGATCATAGCACCGAAGATTCCCATGGCTTAACTGCCTTCCAATAGATTCAGGTTAAATGAATGGGAACACCCACACAAGAAACAGTCAACAATACAGATCTCAAAAGGTCAGGTACTGTATGATTCCATTTATATATATAACTCCTAAAATGACAAAATTATAGGACAGGTCAGGATGGATGGAGAGGTGTATATGAAGAGACAGCACCAGGGAGCCTGGTGATGACAGGGACTCTAGAACAGTCACAAAAGTTTCCAAGGTGACAAAACTGCACACATACACAAATAAGAACACTTCAAAGTAGATCGATCTGAACAGGGTTTGGCTGTGTTAAACATCACTACTGGGCAAGCAAAGCAGGATGCATAGGACCTCCCTGTATTAGTTTTTGCAACTTGTTATGAATCTATAAAGTTAAAAACACTTTAGCTCTGGCCAGGGACCTCAGTTGGTTAGAGGATTATCCCAATACACCAAGGATGAAGGTTTGATCCCTAATCAGGGCACATACAGGCATCAACCAATGAAAGCATAAATAAATAGAACAACAAATCAATGTTTCTTTCTCTCTGAAATCAATTTAAAAAAAAAAAAGTTTTTTAAAAGCTCTACAGGCCCTGGTAGGCTAGCTCAGTTAGAATCACCAGGATGTACAAAGGTGTTTTGATCCCTGGTCAGGGTACATTAAGAATCAACCAATGAATTCATAAATAAGTGGAACAACAATCTGATGTTTCTCTCTTTCCCTTCCTCTCACACACACACACACACAAATCACTCAGGAGACAGCATTTACCCAAACCTCTTACCTCCCATTTCATTACCGGATAATTCATCTCCAGAAAATAACATTCAAAGTCACTCTAAAGGAAAGTGATAAATGTCAAGTTGAGCACAAAAGATCCAACATAATTACCTGGGGGTCCTTGAAAGTCAGGTGGGCCAGTGGTTCTCAAAGTGGGTTCAGTAAGGCCCACTGAACAACAGACAATCAAAGACAGGTGTCAAACTCATTTTCACTGGGGGGCCACATCAGCCTCGAAGTTGCCTTCAAAGGGCTGAAAGTAATTTTAGGAGTGTATAAATGTAACTACTCCTTAACTACCTGCAACGAGGTTGGCAGAGCTGCCAGGTAGAAACAAGGTACCAGGCTGGCCAAAACAAGGTGGAGGGCTGGACTCTGCCACCGGGCCTTGTGTTTGCCCTGTGATCTAAGACAACTGGCCTGGCTACTTCACAGTCACAGCTGAGAAGAAAAGCTGAGGGAGTAATTTCCAAATGCAATATACGTTTGCATCCTGATTTTTAAGAAAGTAAGACATTTTGGGACACTTGAAATTTAAAGGACTGGGTATGAGATAATAAGTTGGACTTCTAGGTGAGATCATGGATTTGTGAAAGGGCCATATTCTGAGATGATGAAGTATCCAGGAATGAAATACATCATCTACAGTTAATTTCAAGATTCAGGAATATACACGGCTATATACACAGAGAAAGGCAGAGCCACTGCTTTGTTTTCCTTTGTATTTGAGAACACGCATAAGATACAGCACATCATTTCCCTCCCTTGCCCCCCACTGTGACACCATACCCTCTGAGGAGCTCCCAACACATACACTCTCACATTCAAAATCATCCTTTTTTTACAAGCTTCAGACTTTGCAGGGTCACATCCAGCCCCAAGGAAGCAGTATTGTCTGCCTACTTAAACATCTTACATTCCACTTTTCCCTCAAGTTCTGCGTTGCTTTCAACCCGTAAGGCAACAGAACTTGGGCACTGTCAAGTCCCAGATCAACCCACTTGTGAAACAAAGTCACATCACACACAGAGATCACTCATTTCCAGTTCCCTCCTGAGGCAGCCTGGCTCCCAGATACATCATTTAACTGCTTTACACCCAGAACCCTCAATCCCTAACCTCCTAACTTTCACTGCCCCCTCTCTGCAAGATTTCAAGTGGGAACCAGTCCAACTTGAAAATGCACCCTCAGTTGCCCCTCTTCATGGGCTTTCCTTCCTACTTCCCTCCATCCCATGTGAACAGACCTCAAATGTCACACCACCTGGAACTGCTAGTGTCCCAGACACATGGTAACCGCCCCCTGAGCCATGGAGACACCTCTACCCACATAGCAATTATCTCTTTTGACTTGTTATTTGTGAAGAACCTAGAATTTTGTATATTTGTTAAATGGTCACAACATTAAAAAAACAGCCACAGAACAGTTATGGTTAACATACTTATAATTTGATGAAAAGGCAGTGTTTCCTAGATTTCAGGTGTTTTCTTTCTTCTCTGAAAAATTCTTAATTCTTGCCACTGAAACCTGTAAGCAACTGAGTAGCTTCTGCCTGTACCTAAAAAGGAAAAATACATGTAATAGACAGTAGAACTTAAGAAGTTTAAGTTCATAAGGTAGACTGCAGTGTCTAACAGTTTCCAAAAATCAGGATAGCATATTTTAAGAATAAAATTTCTTAGCAATGACTCTTCCACACACCAGAACCTCCCACCCACCTACCCCTTGCCATTTATTTTAGAAATCTCATTTGATTACCTATGTATATCAAACAGGAATAACTCACAAGGATTCATAACATCTGTTGATAATAACTAAGCATATGTTGTACAGAAATTAGGATAAATGTTAATTCATGTTCAAAATGAACACTCTTGTTTTCAACAATATGCATTTAGACAACTTATGTTCTTAAAGACGTTCTTAATTCACTTTTATGTATAAGAGTGCCTCAATGGAAACCTATCTGCCTTACTTCACTGGAGACGTTACCTGTTTATCCTCCTGTGTGTGTGCCGGGTAGTCCTTGGCTTTTAACAGCCAAAAAGCAGCAAGCTTTTTGTTTTGTAGCTTCAAATATGTCTTTCCTAAAAGAAGCAAGTTTTTGCTGTAGAAGTTTGGATCCACTGTTCATAAGAAAGAAAAACAATTATCTCAGAAGAAATAGTATTGCTCTTATTTTTAAAGGCTTTATTTTTTTTTGGTCTAAATTCTGAAAATAAATTTGTGTGGTCAATAAATGATTAGGCTAACTGGGATACTCTTTTATTCAACTCTGTATTATCTCCAAAAGATGCGTAAAACAAGGTAATTGAATATCTACTATGTGTAGGATTCTATTACACACACCTTTCATTTCATCATTTCATGGCATTTTATAAAGCTGATGCTCCATCCAGTCACTGGGAGACAAGCTACCTACCACAGGACAGGGACTTTCCTTTATCACCTTTTTTCCCTGTTGCACCCTAAGTGCCTAGAACATAGCATGCACTCAGCAGACTGTCGAATGAGACATCATGATGATTCACACACTATACCAACACATACTGGATGGGAGCTGCCCTTATGCATAGATGAAACAATCTGCTTTTTTGGAATTTATAATGAAAAGGAGGAACATGAGCACAATGAAATATAATGTAAGAAAGAAAAGATGAGAAACCAAAGAAAAAAGCAACTAACTCTAACAGGTTATACCTGGGCTGAATTGGAGGCCAAGTAGGGTTTTAAACAGAAAAGTGGAGAACATTGTTGGCTGAGGGAAAAACGTCAACACAAAGCCTATGAATGAAAGCATAGTTTCATCTCACAAACTTCATTAATTCTTTACACAGTTTCCATGTATCAGCTTGGGGACCTCTATATTCAAATCATACTTCTTCCTGGATACAATTTACATTCATTTGCTCCTTAACCCAAAACTTTTACTTCTTTCATGTTAACATATTTGCAAGATGACATGTGGATGTGCTTAAGGTTTCCTTGGGGTAAAATGCAAATCATTCATTCATTCATTGATTCATCTCTCATTCAGCAAATTTGCCCAGGACCAGGCTAAACAGCAAGGATGCAACTGCGAGCAAAAAAAGCCCCCATCCTCCCTGCATTTAGCTGTAGACATGGACAAGTATTCACACTGTGGAGTAACAAAAACTCCAATGGGAGAGCTTAAAGGTACTTAAGGCAGAGGAAGGACTTCTAAACAAGACATGGGCCACAAGGAAAGGCTGCCTCATGCAAGTGACCTTTAAGGTAAAAGGTGAGAACAATCAGTTACTGAGGATTTTAGCTCCAGGAGAGCAACACCATGTTTTCCTCAATACTCCTAATCCTTCATTATCTAACACCCTTTTAGGCAAATTCATTCCCATATTTATATTCATGATACATAAAACTACCATCATGAAGATGCCAATGGAAGGCAGTAACAGTAAACTGGAATTAATGTATTAAACAGAGCTAGTTAACACTTAAGACAATTATTCAGAAAAAGTGTTTTTCTTTTTAAATGCTTCGCTGTGCTGGCATGGTAGTTTGGTTAGAGCATCGTCCTAATATGCCAAAGTTGCAGGTTCAATCCCTGGGGTTAGGGCAACATATAAGAATCAATCAATGATTCATAAACAGAACAACAAACTGATGTTCTCAATCTCTCTGAAATCAATAAATTTTTTAAAAAATTTCTTTGCTATCATCTAAGCATTTGAATAAGTCCATATGAGTAGGTTCTCAATTTTAATAGTCTTTGATTTTTCTGATTAAGTTAGAAAAACATTTGCAAAATTTTGGTGTATTTGGTAACACATGTTTATATTCCTTCTCTAATTGTGTTAATATTAAAAAGGATAAACACAGGATGGGCTGGTGTCACTGCAGGCTGCCATTTCTTCCGAGCAAGAGTGACATGAAACTCTTCTGCAACAGGGTAACTGCCCTGGTTTAAAACCAGAGTTTCCATGTAAATGCCTCTAATTAGCTGAGTGATCTTGAGTAAGACGATTAACCTGTGAAGCCTCTGAATTACATCAAATGAAAGACCATTCCAGAATGGCACATCTAAACGCAGTTGGGGCTATTTCTTACTCAAGTGCTCTTTACTGAATAAAACATTAAGAATTATTTGACAATACAAAGGTGTTCAGAATAAATATTTATGTTTTAAAATTTTTATTATTCACAATTTTAATAGTAGTGTCTGAAATATTTTACCTTGCTCTGCCGTTTGAAAGTAGCCTAAGGCCTGTAAAAACAAAGAACCCAAACATAATGAAAAAGATTAAAACGCACTCAATATTAAAAATTTTTCTCTCAAAATCTATTCCTATATTAAATATAAGCCAGGAAGTAGATGAAAACATCTTGAAATAAGGATCAATTTCATCAACAGTGAGAGCTAACATAACAAAACTAAACGTAACACTTAAATCCCCAGAGCACAGATTACGTGGGGACCCTTCTAACCATGACTTGTCCCAAAGCAGCATCACATGCAGAGGAAGACTGTTCACATGCAACTGGGCTATTTTGATCTTTCTTGTTTTAAGTCCTAACAATGACTAGCAGGGGAAACTAGATAAAAATCAAAAGCACAATTTACTCAGTGACACACATGTTGTACCAGTGAATGTTTAAAATCCTTTATTGGTGAAATTCTTATATAAAATGTTATTGAGTCTGAAATTGCTTTTTCTTTTTAACTTGCTCAAACTTCTGACAACTGATTTATTAAAACCATAATTACTTTGTTGTAAGAGAGCTATCTTTCTTCTTAGAATGCATTCTTTTAAATAAATACTTCCCAACTGTGCCCTAATTATATACCTCAAGGGAAAAAGAAAACAAAACATCTCCTTATTATGATACAAGTACTGGGAAAGCTATTTCACAACTGTCTATTTCCCTGCTCTGAAGATTTTGTGAGGAGTAAACCCAAAATGTTTGCCCAGAAACCCTTTTCAAATTTTATCTTCAACAGGAAAAGCAAAAGGCCTTCAGAAAATAACAGAGTATGAGCTTTTTCCTCTTTTTCAATAGAACTTTTTAAAAAAAGTTATCAAGTGCTTTATTTTGCAGGTAAGTGACTTATACAGAATGTGTCTGTAAAACATGCTGAGGAACAGTTGCTCTATTTCCTGTTCTATTTGATGACTTTATTAAATAATAGTATAAATTTCAAACAGAAAATGCAGCTGTTAGCCATTGGTTACTTTACTTGACAATACACCAGCATTATGAGCCTCCAGCCAGAGAAACTGCACTCAAAGAGTCATGGACACAGTGACACATGGACTCAGTGTGCCTGTGCCAGCCACACTGACCAGTCCAGAGGGAGAGCCCTGCAACTGCAGCACACCTCAAAGGTCAGTACTAACTGTGCCAAGCATATCACACACCTCTTCATAGGTGGAGCTGGGAGGGGCTGCAAACAGCATGTTGGCAATTCTTCTTTGATACCAAGGCATTTCAGCAAACGTGTAACACCTAAAGAAGCAAACGTTCATACATCAAATTGCACCTTATTCTCTCTTAAAAGAGAATCAAACAGTTTCTTTTAAACAATTCCTAGTGGACATAATACTTTGTAGGTTAACAGTCATATTGAATTATGCAGACTGACGTTTATACTGACCCATCAACTAGGGTGTATTTTGTGATCAAATATGAACAGTTCACAACAGTACTAGTAATAACTGTCATTCTCCCAGAACGCTTATGGTGTCCCAGGTGCTAAGTTTAGTGAGTTCCTTCCTCTCATCTACTCAACTAATGAAACAGGATCATTACTGTATGTTTTTACATGAGAAAAAGTACTCAGAGAAGTTAAAAAGGATTAAGAAAAATGACAAAACTAAACATGATATGCATGAAAAACAATTGCACCCAACATTTTTAAATGCATATGTTTAAAAGAGTGAGGAAAATGGGCTGACATCCAAAGATCTTGACACCCCTCTGAAGTGAGTAGGAAACAAGTGCTGGGTCTTCGACTACGTCTGAACTTATGTTTACTCACTAGCACCTAACTCAGTGACTGCAGACATTTGATTAGTTTAATTAATGTCCTTTGTCCTGAAGATTTCCCTCTCCGAGAAGTTTGTTTCATGGCAGTTTACATTATCACCTCTTAGAAGACAATAAATATTTAGCCCTGAAGACTACACACAAAGACAGTGCCAGGATTGTGTTCAGAAACTCAGCCAACAAGTAAACAAACTGAAGCACACAGACAAGGTTACACAGAAACAAGATGACATTCAGACTCAGGTGACTTGTTCTCAGATGCACTCAAGGTGCAGGGGTCCTCTAAGGCTCCCTCCCTGTGCACCTCCACAGTGGTAGTGAACCAATTTCACTTTGCCTAGTAAACAGTCATTTTCATCACAGGGAATTTTAAAGTCTACCACAAAGTTCTAATGCCTTTTCAGTCTTAGTACAGTCATCCTCCCTAATCCATGGTTTTCTTTCTGCACCTTCCGTTATCATGGTCAACTGCAGTCCCAAACTATTAAATGGAAAATCCAGAAATAAACAATTCATAAGTTTAAATTGCATGCCCTCCCAAGTAGTGTGATAAAATTTCGTGTGATCTGCACAGTCCCACCCAGGACCTGAATCATCCCTTTGTACAGTGTCCTTGCACTGTAGATGCTCCCACCCATTAGTCACTCAGTAGCTATCTGTTATCGTGTTTGTGTACAGGTCACCCTGATTTTACTTCCTAACAACTCCAAAGCACCAATTAGTGGTGCTGGCAATTCAGATACTCCAAAGAGATGCTGTAAGCACTCCGTTTACGTGAAAAAGGTGTGTGTAGGGGGAAAAAACAGCATATACAGAGTTACCATCTGCAATTTCAGGCAGCCACTGGGGGGTCTTGGACATATGCCCCATGGATAACAGGATGACTGTAGCTATCTCTAAATGATCTGGATAACAACGTTTAACATCATCACAATCAAATTTAGTATTTTCTAATAATATAGGTACAACTGCTAATTAATTTAATGGATTAAAACACTGCCAAGTACTATTTAAAAATATTTTACACCTTGCTTTTCTTACACACTACAAAATAAGGTCATACTAAATACTACTGTAATATTTATTCAAAGAAATTTTCTTACCAAACACCCATTAGGTGAATTGAGGTAGCATCTTTAGGGTTCAATTCAATTGCTTTCTAACAAGAAATGAGAAAATCATTTGTTTTTGAAACAGCAACAGGAACTTTGCTATGTTTACTGAAGAAGCCATGATTTAAAAATAATTTTTTGCAACCTTGCATTTCAGTTCTTCTATGATAATCCATGCCAATTTTCCTCCTTGATTCTTTAATTGGTTAAATTTGTTTCATTACATGATTAAATAAATTATACCAATGTTACAATATTTTACAGAGTTCAGAAACCAATAATAGTGATTCTCAAGATGAGAAAAACAAGAAATATGGAAGTAAAGCTAATTTTAACAGTAATCCACAGTTCTCATGTTTCTTTTTCTAGATTAAAAGAAAAATAAGCAAGTTCTTTTTTGCCTACGTGAATAAAAAGCATTCTTTCTGAGTAGAAGAAAGAAGTACATAATTTTAGAGAGTCTCTTGTATGCAGATTTTGGTCAACTTGCCCATCTATACTTAACCAAGAAAAAATAAATACTATTCATTCGCAGATTTCATTAATAGGATTATGCACAAGGTAAAATACGTTATAAAGTGTCCCTAGTTTCTATTTACTATGTGACATCCTGTGTGATTTAATGTAAAGCATGAACTACAGAATAACTTCAATGAAATTATTCCTCTTATACATTATTGTGTTGAAAACTGCTAAGGAAATCTCAGAGATTAATGCAATACCATTAAAAATAAAAGATCCCTTTTTAAAAATAGACTCCCTAAGCTTTTTTTCTGTACACCAACATTTTCACTTTCAGTTGGGAATGTGTGAGATACACATTTTCAAATATCTGTATTGGTTACCAGTGTGGGCTGTGAAGCCAAACTACCTGGGTTTGAATCACAGCTCATGACTTCTAACTTTTGACCTTGGCATGTTTCTATATTCCTGCCTGGGTCTGCTCTTTGAGAGAATTAAGAAAATACTACACCTCCCAGGTGTAGTATTGTAGTGAAATGAATTGAGGGTTGTAGTGAAAATGAAATGAGCAAGTAATAGGAGGTGCTTAACACAGTAATATCTTTTGTCAGCATTATTTTTACTTAAGTACCAGGCACTTGATTTCTTACTAACACTGATCAATGTCAGTGGCAGTAGTAGAGATGATATAATGAGGCTAACAAGTATGACTTGGCAGAACTCTAGCTTCAATAATATGGGTAAGAATCAACACTCATCAAAAAACTTACTTTCCTATAAATATTGTGATATGACATACCAAAATATATTTTGAAGTAGATATACAACTTTAAGCTATCTTTCCCTATTGCTATTTGAGCTCCACTGGAAAATTAAGCCCTCAAAAAATTATGTAATTGTTTTCTGCATTGTACAAGTACAGGTCTCATGCCATTCTAGATGCAAAAGAAGGAAGTTAATCCACCACAAACATGGTGCCCTGGGCATAAGAATTTAACTTTCTTATGGGATGGGTGAGATGGCTACTCTCAAGCAAACACAGTTTGCTTAATTCCTTCTGACTTTAACTATAATAATGGACTCTGGAATAGTAGGATAAACAATACTAAACACTGTCATTTTAAAATATACTGAACATATATATATATATATATATATATATACATTTGAAAACATATACAAAACATTTTCTTAAATATAACCTATAGCCTTCACTGTTTCTTTAAAGTACACATTAATATACTTTCCTCAATTTTTCATTATTCATACTGGAAGTTATTTGTCATGTATTTCTACATACCAAGGCAGAGTAATTTAGGAGCTATATCTAATGTCACTGAGAAAAATACTCTATTTCATCGAGTCTAAGATACCATAACATCTATGCCATATCATTACATTATGTACCACTTAGAAAGAAAAAGCAATTATAGGATATCACTGGCTATATAATGCAGTCTGATTTCAATGGTCTTAAAATATGACAAATGCATATTATTAAATGGAAATGTGTACACACGCATACGTACTACTGATGCTTGAGTAAGAAGCTAGGTCTCCTGACTCCTCACTCAATGTTGTTTTACACTAGTCATTAAAAAGAAAAACTAGGTATTGAGACTATCACCAGAAAATTCAGAAAAGCTGTTACACAGACTAACATTATCCCTGTACAAGTTTTCATCACTTTCTTTTCCTTTGTATTTTTAAGATGGTCTGGGGGTGTCCAACCCGCAGCCCACAGGCCACATGTAGCCCAGGATGGCTATGAATGTGACCCAACACAAAATTGTAAATTTACTTAAAACATTATGAGATTTGTTGTGATTACATGTTGCAAAGTATTTAATGTGTAGACCAAGATAACTCTTCTTCCAGTATGACCCAGAGACACCAAAAGGTTAGACACCCCTGGGTAGAATATCACAACAGAAATAAACATGCTGGCTTTTCAATGGTGGTTTTGTTTGGAATACAGTGGAATAGGTGTGTATGTGCACCATGGAACACACAGACTTCTGGAGTTTCTGGCAGCTGAGGAAGAGCTTAGCATGAATTAACTTTAAGGGGAGATACTAAAACACACACAGAAAAATCACAGCATAAACAGCACTGTTACTATAGGAATGGAGCAGGGATTGTTTGACTGTTAGAAGAGGCCACACCTTCCAGTATGGGACCCTGCACAGTCCCCTCTCACAGACCGGCCTTGGCCACATGACTTATTTTGGTCAATGGGATATTACCAAGTGTGATGCAAGTTTGCACACTGGGACTTTTCCCTTGGAATGCTCATTCTTGGAAGCCAGCAATCACAGTAAGGAAGCATGGGCCAGCCTGGCTGGTGTGACTCAGTGGACTAAGCACTAGCCTGTGAAACAAAGGGTCGCTGGTTTGCTTCCTAGTTAGGGCACATGCGTGGGTTGAAGGCCAGGTCCCCAGTGGGAGGCATGTGAAAGGCAACCACACATTGATGTTTCTCTTCCTTCCCCCCGCCATCTATAAATAAATAAATAAATAAATAAATAAATAAATATCTTTTAAAAAATTACTAAAAGAAAAAGAAGCATGGGCCAATGACTAAATGGACAGAAACCATTGAAGACAACAGGCCATCCCATACACCTGTCCCAGCCAAGGGGCCAGATGAATGCAGTTCTCAGTCAGCTGGGCTACCCCAAGCAGAACAGAAGCACTTGGTATTGTCAATCTACAGAACTGGCAGAAATAACCTGCCACTGCTTGAGGCCACTAAATTTGAGGTGGTTTGTTAAACAGCAAGGAATTAGTGAAGCAAATCTACTCAGAAAGCTAATGGCTTTTTCAATTCAGCAGTACCTCAAAATGCTCCTTGATAACATAGGCATTTGCAATTTTAGCCTTGATGCCTTCGTAATCTCCAACATCACTAATACAGATCGCATACCACTAAAAATAAAAGAAAAAAGGTGTAAGAAGAACAATACTTAATAGTCCATTCAATACAAGGTAAAAGTGAATAATTATTCCTCAGTAGTCATTCTCATGTTACTCTCATTGAGCGTAAATACCATGTTATATACATGGAATATATGAAGAAAAGTGGCCATGGTCCTTAGGAACTCAAGGATGGCACATCTTTACAGAGAAACAGAGTACAAATCCGAGAGCAGAGAGGATTTAATCTCTGAGGAAGTCATCAACACAGTACAGTAATGATTCATGTCTACAGTCTGAGTATAAATTTAGAAAAACCTGTAATTCTGTAACTCATTTTATTTTCTCACTCTTTTTCTGGGAGCTACCTCTCCACATCTGCATCATTATAGTAATAACAGCTGCCATCTGTCAATTGTGACCCACAGCCATACTTGGACAACAGACACAAACTGAGACAATCTAAGTTTCTTCTCTAAGAATTCAATACAAACTATCCAAGCTTTGTAAATACAGGTGCTATGGAAAGTCACAGAACTCAGGATAAGAAAAAGTCTTTAGTGACAAAGCTGCAGAGAAGAGCCCACAGCCTCAGATCAATTGAGCCAGTGTTTCTGGAAGCCATTTTAAATACACCTGCCTTTGCATTCTGTGAAATAAAATAGTTTCCAGAATAAACACCCCCCCTTTTTGTTTGAACTTATTTCTGTGGGATTTTAATTATTTTAACCAGAAAGATTTAAACAAACTTCTGTTTTGATCTATTCCCCACCAAAATACTTTGTATCTTTCAATGTTTCTTAAAAATAAAAATACTATTTTTCACAGACATACCCCTCTAATAGTCTAAATCCAGATGACTGGAGGGGTCACATGGGGTCTCAAACCTGGTGCTCTGAGCTTCTGCCACATCTCAGGACTCTGGGTAAAATCACCTTCTCTTACATACTTAACTATCACCTACATGCAAAGCAAACACATTCTCCCCTAAGTTGGCATTTCATGATTTACAATTAGTTAATGATCAATCATCAAGAGTTGTTGGTAGGAGGGGTGATCATGAGTGGTTTTTATTTCCATATTTGTACACTTTGAATTTCCAAAATGGCTATTGTCTATAATGAATTCACATTATCTTTAAAGAAAACTTTTAAGCAGATATTCTAGTCAAGAAGGGATAATAGATCCTATATTTACCTTCTTGCCTGAAACACTAAAATCCAGACAAAATATAATAAAGATTTTTGAGATACCACACATAAGCAACAGTGACACCTGAGAGACAAGGTGAGCCTAATAGTTTCCTCTACAATCAGGAACAAGACAAGAATTGCCATTCCAACACTGTGCTGTGAGCTCTAGCCAAGGAAGTTGGGCAAGATAAGAAAGGAAAGAGTAAAACTATCTCTACTTATAGATGACATGATCTTATATAGAAAACCCTAAAGATTATACAATGAGTCTAGCAAAGCTGTAAGATATAAAAATCAATATGCAAAAATTAGTTGCATTCCTATACACTAGCAATGAACAACCTGAAAATGAAATTAAGATAATATAAATTACAATAGCATCAAAAAGATATCAAAGCAACCTAAGTGTCCATCAACAGACGAATGGATAAAAAGGTAGTATATAAATACAATGGAATATTGCTGAGTCATGAAAAGAATGAAAATTTACATTTGTAACAACATGGATGGACCTAGAGGATATTATGCTAATAAATTAGGGAGAGAAAGACAAAAACCATGTGATTTCATTGATATGTGGAATCTACAAAACTGCACAAAACAGCCCTGACTGGTGTGGCTCAGCTGGTTGGGCATCATCCCACAAAGGGCAGCCTGTTCAATTCCTAGTCAGGGCACATGCCTAAGTTGTGGGATTGGTTCCCAGCTGAGTTGCATACAAGAGGCAACCAATTCATATTTCTCTTCCACACATTTCTCTCCCTCTCTTTATCCCTGCCCTTTCCCTAAAAATAATATATAATCTTAATAAAATAAAAAAGATCAACAAAACAGAAACATTCATCAATACAGAGAACAAACTGGTGATCACCAGATGGGGGGTTGGTTTGGGAGCTGGGTGAAAAAAGTGAAGGGATTAAGTACAGATTAGTAGTTACAAAGAATCACAGGGATGTAATAAAGTACAGCATAGGGAATCTAGTCAATAATATTGTGATAACTTTGTATGGTGCCGGGTGGGTACTAAACTTATCGAAGGGTCACTCTGTAAGATATATAAATGCCTAACTACTATGTTGTACACCTAAAACTAATATAATATTAAATGTCATCTGCAATTGAAAAATTAATTTCTTTAAAAGAATGTTAGCAAAAGGACAAAAAAGCAAGACTTATCACCTGCTTTCAAAAAGTGTATGTTGCCCTGGCTGGTGTGCTTCAGTGGACTGAGTGCCAGCCTGCGAACCAAAGGGTTGCCACTTCAATTCCCAGTTAGGGCACATGCCTGGGTTGCAAGCCAAGTCCCCAGTAGGGGGCATGCAAGAGGCAACCACACATTGATTCTTCTCTCCCTCTTTCTCCCTCCCTTCCCCTGTCTAAAGATAAATAAAATCTTTTTTAAAAATTAGTATATGTTAAATATAAAGATACAAATAGATTAAAAAACAGAAAAGGATATAACATATTAACATTAAAAGAAAACAAGAATAGCTACATTAATATCAGACATAGTAGGAATAAAACGAAGAATAATTCTAGAGGTAAAAATTATCATCTTACAATGATAGAGGTCAATGCATCAAGAAAATGAAACAATATTGAATGTTTACATTCCTAATAACAGCACTTTAAAAGTACATTGTGGCAGCATACCCTCTCCATACTGTTCTCAGCTGTGCTCATGCTGGCCCTCTCTAGAATGCCTTCTGCTCCGACTTAGCATCCCACCTTTGCCCAACTTACCCAGGCCAATGTCTTCTTTCCTGAGTGGACTTTGCTTTCCATTCTAGCTCACTTTTCTGTCTACCCTGAACTCCTCAAGTCCTTAGTCCTCTGAACCATTCTCCTCAGGCACTTGGGCCCTATCATCATACTGTTTGGTCTTCAGCTAGAATGAGAGCTCTTTAAAGCTATAGATGATGTTCTGTATGACTCTGCCCTCCATCCAAATGTCTAGCAAAGAAATGGACAAAGAGGATCATGCTCACTTTGTTTCAGAATTGGGGGTTCTATACCCTTTCCCCATGCCCCAGCCTCCGCCTCATCTCGCTCAATGTGAATTTTTGTTCCCATGAGGACTTCTGGCTCTTGATCAACTCCACAGATCACAATGGACAGTTACAGTAGCTGGTGGGGGAGCTTCAGGCTGCCGAGGAGACAAGATGTATATAGCATATTTTGCCATGTATAATGAACTCCCATGTATAAAGTGCACCCACGTTTCCGGCTCAAACTTTCAGAGAAAAAAGTCTTCCATTTTAATTTTTTAATTTAATTATTTATACTTAGATACTTGTTTTTGTATTATAAAGGAATTTTAGCACTTATTTTTGAACATATGGATATCATTATTGCTTTCTAGTTATACTTTTAACACATAAGCATAAATAGAAGAATTAAAAACATTTATACAGATACAGAATTAGTACTACCCATGTATAATGCACATCCTTATTTTTCCCTCAAAAATTTGGGGAAAAAAGTGCGTGTTACACATGGTAAAATATGGTAATTGGCCACATACTCCTAGAGCACTACCTGAAGAGCAGGAGCTGGAATTATTGCTGAATTGTGGCCATGTACAAGAACACCTTGGCTGGTCAATTCTTTGGCCACATACACATGAATGAGGTTGAAGTCTTCTATGACAAGGAAACCCTGAGCTGGCTGCTATCTATAGTCTTTCTGGCACCTAGCACCACCACTTACATTAGCCTTAATCCTGGTTACAGGTCTACCAAACAGATGACAACTACCTGGGAAGCTCTCATGTGGTCCTGAATCACAAGACCTACATCCTGAATCTCACTCAGGCAAATGAGTGGGAAGCCACTCCGCATTGGCGCCTCCTCTACAGGGCTCGAGAAAACTACAGACTGCCCAATGCACTGCCTGCTGCCTGGCACGAGCTGGTATACCACATGAGGGGAGACACACAGCTATTTCAGACTTTCTGGTCTCTCTACCGTAAGGGCCACCCACCCTTTGATCCCTGTGGCTCACCCTACTGCCTCACTACTCTGTGCTCAGCTCTCAGCAGGCTCCCAGAGCCCTGCTCTGTGTTGCCACCTGTTGTCAGATGCAAGCTTCTCTGATGTCTGGAGCTTGTGGCCATGCCCACGGCTCTACTAGCACTCAGAGTTGGGAAAGTGCATGTCTTAGGATGGGAGCAAAAACCCCAGAGGGCCACTGTGGGGAGAAGAATGTCGGTGAAGACCCTATCCTAGGCCCCAAGTACACAGGGGAAACAGCACCTGCCTTCCTGGAACTGGGTTAGCAAGACATGAAAGAGGGTTGGCAGCTCTGCCTGTTCAGAGCATCTAGGCTATTCTCCGGCAGAGGTCTCCACTGGCACTGCCATTGGCAGACCAGATGGAGCTGCCACAACAGGCCTGTGCTGGCCAGCCAGGAACACTATACTGCTGCTGCTACCTGTCTGGCTTCCAGGCATTTAAAATAAAGATAAGAGATTCGGACTCAAAAGAATTAAAAATAAATAAATAAAAGTGTATGTTGTAAAAACTAATATAATTGCAAAAAGCAACGGACAAAATCTATAATTGGAGATTTCACTCCACTCTCAATGATTGGTAGGATAAGTAGACAGAAATCAGTAAGGATACAGATGACTGGATCACCACTATCAACAACTGGATCTCAACATTTCTAAGATACTCTCAACAGCAGTGGAATGAACACGCACAAACAGCATTTACAAAGATGGGACCATATTCTGAGCCACAAAAGAAATCTCAACAAATCTAAAGGATTTATATCTGTTTTATCCTTAATATAAAACATGTGTGTGTATGCATGCAAGCATCACAGGGAGGGGAGGTTGGGGGAGTGGGCCAGGAAACTGGCCCTTAAAGGGAGCATTTGGAAATGTCACAACGATCTGGGACTCTACTGAGGACAGTCCAACAGGATAAAGTGATGTCCTAATCCAAAATATCAATAATGCCTCATATTCTCCCCAGTGTCCGTTGAAAACCATTGTTCTATCCAGTTAGGAAATCCATCAAGTAGTGGAGCTTACATGTGAAAAGTTATACTTGGTCTCACAGAACAGAAATAGAATGTGAGGAAAATGAGAAAAAAATCTGTCAAGTTTTTGTACTACTAGGAGTAAAGATATAGGTAATTCATGAAAATAAGCATTCACAGAAATAATTTATCAAATAAACTTATGAAGGTAGAGTTAAGTATTCAAGACTAAAAAGGAAAAAACTTCTTTTTGAAGAAAGTGTTATAAAAATACATCTCTTCCCTACTTTAACATAGAGAATGATCTTTCCATGTAAACTGGGGATAATTGATAGATGTAGACCAGTTTAACCTTCAGTACATGGTAACCATTGTTACTTTAGGCAACTTACCTTATGAGCCGCAAAACTTGCTTCATTTTTCTCTAGTGCTCTTTTTGCATACTCTAGGGCTTCATATACCAGGGCCTTTTTCTCCTCTTCTGAGGTTCTGCTAAGCTGAGCCACATCACGTGATGCCCGAGCCAAACGCCACAGTAACTCTGCATCTTCACTAATTTGAAGTCGATATAAAACCACCACTTTAGTTTGCATTTTTAAAAACTGTCAAAGGTCACATCACTAATGGATACATATGGTCTTTCAGGACAGTGAGGGTATAGCAAGCAACATGGTATCAAATGCCATTATCCATGTTAAATTTGTTATTTTCTCTCCCACAGCTTTCTTTAATGAGAAATTACCTACACAGTATTTAGTATTATACATAAATATTAACCTACTGTATCTGAAATATTACCTTCCTTAGAAAATATCTTTGCATTTGAATTCTCCAAACACTTGCCCTATAATATGCAACATATAACTTGAGGCTTACTACTTACACTGGGCTTCAGAGAGCACATCATACACATCGACTTGACAAAGAGGGTCTGTTTTAAAATACAAAATTGTTGTACCCTAGCCCCACATACAGTATCTGGCACAGAACAGATATATGATAAGTACGTATTAATGAATGACTGAGTACAATGTAACCTCTAAATGAATTCATGCCACAAGACAGGCATATTTCAAGTAAGGGCACTCGACTCCTTGAAGAACTTCCACTTAAATATAATTATATAAAATAATAAATGTTTAATAAATAAAACAGTAATTAAAATTAAGAACTAGAAATAGTTTTAAAACTAGCCTTAAATTCCTTTTTATTAAATATCTGCCTTTAAGCCTACTATATTATATACAGGGTGAGGCAAAAGCAGGTTCACAGTTGTTAGTATGAAAAATAATACAATAAATAATAAATAATATAATAAACTGTTTTATATACTCACAACTATAAACCTACTTTTGCCTTCCCTGTATTTCTTAACAAAAAGTGGTATTCACATAAAATTTTTAAACTAAAGGAAGCAACAGTATATTTATAATTCAACGAATATGGAGTAACTACCTAACAGCTTACTTTTCAAGTGATTACTGAAGTGAGCTTAAAATGCCAAGCCAGCCTTCTCAAGTTACTGAGGGAACCATGGAAGGAGAGATGGGTCCTATAGACATTTAGGAAGTAAAATGATGCATCTTGAGAATCTAAGAAAGGCAGTAGAATAGGAGATGAGGTTAATCAGTGACCTGGAAATGCCTTTTTTGACTCACTTTTTAGGGGTGGATGTACCCCACCTCTATCTTCCCCCTAAATGAATACACACTGATACTCTGGACTGAACAAGTAAACTATTTTTTTTAAAGGGAGGTATTTTTAGTTTCTCTAAAGACTGAGTTTCTAACATGATACACAGATACCATTCATTGGAGTCATATAACCACCCAAATTCATTAAAATCTTGTACTTATTAAGAAATTAATTTCTAAGAAATGAAAATATATAATATAGATGACATATTCAGCAACTTAACTTGTATGATCCAAAGCAAACTAACAAAATAGAAAAAGCATTTCAATATTCTACTATAATAAGTAGAACCACCTTTTCTAAACCAATGACATACAGCATTTGCAAATTATTTAACATAAGAAAGAAATGGCCTGCTACAAATGAAGCTCTAAGAAATATAACTTTGGCCCTGGCCAGTATGGCTCCGTGCATTCAGCCCTGGCCTGTCCCTGTTTTGATTCCCAATCAGAGCACATGCCTGGGTTGCAGCCAGGTCCCCAGTAGGGGGGGGGCACTTGAGAGTCAACCACACATTGATGTTTCTCCCTCTTTCTCCCTCCCCTCCCTTCTCTAGAAATAAATAAAGTCTTTAAAAAAAAGCAATACTATTTTGAAGTAAAAATCTTTAAAAAACTATAGACTCGTAGCACTAAGACTCATTTTAAGTGTTAAATAACATGAGAATGTTGAGGAAACCATAAACCCAGGCCTGTCACATTCTGCTCACCTTTCTTTGTACAGGGTCAGCAACTGATAGAGTTTTTCCGTTTCTCCACTTTCATAGAGGTAGTCTGCTTGTTGGAGTATTTCTTCAACTCTGAAGACTATAAATGAAAATAGCACAGTAAGGTAGGTCTTCCCAAGCCAGATAACAACAATTCTAAGAAACACAAACTCATATATAAGCAAAGAAAATTAGACCCAAAATCCTGAAGTATCTAAACACAAGTGTAATAGAAATAATTATGAAACTATCATAGTCAGTGATTTATTTATACCATGGAAAATAAAAAATTAGACAACTTATTTTGGTACTAAAATTGGTATACTTTTTAATGAGAAAAGGAACTTCCTGTGACAAGTTATGGTATCCTTGTCCTCCAGTCTTTGATGTTGCCACTGTTATGTACCATCCACTGTAGAAAATGATCACATAACATCCACTTTCAGTATTGAAAATTATTAATTTGCATGTACTGAACCACACTGTTTTACTAGATTCACTTTATCACCTGACTTATATAGATACTTTACTGAAAAAGAGTCAAATCTGTCATCAAAAACTTAGATGGAATTAACTGTATGGAGAATCTGAAACTTACCTGATTCACACTGTATTCCAACCAATTCATTTACTAGATTAGACATTATCCCCAAACACATAAACCTTACAGACAGTATAAGGCTCTGAAGCTGACCAGTTACTGGTAAAAATTAAATATGAATTTCAAGATATTCTAATTGTTACTAAAGAGAGACATTGAATTTTGTTTTTTATAAGGGTGCTTATTAGTCCTATGAATGAACCAACATTCCAATGTATTGAGTTTAATTTATTTATCTTGGAATGCTTTAATTAATCATAGTGTATTTGAGGTTAAATTTTTGAAATATTAAAACCTAAATCATCAAAAAAGAAAAAAATGAATGAGAAAAGCAGATGAAGTATTTTTTATTGTTAACATCATGATATAATCATACTAGTTTAAGAAAAATTAAATGACAACAGCGAAGAAACCCTTGAAGTCTTTTTTTCTTCTTTAATCTTATCTCAATCTCTTTAGGGGCTAAAGTTTAATACTGAGTTAGCCAAAAAGTTTCATTTTTTTCTGTATGATGGCTCTAGTAGTGCTTAGTTGTCTTTAACTTTATTCAAAGCAATTTTGTTAGATTGTATTGTGACAGCTGTCATATCAGCGTGCATTTAAAAGTCAAAATTGGTGAACTTTTGTGCATCCATTTTAATACTGAAGATAGAAGATATGCAACATTTTTGGCATATTATTTTGGCATATTCCTAATCCCTGGAATATGGGGAACCGATCAGCATGGCAATGGCAAATGCAGTCCAGCACTGATCCGGAAAACCGATCAATGCAAGGCAGCACACAGGAGCCAGGTATGCAGATTGGCTTTCCCATGGGGAATCAGGTCTGCATTGTACCTAGGCTGCTATGAGACTTGTTTTTGCTAAAACTCCCTCACTCTGAACTAAGAATGCAGATGTTTAATGTCTATCTCTGAAGCAACTCCCTAAAGTCTGTGCTAAGATGTCCCAAGGACAAAATGTAACCAAATCGATCATTTTTATTGTTCCCTTGCATTTGCTTTTTTTTTGTGTTTTTTGCTATCTGTAAGAAAACTAAATCTAGAAATAATGAGAACCTTTTGATGTAATGCAACTGGAAAGCAGTAAAAGCCTGTCCAGGCAAGGGTCAGTGTGCTCTCCTCTTGAGAGAGTGGCCATGACATCCCTTTTTCTCCACAGGAGTCGGTAGTCTGTGTGAGTTTGTGTACCACATCCACAACACATAGACTCAGGAGGGCCAGAGTCTGCATCACTAGAACCTATAAAAATGTGCAGCCTACATAATAAAGGGGAGTTAAATTCATAGGTGGAATTAAGGTTGCTAACCAGCTAACCTCAAAATAGGAAATGATCTTGAATTAGCCAGGTGCGTCCAGGATTGTAACAAAAGTCCCTAAAAGTGGGCAAGGGAAGCAGAAGAAAAAAGTCAGAGAACTATGACAATGGAGTTGAGATCAGAGTGATATGAATGTCACTATGAATAGGGAGGAAAGGGGTTTTCAGTCAAGAAATGTGGGAAGCCTCTAAAAGCTGAAAACACTAGGAACATTCTCCCCTCAAGCCTCCAAAAGAACACAGCTCTGCTGACTCCTTGACTTGAACAGAGTGGGACCCATTTGGGGGTTCTGCACTATGAACTGGAAGACAGTAAGTCACTAAGTGTGTGGAAACTTACGTTTATAGCATTAAATATACTGACTTGGCATATTGAAATGTGTATATGGCATGTATAAGTAGAAAAGTCACATTTAATTCTATTCATTGATTTTATCTTCCACACTCTGAGGAGCCTGATAGAGATATTGTCCTTAACATAATCCAGGAACTCTACAATCATCACCCATGTAACTTTTTTAAAATGTAGAAATCTAGTAAATAATTTAACTTATTTGTGTGTATTATACTTTTATAACTTAAATCACTCATCTCCAATTTCTTTATTATATAGTACAGTACCACAAGCTATAGTATCCAGATTTTAAAAATGTTTTTTTCCTGACTGTAAACAGAAATTTCTAAACTCATTTAGTGGGTAATTTGTAAGAAAAGATGCACTTACTCTGATACTACAGACTCACATAGGCACTAAGGTGGGAGCATGTAGATCACTAACATCTCTGTAAATCAGCTGTATTTTTTTTACTTGTTTAATGCTCTGTACTTTTCCTGAAAATATTTAAAAATAAGCTATGTTACTGACATAAAGAGACCATATTCTATAAAATGGACTAAACTTTTGAAGTACATTACTTTTTCTGTAATAGCATAATCAGTATAATTTAAAAAATACCTTTCAACATAAGTAATCAATACATATCTCAAGATAAACTGAGATATTAATTCACTCACAAGTGTACAGTGAAATTTTAAATTTAGCCTAAAATGAGTATGTGCAATGAATGAATTTTTGCATTTTTCAAAAAAAAAGTCAATGTAAAAAGAGTCAGTGATGTGACTACATGTATAAGTTAGTAAACTTAGGTTTTCTAGTTTTTCTTGCTAAGTGCACTCTGAGGCATGTGAGACGCACCTGGACAGGGATGAATACTACTCTACTCTAAGCAGGTAAAATAGCTCTATTTCTGAAGTTCCTCAGTGGAAGACTTAGCAGAAAACGAGTATCTAAATATTCTAGATATTCTAAGATTTCTCTAGATACTAAAAGGGTCTAACCACCAGCAACATCTTAAAATTTAAGGAAAATTTTTCATACCAATAATCCCCAGCAGGATTGGAGACAGTGCCTCTAAAAAGGGCCCTAAAGTAACACAAGGTTACAGGTAAGGAGCACTGACCTCAGCTCTAAAGGATCTTCAATAAAGAGAAATCAAGATAAGAAGTGAAGAGACAATGGAAGTGATTTAGGAAGGTCATACAGGTTGAGCCACTTTTAAGCATTTTGAAAGTGAACTTTCTCTCTCTCTCTCACACTAGCATATCTCAAGGGGCTTTAAATTTTGTCTATTTTAAGGAAATAAAAAACTTATTAATAGAGTCTTTCAATTACTGCTGACAAGTAGGTATTTGATACAATCTAGTGGTAACTACAGACAATGCCTTAAAAAATGAGTCCCACAATCCCATCCAACTAGAATGTCAAAAAACATACTATATCCTTAGGTTAAGTTCTAAAAAAGGCTCAATTCAGAATGATTTAATCCCATAACTGGAGAAAAAATTAATTGGTTTCAATGAGCATGATGCAGGTTTAAAGAGAATTAAGCAGAAGTTCTTATGAATAGAATTATTTGAACACCAATTTCAAAAAATATGAAAAATAAGTATCACAGCATATGAAAGAGAAAGGAGAGAGATGACAAAGGAAAACTTGTAAGGACCAATGAAGTTATATTTTCACACAAACCTGGATCATTTTCCAAGTTATAAAAAAAACAGGGCTTCTAGATTTTATCAATAATTGACCTTTTTTTTAAGGGCTACACCCTGGTCTAATAAACAAATTAAATGAACATGCCAATCAACTAATTATACAGTAATGTTTTAAGGAAACAAAGCTAAAAAAAAATCAAGGAAAGCTAAATAAACATCCATACTCTTTTCTTTGTATTAATATTTCAAGTGGCCATGTTACAGAACAAAGGGGCCAGGGGTGATATACTATTACCGAAAGGAACCCCCCAAGGTTCGTTACGTCTGCTGCCTTATAGGATAGACATGTCTTAATGGCAGAGATTTGTAAAAAGGAAAAGGAAATGTTTATTTAATGCTATAAAGACTTAAAGTAGTAACCTGACATCTTCATTAAAATATCAAAAGTCCTTTAGGATACCCACAGACACCCACAGTGCTTCCTCCTCCCCCTGCCCTAATTCGGGTACCGAATCTCAGGAAAAGAAGCAAACATCTGGGATCCAGGCTTCTGACACCATCAGCTGTGTCGCTGTCCAGGTAGGATCTCTAATTAATCCAAAGCCATGTGGCGCCTTCTCATGGCCTACTGGCAAGAGTTCTTTCATTCTTTCACCCTTCTTCCAGGCAGTCTCTCCTGCTTCCCAAGCCACGTGGTCAAAGGGAGTACTCCAAAGCCGCGTGGTCCTCTTCTACCAAAGTTGCAGGGGTCCCCACTCTGGCCAAAACCACATGGTTCTTTTCTCCACCAAAGCTTTGGGGGTCTGCACTCTAGCCAAAACCACGTGGATCTCCCCAAAGCTGTGGGGAGGGGGTGTTGCTACTCTGCCAAAGCCGAGTGGCGATTCTCTGCTAAAGCCGCATGGTGGTTCTCCTTACTAAAACTGCAGGGGTCCCCACTCTGGCAAAACCTCGTGGCTCTCTCTATTAATGGCTGCCGTGTCTGGGTTTAAATCCTTGCACCAGTCTTCCTCTGTACCCCCATTTCTGACTCCTCCTTCAATCAGTTACACCTGCCAGCATTCCTGTATTATTCCAAGTTTACTGGGCTGCCATCATGAGTCTGGGCAGGTGTGGCCCCATGTCACGGAGCCAATCTTCAAGCTCCCACACAGGTGCTGTAACTCGGGGGACCTGCCCCAGTTAACATCTTGGGGGGAAGTTCCTTCCATCCCCCTGCTCAGGGCATGGCCACAGCTGTTTAACATATCTAAACAATCAATTCAAGGCTATAGATATGTTAAATGACCATGCCATGGATTAGCTGCAAAGCTGTGGCTGTACAAAACAGCCCTGCATGTTCCTGCTCCATGTGTCCCTTCCCCCAACTCGCACCTGAGGGGGAAGGCATGAGGACATCTTATATATCTTTCTACTATTGCCTAGACACCTTAAGTCCTGGACCCTATTCCAAATCCCTTTTGGGGGCCCCCCTCTTGGCTGCACCCTGTATCAGTCAAAATATGCTTCAAAATAGAGAAAGGATTCTAAAACAGGGTAGTTTCCATTAAAATCTCTATTATAAACAAAATGAATTTAGTTTTCAGAATAAGGTATACCTTAGAATATTAAAATGTTAATTTTTTCCAAGGTTTTATTTAGTGCTAGGATTGGAACGTTGAGTTATTTCTGCATGTACAAGGGGAGACCAAAATAAAAACAGAATTATCTTCTGAAGGGCAGGCTACTTGTACAGGCTTCCCCCACTGTAACAGGGTGCAGCCAAAATGAGGGCTCAAATCCAAATAGGAATTTGGAATGGGGTCCAGAATTCAAGGTGTTCAGGTACTATTAGGATGTCCTCACCCCTTCCCCCACAGGTGTGAGTTGGGGGAAGGGACACATGGAACAGGGCCATTGAGAGCTGTTTTGCATAGCAACAGCTTTACAGCTAACCTCTAGCATGGTCATTTAATATATCTATAACCTTTAACTGGTTGCATAGATGTTAAATAGCTGGGGCCATGCTTTGAGCCAGGGAGAAGGGATTGACTTCTACCTAAGATGTTAACTGGGGGTAGGTCCCGAGGTACAGCACCTACATGAGAGCTTGGAAATGATTGGCTCCACACCATGGGGCCACGCCTGCCCAGACTATGGAAGCCCAGTGAAGCTAGAAGGATATAGGAGTGCTGGAAAGTGTAGCCGATTGTGGGAGGAGTTGGAAATGGGGCTTCAGAGGAAGACTGGCTCAGGAATTTAAACCCAGACGTGGCAGCCATCAGAGAGTGGACCACATGGCTGTGGCAATAGAGAACCACGTGGTCTTTAGCAGAATGGGGACTCCCGCAGCCCTGTCACTCGGCTTTGGCAGAGTGGCGACCTCCCCCTCCTCGCAGCCATTGCAGATAGAGAATGTGTAGCTGTGGCAATAGAGGAGGGACCATGCAGCTGTTGCAGTGCAGTGTGCACGTGGCTGTGGCCATGTAAGGGAAATCCATGCAGTTTTTTCACCAGAGTGCAGACCCCCCACAGCTTAGGCAAAAAGGGAACCACACAGCTTTGCCAGAGTGGGGACCCCCTCAGCTTTGGTAGAAGAGGACCACACAGCTTTGGGGTGCTCCCTTTGGCCACGTGGCCTGGGAAGCAGGAGAGACTTTGCCTGGAAGAAGGGTGAAAGAATGAAAGAACTCTTGCCAGTAGGCCATGAGAAGGTGCCACATAGCTCTGGATTAATTAGAAATCCTGCCTGACAACGACACAGCTGATGGTGTCAGGACCCAGGATGGAATCCCGGATGTTTGCTTCTTTTCCTGAGATTCAGTACCCCGAATTAGGGCAGGGGGAGAAGCAATGTGGGTGTCTGTGGGTATCCAACATGACTTTGATATTTTAATGAAGACATTAAGTCACTACTTTAAGTCTGTATAGCTTTAAATAAACACTTCCTTTCCTTTTCACAATCTCTGGCATTGAGAGATGTGTTTCCTATTGGCAATGGACAATTGAACCTAGTGAGGGGTCCTTTCATTAACTATATATAGTAACCCCCCTTGGGCCTGTGTGTGGGTGTGTTCTGTAACACCACTAGGTGAGCGTTCTAGGAATCCATCTGTGTCACTGTATCAGTCGGCGTTGTTGTGGGAGGCTGCATTTGGCTTCAGTAAATTTTTTTTGAAGACTCTTTCAACATGTTTGCTCATTTCATGGTGAATAATTTAGGAGCATACCAGTCCATGCATGGTGCTGAGTGTTCAGCAGTTTTAGGTGTGACCCCTGTGCCCCACCTTCCCTATTCACCCAATTTTGCCCTGAGTTACCTTTTTTGTTTGTTTGTTTCTCTGGATGAAAAAAGTCCTCAAAGGGAAACATTTCACCACCATGGAAAAGGTGAAACAAAAAATGATAGAAGCACTAAAAGGCATCAAAATCGACGCGTTCAAAAACTTCTGAGCAGTGGAAAGAAGTCTCAACAGGTGTACTGCATCAAATGGAGCATACTTTGAAGGTAAATGAAGTCTAAGCGTTTAAGACCAAATACCCAATTGTTTATTAATTCCGGTTTATTTTGGGCTCCCCCTTGTATGTACTTTTATTTTTACATTGTAGAAGAAGTTATGACTTGTTTTGAATAGCATATAAATGAACATAGGTATAAGCCAGCAAAAATGAATGCATTAGTATATACTGGATAAAAGGGATCGGAACTTCTATAATATACACATATATCATATACACTTTTGGGCCAAATAACAACTACATACATACAGAAAGCTAGTACTGGTACACTGGAAGTACCAGAAACATCTTTGCTGTAGTCACTTAGGGACTGTAAACAATAAGTAACACCCAGCACATGGAGGCTAAATAAAAAAGCTGAATAGCTAAGTCATTCCATCCCATTTCTTTTTCCTACTTTTATGAATTTAAGTTTATTCAAATATTTGGTATATAATCCTGTAACTACCACCTCTTCAATAAGTTCAAAATGATAGCTTTAAATAAGTATAAAGCTTGACCTCTTTTGAATTTCTCAAAGTTTTTCTGCAATCTTTTTCAAACGAGCCTCCTCGTCAGGGGTCAGTGTCATCTTTATGATACCATTCTTTCCCAGGATACATTTATTCCATAGAGACCGTTACCAATGATAGAAATCCTAAGGCTCTTGAAAATGCTCCCCTTCAATCAACTACAGATGAGCCAAAAGCCCAGTGAGGAAACTCTTTAAGTTTCACTATCTCCTAGCCACAGGTGATCACTTCTTTTTGGACATTTTCCCACTACTCAGGGTCTTCTGATCCTGTAACTGAGTTCAGATCCTTCAGAGGGACACCAGAAACATTTGCTTCACTGCACATAGGTATTCCCCACCTCCATGGCCTCCAGGGATCCTTCCACAACAGCTGTCACAACAGACATCAAGCTTCTGCCCAATAAGAAATGGACACAGGGAGTGTCCAGATTACACCACTTCCAGTGGCAATTTTTGGGAACACACTCCAGGCTACATACATGAGGACATCCATGGGACTAGAAACACTATCAGTTTGTAACAGGGGTGACAAAAGGAGTCATTAAAGATGTACACATTTTGCCTGACTACATCAAGGCACATTTTTCCTTCTCTGGGGTGTGAGTTTGCTACAATGATCACCAAAGAGTCTCCAGTGACAATGTTGCCTCTCTGGGGAACAGGAAAGGGCTGCCTGGTTGAAGACCCAATCAATGTGCCACCTGCAGTCTGCCTTCATCTACATCGCAAAGCCAAGTTCATCACTGAAGCTTTTCAAAAGGTGCTGATGGCATAGACGAGGCCATATGACACAGTTCCTGCAATGGAGACCTTACTGCAATGAGTGGTCTCCTCTGAAGGAAAATGCTTCATAAGCTTACACCCAACAATTGCCATTTGCACAGGTGCTGCCTGCAGGGACACGGGGCCAATGTGAGCGGGCACATGCAGCTGGCCCACAGAAGTCCTAGGGCCAGTTCCCTGTGCTCACTAAAAAGGTGGGGAAAGAGAGTGGACGCAGAGGTTGCAGAGTAAGGAAAACAGGTGACAACAAGACTGCCTCTACCCTGAGGCTGCACGAGGCCACACTCAGTTCAGGCGGACCTCACCGGGGTCTAGCACTTTAAAATATTATTTGTATGTTACTAAACATGCAGCAATTTTGTCATTAAGATCATGGTCAGCTCTGGCCGGGTGGCGCAGTGATTGGAGAATCATCCCTTGCAGCAAAGGGCTGTGGGTTCGCTCCCCGATCAGAACACACCTGGGAGTTTCTCTCTCCGATGTTTCTCTTTCTTTCCCCCACCCCCACTCCCCCTCTCTCTAAAATCAATAAACATATCCTCAGGTAAGGATTAAAAAAAAATTGAAAGATCATGGTCTGAAAAAAATGGACCACCATCAGTAAGGGCTGAAAGTAATTTGGGCTTTGCCTTTCAAAATGCCATATTTTGTTTTTTGGGAGCACCAATGTTTTGTACTCACTTCCACAATCAGCTGGTGAGCATGAGAGACTCAAAAAGAAAGATAAGAGTTCTCACCTCTGCTGACACTTTGACTTGGAAAATACTTAACTTGGTGAGCATCTTTTCCAAAACTAGTATTATAGCCCTGGCTGGTGTGGCTCAGTGGATTGAGCGCTAGCCTGCTAACCAAAAGGTCACCAGTTCAATTCTCAATCAGGACACACACCTGGGTTACAGGCCAGATCCCTGGTAGGGAGTGTGCAAGAAGCAACCACACAGGAAGGAGAGATATTTCTCTCCCTCTCTTTCTCCCCCACTTACCCTCTGTCTAAAAATAAATAATTTTTTAAAAATACTATTATAATGGAACACACACACACAGATCTTAAAAGGTCAACAACTGAGCACATCTCTAAGGATAAGTTTTTTTTTTCTTTAAGATTTTATTTATTTTTTAGAGAGGGAAGGGAGGGATAGAGAAACATCAATGTGCGGTTGCTGGGGGTCATGGCCTGCAACCCAGGCATGTACCCTGACTGGGAATCGAACCTGTGGCACTTTGGTTCGCAGCCTGCACTCAATCCACTGAGCTACGCCAGCCAGGGCAAGTTTCTTAAAAATTAATATTACAATGTGATAATATGCTTATCCCAACAACTTTATAAAGTTGTGAATATTGGAGCTGTGGTGAAAAGTCTATGGAGCTTTAAAAAGCTTAGTTGTTCTATTTTGCCAAAATATGTCATTGAGCCAGTGACAAAACCAAGTCCTCTAATTTGTCCTTCATGAAAATGATACATTACCAAAAACAAAGATATAAGCAGTTCTCAACTACCTGTTTTTTTAAAGAATACTCACAGATAAACAAAATCAGTAACTAGTAATTTTTAGCTAATATTCTGAAATTCTTCCTCTACCAGAACTTTAATATGAACAGCTATTCAAATTTCTGTTTCCTTCCCCAACTCCCTTCTTGATTAAAAAGTGGGTTTTGCTCTGGCTGGCACAGCTCAGTGGATTGAGCGCAGGCTGCGAACCAGGCATGGCAGGTTCGATTCCCAGTCAGGGCACATGCCTGGGTTACAGGCCACGGCTCCCAGCAACCGCACATTGATGTTTATCTCTCTCTTTCTCCCTCCCTTCCCTCTCTAAAAATAATCTTTAAAAAAAAAAAGTGGGTCCTGTGAAAAAGATGTTAACGTATCAATTAAAAGACTTTGTCTAATATGCTGAAATTTTGGTTCTAGGTACAAAACTTGTTTACCTAAATTTAATTTTTAAAATGACAACTCTTAATGTTTATTTATCTATAGTATATAAATAAGAAATTTGATATAATTTTTCTACTTTTCAACCAGTTATTTGATATTTAGTACCAAACTGCATTTTTTAAAGATTTTATTTATTTATTTACTTATTTACTTATTTATTTACTTATTTTTACACAGAGGGGAAGGGAGGAAGAAAACGGGAGAGAAGCATCAATGGGTGGTTGCCTCTCATGCACGCACTACTAGGGACTTGGCTCACAACCCAGGCACAGAATCAAAACAGTGACCTTTTGGTTTGCAGGTCAGCACTCAATCCACTGAGCCACACCAGCCAGCGCTGCATTCTTTATAAATTAAGTACTTCTATCTCAAAGTAACTAAGCGTTTAACTGTACCAAGAAGCTCTAACATTTTAGCAATAAGGAAACAAAAGAATCATCGTATCATTATAAAGTAGGGATTGACAAACTTTTTCTATGCACATCTAGAGAGTAAGAACTTAAGGCTTTGTGGACCAGATATGGTCTCTGTAGGGTATTCTTTGTTCCCACCACAACTCCTCAGCCCTTTAAAAATATACCACAAAAAACATATATGTATGTATAACCCATAGACACAACAGTTTGGTGATGGCCACAGGGAAGAGGGTGTGGGGAATAGGTGGTGATGGGTAAAGGGAAAGGAAAATGGGGATTATCTGTAATAATGTCTACAATAAAAATAAAGGGGAAAAAACTACCAGTCTTAGCTCAAGGGTCCTATTAAAATTATAATATATTAATATAGTATTTCTCACTGAAGGAGCTGCAGTTATTAAAAGAAAATATATCAGACTGACATGAGGAGGAAAGCAGAAAATAATGTAGCCTATTAAGAACATCAATTTCAAAGTGTATTAAAAAATAACTAAGTTATTAACCCCAAGACAAACATAAACCACTAAGAGTTCAGATGTTTAACTAACTTACCTTTGGCTGTGGCATGAACCACAGCAGCCGAAGAAAGAAGTTGGTAAGTTTCAAAACCCAAATAAGACAAGGCTGAGAATATAAGGCTTCTTTTGAAAGCTCCTGGGTTTCCTATCACCTGTGGAAACAATTATGGTCAGAGGTCATCAAACAGAAAATTTGAAACAACCAAGCAAAAATTACATCATTTTTCTCCCCCTTTCCCAAAGCAATCAATCGTAATAATACTGCTTAAACTTTACCTCATCAAATTCTTCAGTAAAACTATTTTACATTATTACTTTATAGGGAGAGCATATCCTGTTAAGAAAAGATTTATACCATCTAAGGGAGGTAGCTTATCTAAAAATCTGTCATGCACATAAGTACTGGACTGAGGAGGCATGGATAGTATAATTGTTTGAAAAAAAATATAAGACACCAACATATTGGGTTGGCCAAAAAGTCCATTTAGATTTTTCCTTAAAACAAAAGACACATTTTTCATTTTCACCAATAACTTTATTGATTTGGAAATTATGAGTATGTCTGCTATGTCCCACTATTGGCTTCTAGGGAGTAGAGACCAGGGGTGCTGCTCAACATCTTTCAATGCATGAAATGGCACCACAGCAAAAAATGTTTTGGCCAAAATGTCAGTAGTAGCAAAAAACTTAGAAAACCACATTTGACATGTTCAAGATCAGTCACAGCACCTTCTTCATTCACTGCACAAATCTTTTTTGTGCTTCAGTTGCATTTTTACCTGTCTTGAAAAAATAAAGAATACACCGAAAATGTTGCATATCTTCTTTCATCTTCAATATTAAAATGGATACACAAAAATTCACCAATTTTTTTAAATGCACACTGATATGACAGCTATCACAATACAATCTAATGAAATTATTTTGAATGAAGTTAAAGACAACTAAGCACTACTAGAGCCGTCGTATGGAAAAAACATACAGACTTTTTGGCCAAACCAATTAATACCAGTCTTAAGAAAACACAAGATGAAAATATTAAATATGGTTAATTAGTACACATAAAAAGTGGAAATAGCTTTAAGATATCTTTAAAAGTGATGTACAAACCCATATTTTCAGTAAACAGTGAATATAGAGTATATCTACACAGACTTAGAAATTACTTTTCACAATTATGGCCACAATCCCCAAAACCAACAGGAAAGAAGGCATGTGTGGATCTTACCCACTTTCCCAGGACAATGGAGCATCAGTATTTCCCTCTCTGCTGATTAATTTCCACCTGTATAATAACAAGCTGTACCATGTTGGTAAGCTGGATCTTTTTCTTCTTATAGCAAAGACCTTCCTCCTGACCACATCTCCCTCCTGACCACAGCTCAGTCTCATTTTCTGACTTCTCTTTTCAGCAAAACTCTTTTAAAAAAAAGTCATCTGTACTCAGAACCTCTTCCCCCCATTCTTTCTCTTTAGAGCTCATACACAATGCATCTGTAGCCCACTGCAGTGCAGGTGTATGTGCAGTGCAGATACCTGCAGTGCAGTGCAGATACCTGCAGACTCCACTGCAGGTATCTGGCTGGTAACCAAGGGTGCTCCATTTCCTGTTGCCTTTCTCACTTCTCCTCTTACTTGACCCATCAGTGGTATTCGACAGTGGTTAATTCCCTCCTGTCTTTTTTTTTCTTAAATCATGAATGAATATTTGGGCTTTTTTAAAAAAAGATTTTATTGATTTACTTTTAGAGAGAGAAGAAGGGAGACAAAGAGAGGAAGAGAAACACCAATCAGTTGCCTCTCATACACACCTGGACTGGCAACCAAACCGCAACCCAGGCTTCTTCCCTGAGCAGGAATTGAACCAGCGACCTTTTGCTTTGCAGGACAACCAAATGAGCTACACCAATCAGGGCTGGATGTTTGATTTTGAAAAACCACTATACTGAGATGTGTGACATACAATAAATGGCATATACATAATGTATAGCAGTCATGACACCGTACAAACCTGTAAAACCATCACCATCGGCAGAGTCAAGACAAACTGATTCTCTGTAACCAATCCAGCCTCTTTCCTCAGCACCTGCTATTCTAACTCTTGGCACACTATCCATGTGGCTTTCGAAATACTACTCTTTTGAATTTCCTATTTCAACAGCTTGTCTCTCGTTGGTTCCTCATCTCTAATACCTCCCTGCCCAGATGAGTCTTGAGCTTAGTCCCAGACCTCCTTTTATTTATATCATTCTGGTGATTGTACTTTATGACTTTAAATGCCATCAACATGCCAAAAACCTGCACATGTAATCTAAGCTAGGATGTCTCCTCTAAACTTCAGAATCCTAAATGCAGCCAGCTACCTAATCAACACTTCTCTATATATGAAGTATGACATGCACATGCATCTCATGTTCATCAGCCAAGACAGCTATCTTTTCTCTAACTCCATTCCTGTTTTCCCTATCAAGGTAAATGACAACCTAATTCTTCTGACTGTGCAGATTAACAAAACACACAACCCTAGAGACGTTCCTGACTCTATCCCATCCCATACCTGATCCAGTTCAACTTCTCTTAAGTATCCACAATAGGAATGAGGAATCTGGCATATTGCAGCTTGCTCAGTGCTTTCTCTACTTTCTATTTATTGATTTTAGAGAGAAAGAAAGGGGGTGGAGGGGACAAACAGACATCAGTCTGTTGTTCCACTTATTTATGTATTTGTTGGTCAACTCTTTTTGAACCCACAACCTTGGCATATCTGGGTGACACTCCAGTTAGGTGAGTTCCCCCTGCCAGGGCCTGTATTTACTTTCTTGAGCATGAGTACTCAGGATACTGCACGACTGGATTCAAAACACATCAACAACAAAGTAGTAAAACTAAATTTGATGTAGTCCCATTTTTAACAGTGAATTTTCTGCATTTATTTTTATTTAACTAAGAGAAGCAAGATGCGGCCATGCAGAGGATATGGGTGTGTGTGCGTGTGCATGCACACAAATGGTGATGGTGGTACCTAGAAAAAGAAGAGAGCCCTAGCTAGTGTGGCTCAGTGGACTGAGCACCCGCATGCAAACCAAAAGGTCTCAGTTGATTCCTAGTCACGGCATGTGTCTCCAGTTGGGGCACGTGAGAGGCAACTGACATGTATCTTTCACACATCAATATTTCTCTCCCTCTTTCTCCCTCCCTTCCTCTCTCTTTAAAAAATAAAATAAGAGGAAAAAGACTAAGATTTTATCAGGGAATCTCCTAGCTCCCAATCTCTGGCAGGAAGATCACATAGCAGAAAAGGTTGCACAGACTTGAGGAAACTATACATCTAGGGCAGGGGTGTCAAACTCATTTTCACCAGGGGCCACATCAGCCTCACAGTTGCCTTCAAAGGGCCAAAATAATTTTAGGAGAGAGAGAGAGGGAGGGAGGGAGGGAGGGAGGGGGAGGGGGGGGGGGGGGAGAGAGAGGGAGAGAGAGGGAGAGAGAGGGAGGGAGAGAGAGAGAGAGAGAGAGAGAGAGAGAGTGAGAGAGTGTGTGTGTGTGTGTGTGTGTGTGTGTGTGTAACTACTCCTTAACTGTTAAGGAGTTGAAATCACATTTGACCTTTCGAAGGCAACCACAAGGCTGATCTGGCCCCCGGTGAAAATGAGTTTGACACTCCCAATCTAGGGTGTTCGACTCTCTTTGCTGACATCATGCTGAATGAACCACGTTCTGGCTTTCTTAGTGGGAGTAATGCACTGTTAGGGAGCTGACATTTATATGTCTTATTGTAAATTAATGAAGGAATAGTTTGCAGTTATACTCATCACTTCGATTTCTATAAGCAGACCTCTCTGTTCACCTCTTGGAAAATGGATAAAATCATGTTTCTGAAACTAAAAAATTCACTTAAAAGAATCAGGACTCAGTGACACTCCAAAATACAAATGACTTGTGAAACTGAGACAGCTAGAATGTGCCATTTTTCCTCATTCACCCAGCACAATGCCTTTCACATTATGAGTTCTCAAAAACATTTGTTGAACAGAAGAAGCCATCTCTTAAACATGTCTTCCCTTCAACATTAATTGTACTAGCTTCAAGCTATAAAGACTTCAAAAATATAAATTCATCACTACATAAAAAAAAGGTGTCACCACCATCTCTTGGTTTCCTAACTTCCTGCCAGCTCCTCCTCCTCTTAAATGTTGGAACTCCTCTGTAGTGGGTACTAGGCTTCCTTCCGGTCTTACTATTACCACAGTATTACTTAGAACTATGTGCTAAAGTCTCCTGAATCTGTGATTTCCAGCCCTGACCTCAGAAAGTAAACGCCTGACCTGTCAAACTACAGTCTATTCCACAGGTCACCTTGGCCACCTCATCACGTTCACCTTAAATAGCCTGAAACATAAGTCATCTTCTTCCTGAGCCCCCAGGAAATAGCATTACTGCCCACATCCTGTGTTCTAGCCAGAAACTGAGACTCTTCCTTGACCTCTTCCCTCTAACCCCTACACCAAGCCCTTTGAGTCCGCTAAGTTGATCTTCATAACAGCCTCCGATTGCAACCACTGATTTCCAGTCCCATGGCCCCCACTATAGTTCAAACCATCACAGTGCTCACCTGTCCTATAGCAATGATCTTTACCTCATCTCCAGCATCCACTACCCTATTCATTTTTGACACTATACAAAAGTTGTTTGTTTTTAGATTTTTATTTATTTATTTTTAGAGAGGGAAAGGAAGGAGAAAAAAGAGAAAGAGAGGGGGGAGAGGGAGGGAGGGAGAGAGGGAGGGAGGAAGGGAGGGAGGGGAGAGGGGGGAGGGGGGAGAGGGGGGAGGGGGGAGAGGGGAAGGGGGGCGAGAGGGAGAGGGAGAGGGAGAGAGGGGTAGAGAGAGAGAGAAACATCAATGTGCGGTTGCTGGGGACCGAGGCCTGCAACCTAGGCATGTGCCCTGACTGGGAATTGAACCTGCGATGCCTGGTTCGCAGCCCACACTCAATCCACTGAGCTACGCCAGCCAGGACCAAAAGTTGTTTTTAATGCAAATCTAATTTTAAAAACACCATGTGTTTAAAACTCCTTCATGGTTTCTATAACCTTTAGAATAAAATCAGACTTACAAGGTTTTCACAACCTGGCTGTGGTTGGTGGCCACCACAGGTTCCCATTCAAAAGGGTGACTGAGGAGAAATCCCAACACAGCTCCTCCTACAGACACAGTAAATCTATAGCTACAAACTCAAAATCTAGCTGAGTGACTCCACATCAAGTGAGGAAAAAACCCATAATTAAACAGGTAGGAAAGGCAGAGACACAATCTTGCCATAAACCCCACTCCTGCTACAGCAATCCACAATCACAGAACTCTTCTTTCAGAAGAGCAAAGGTTTTGAACCCCACAGCGGACACCCTAACTTTTAAGACCCACACCTGAGAGACAAGTCCCCTAAAACATCTTGCTTAGGTGACCAATGAGGCTGGCATCCAATTAGGCAACCGCTAAGTGAGAAACCATGCATAAAACACTTTCCCAGAGTCACCCACCCCAGAGCCCATCACAAAGGTAGCTGACTGGTAAGGGCCTGAATTCTCTGTGAAAGAGGTTTATTTGCTTGGCTTAAAACTTCAGCCTAAAGGACAAGTATCTAATGTAACACATTTAGAGACCAACGGTGACCCTCTCCAGGTGCCACGAAGGGTGACCACTATCATCACACTCTCCCTCCACATCACTGCCACAGTTTCTGCAGCTACTGCCCAGGGAACGCCCCTAGATCTGGCTCTGGTGACCAGTAAGACCTACATTCCTGGGTCCCAAGGGCTGTAACAGAACAACCCTTAACCAAATGCCCCAACACCAGGGCACAGCACAGAGACAGCACAGCACCAGCTTCCATTTCAGACTTCAGCAGCTGAACAGCCTGATTTAACCTCACGAGAAGCTAGCTGGAGGCACGCAGCTAAGCTTCACCTGGACTTCTAACCAGCAGAAACCATTTGCTGTTTTAAGCCATTAAGTTCAGTGATGATTTGTTGTGTAGTAACAGCTAATTAAAAAAACAAATGCATGCTGACTCCTTAGCCTTATTTCAGTTTACTCTCCCATTCCAGATTTCAGTCACTTTTAATTCCTTAAAAAGACTCCTTTTTCTTACCACAACACCTATATTGTTGCATTGCCCTAGCTGGTGTAGCTCAGTGGATTGAGTGCAGGCCTGCGAAACAAAGGGTCGCCAGTTCGATTCCCTATCAGGACACATACCTGAGTTGCAGGACAGGTCCCAGGTTTGGGGCGCGTGAGAGGCAACCACACATTGATGTTTCTCTCCCTCACTTTCTCCTTCCCTTCCCCTCTCTCTAAAACAAAAAATAAATAAAATCTTAAAAAATAATACTGTTGTCCTCATCACTCTGTATCTCTCACCTCTAACTGCTCACACCTTTTCTCTTCCTCCCTTCAAGATCAGGTTTAGTGTAACTTTGCTGCCCTTTTCCTAACACCCACCATTCATTACATTTACTAAGTGGACACCTTTCCTTCCAATTTGTAATATAAATGAGAAAAGGTTTGTTTCTTACATTCATTGTATCCTCAGCATTGAACAGAGCTGTGCTCAGAGAAAACATTCAGTACAATTTTGCTGAAAAATAAACATTCCAAGATGGGTGTTATAGATTGCAAATAGAAAAGTCAAATGAAATGCTTTCTCAGCCCCTCAGAAGTAACCTCCATGCTCTGCAAACTCCTGGGAAATATCTCTAGTAAAACATACTGACCTTATTATGCTTAGAGAAAAACTTTGGAAAACGAAAAGTACAATGACAAAGGCTTGAAAATACATGAATAACTGGTAAATTAGTAACAATACATAGTTACAACTCCTTAAAAATTCAATATACCTGGAGAAAATAATTTTTGTTATTGCCTTTGGCTTAGCATGTTATTACAGCAGGGTTCTGGAATAACTGTCACATTATAAGGCTGATGAGATGCAGAAGGAACTTAACGCTTACGGTTTCGTTACACAGGTGTTTCAAATTTAACAAATTGATGGAGAGGCCCTCCAACAGTGCGCGCGCGTGCGCACATACACACCCATCAGGACTCACTTAACAGCAGTGGCCTAAAGTGAAACATGCAATGTCTCTGAGCTCTGCCCTACCTCCCACGTTAAGCAAGGAGGTGCTGTATTTTTGTCTTCTGACCTTGTCTTTTTCTACCCTTTCTACACTGCTTCTCTAGTTTCCATGTTTTTAACACAGCAACAACAAGCAGCTCATGGGCTTGGGGGATGGTCAACCTGCCATCAAACCCAACATCTTCCCAGCTGTAAGACTTGGACACATTATTTAACCCTACCCGTTTCCTCTTTTTAAAAATGGTTAAAATAAGCCCTGGCTGGCGTAGCTCAGTGGATTGAGCACAGGCTGCGAACCAAAGTGTCGCAGGTTCGATTCCCAGTCAGGACACATGCCTGGGTTGCAGGCCACGGCCCCCAGCAACTGCACATTGATGTTTCTCTCTCTCTCTTTCTCCCTCCCTTCCCTCTCTAAAAATAAATAAATAAAAATCTAAAAAAGATAAAAAATAAAAAAGCACAATGTTTTAAAAAAATGGTTAAAATAACATTTATTCCATAGAATGGGAATGAAGATTAAATGAGGCAATGCTTAATACAATGTATGGTTACAGCAAGCCTTCAAGAAATGTTATATATCACAGTCCTCTAGAATTTTAACTTCATTAATGCTCTGCCTCAAAAACCTGAAGCTCAGTTAATTTCATGCTTTGTACCACTCCTCTCTCTCTCCACCCAAGTCATCTAACACCTGCCCACTTGGCTGCAAGCTTGGCAGGAAGAAGTTGAGCCCTTCTTTCACACTGCTTCCAACCACACTAAGGAACACAGCAGGCACTCAACCCTTTAAAAGAATAACACATCCAGTTCAAATGCAATGTCAGGTGCACCAGTGACTACCCTCAGTCCCCAATCCTGCTCCGGAAATAAACCAAGGCCCAGCCAATCTAATAGAAAGGCCAGAACCGGACAACCCATGGGCCACCTCACAGTGTTCACAACATTCTGCAGGGAAAACTAGCTTTCATAGGAAGCGCAGGCAGAGGCTAGGGAGGGGGAGCGCAGCGCCGTTTCCAGGAAGGAAAGCCGACTCAGAAGGGTAACCCTTGCCTGTGTGCGGGAGTAGCCAGCACGCGCCCTCCTCGTGAGCCAGAACTCAGCAGCTACCTCTGAGCCGCTGAGTCCCTGCACGCACGATCCGCGCCCGCCAGTAACCCGCCTCGGAAGCCGAAGTCCCGGGACTGCAACCCGCCCAGAAGGGAGAAGAAAGCGCCACAGCCGCGAAGCCAGCGCCATGACTTTCCTGGGGAATTGACTCATCACCATTTAGAACCGCCTCCCAAGCAAAGGCCTGACGAAAAGCAAGTCCTCCCGCTTCCTGCCGACGCTTTTTCCGGTGCTTCTTCCGGCGTTTCAACAGGCGCGCGCCGGTCTGTGCACAGGTTCCGGCCCGGCGCAAAGTTTCGGGCTCACTGTTCCAGTGGGCAGGGTTTGACTCTAGTAGGTGGGACTTAGCGGGTTTCCTGCTCCTACAGGGAGGATACTGGGGCAGCGAGAATATCCTTCTGATTTCCGTTTTTTGTTCCTGGTTTGTGCAGTGTGTTACGGTTTAGATACAGAGCTAGGTCATGAGAACAGAATTGGAAGCTCGGAAATAGACTCGAGCGTTTAAGTCTGCAAGAAGACAAGGGCTAGTTATTTCCAGTTTTGTTGCCATCAAAGGAAGGGAGACTGTGCTGGGGGTCCTGGATAGGCAGATGCCACGAGGCGGGGCGGGGAGCAGCTGAGGGAAACTGAGCTAACCCACGTGAGGACAGAGACGCCCGGGAAGATGAACGAGGAAGAGAGCCGGTCTCACAGGTCGCTATCCGTAGCTCTGGGTCTGGTTGAAACCCTGACCCCCGCAGGCACTTGGGCCCCTTCAGCTCAGTAACCAATGGTCTGGATCCTAGTTTAGTGACTGCTATGTGGAGCACAGCAAAGCTGTTTATGGGGGAGGAGGCAAGACATTGGTTTCAGCAACTAGGTTACATTTACATAGTCATTTTACTACTATGATACAAAGAGAACGCATACTCTTATTTCACTTGATCCTCCCCAAGTCCAGTGCTGCTACCTTATGATTGCTGTCTCCCAACGTCCCTCTAAATAAACCACATTTCTTTAGGATTTCATCAGTGACTTACTATTTTCTTCCCAACATTTGCTGGACCCTAGTCTGCTTTCCCAGAGGGAACCACTTTTACATATTTCTGCTGGTAGTTCCCTCAATGTTGCTAAATGATAGGCTTATACCACTGGATGCCACAATAATCCTGAAATCTAGTTTCTGGTATTTCATTAAGAGTTAAATTTTAATTGCACTTTTCAGTTTGAAAAAAATCTAGCCATTGTTAATGTTTTGTCACATTTATCTTTCTTTACATATATTACATGTAGTATGCATATATTATTCCTACTACTATTTTCTATTATTGAACCTTTTGAGAGTGGGTTACACATATGGCTCTCCATGCCTAGTTTAAGGAGTAGGGATAAACTTAGACCATGAGGAAATAGGAACCTAGCTAGTTAGAGCCAGGAGATTACTAGATTACTAAAGAAACATCCTGCCTTCCCGCCTACTGTAAGAATGCTTGGTTTGAAATTCCTGAGCGCAGTCTCTGTAAGCAAATAGCTAACCACTGTGTCAGCTTCTGTGGAATGTTTGCTTTCTCGTGCCAAAATCCCTATATAAGGACCTGAATGTGAACGCTCGGGCGCGTCTCTCGTTTGCAGCTCCTTGTGGGCACTGTGTCGCTGGACACTCTGAGAGTTCGCCCCTGCGCAGGTTAAACTTGGCCAATAAAGTAACATCTTTGATACCCTAAAGTCTCTGATATCTGTTCTTACGGTCGCTGGATGCTACACCTAGAAACAAAGACATTCCCTTGTTTAATCCCTGAACAATGATCAAATTGAGAAAACTGACAATACTATTATTTAATATGTTTCAAAGCTGTCCTTCATAGCAACTATTTCCCCAACTCGGGGTCACATCCAGATTGCATATTGCATTTAATTGTCATGTTTCTTTAATCTCTTTAAGTCTGAAATATTTTTATCTTGATTCTGGGCATACTATGTGGATGATACCGGCCAGCAGCATCCATCTCAGCCTCAGATGCTCGTCGCAACACACGAAAAACATACACAGAGACAACCAGGTCCTGTGGGGCAATAGGAACAGAAGGGCCACTCCTCACATGGGGAGCACCTCTGGCCACCCTCTCTCCTGGAGGGCACCCCGTGTCCATTCCCAAGCAAATTTTTATTGAGAAAACAGACTTAGTTTGTGGATTCACAGTCTGGTAGAAAAGATCAAAAGATGTAGGCAACTTACAAAAGTGGGGACAGAACTGCTGTGAATCTGGGGAAGGTTTGTGGTCTTTAACATATGAAAGGGCTACAGGTTCGAAAAGTTACTTGCCTGTGCCTTTTTAAAAAAAAATTATTTATTTATTTTTAGAGAGGGAAGGGAGGGAGATAGAGAGAAACATCAATGTGTGGTAGCTGGGGGTCATGGCCTGCAACCCAGGCATGTACCCTGACTGGGAATCGAACCTGCGACACTTTGATTTGTAGCCCGCGCTCAATCCACTGAGCTACACCAGCCAGGGCTCCTGCCTGTGCTTTTAAATTTCAATTAAAAACATCCTCCAGCAAACAGATCTCAAAGGATCTTGCATATTCTATGTCCCAGGCCGGATTATCTTGGGGGTCCCACTGTCTCTGGTCTGGCCTGCACCACCCCTGCAGGCCTGAGTTAACAGAGAAGACAAAGGCAGCCAGGAGACTTGGATTTCTCACATGTAAGAACAAAGACTCAGGCTTTGACAAAAGCTGAGGGGACAGGAGTTGATGCCCATCACCCCTTCCTTTCCACAGCCCCGAGTCTTTTCCCAGAAGCCTCCACGTGATCATGCCTGTCTTAGGTGTTTCCCTCCATGGAAAATCTTACCCGTCATTGGCTAACTGATCAAGCTTAGGAGCTCAGGCACAGAACAGGCAGTTTCAAGCCAGGGAAATAAGTTTTGTCTCCTTCAGTGGCTCCCGGTCCAGAGGTCTTTCACTCAGCCTAAGTCACAGGGTGTTACAGCTTCCTGAGACCAGGCAGGGCAGTCCCCAAAAATACTGTCTTTTCTTTCCTTTGAGGAGCCTCAGATCTCCCCAAATCATTTTCTGTCAAGATTCCTTATCCGGCTTTTGGCTTTTGGCTCAGAGGGGGCAAAGGTGCTATTCTTTGGTCATTCTGAATCCAGGTTCATCCAACTCTAGCCGCCTCCACCATGCAACTGAAGTTCGGCCCCAATGAGATCAAGGTAATTTACCTGAGGTGCACCGGCAGGGAAGTAAGTGCCACGTCTGCCCTGCCCCCCACCGCCCCTGCCCAGAGATCGACCTCCTGGGCCTTTCTCCAAAAAAGGTTGGTGATGACATCACCAAAGCAACTGGTAATTGGAAGGGTCTGAGGATTACAATGAAACTGACCATTCAGAACAGACAGGCCCAGATTGAGGTAGTGCCTTCTGCCTCTGCCCTGATTATCAAAGTCCTCAAAGAACCACCATGAGACAGAAAAATGCAAGAAAACACACAAACTAAGCACAGTGGAAATACCATTTTTGCTGAGATCATCAACATTGCTGACAGATGTGGCACTGCTCTTTAGCTAGAGAGCTCTCTGGAATCATTAAAGAGATCCTGGGGACCACCCAATTTGTGGGCTGCAATGTGGATGGCCACCACCCTCATGACATCGTAGATGACATCAACAGTGGTGCAGTGGAATGGCCAGCTACTTAGCAGGTATAAAGGAAAACATTTCAATTAAAGATCATTTGACAACCAAAAAAAATTTCCTTCTCATCCCTCTACCCAGCTCCTTTATTCCTTACCAAGGTAATTTCTGTTCATCTTTTAGCTCTCAGTCCAAATGTCACTTCTTCAGAGAAGCTTTTCTTGATTCTGTAAATATACCTTTATATCTTTTATGGCTCTGAGCATGTTTTATAATGTTATTTTTATATTAGATTATTTGTTAATCGAGTATATTTTGGAGCTGCAGTGATAACAACTGGTAATGTGTTGATAAGAAATGGTAACGTGTGCCTTTGCTATACTGTAAAATCAGTGACATGTCTGACTTTTGTCTTATTACAAGTCCTGGCACCATTTCTTAATTCATACAACAAATGTTTATTGCATGGTATACCTTCTACTCTTCTAGAGGTGAATGAACAATTTCTAATGGAGTATATATTGTAGTTGGCAAAAGATAGTAAGATAAATAATAAAAGATATAATAGATGATGATAAATGAAGTGGAAGATAAAGCAGGAAGGGGTAAGGAGTGCATTTCTGTGTTGGTATTACAGTTTTCAATAGGCTAGTAGCCACAGAAGTCCTCACTGAGGGAAACATTTGAATAAAGACCCAAAGAAGAAGGAGAGATCCATGAAGATATCTAGGGGCACAGCATTTTGTGTAGAAGGAAAGTGGAAAGGCCTGAACTGGGAAAGCAAGTGGCATTTTCCATAAACAGTAAGTCCATTCTAGATGGGGTTCATTGAGGAAAGGGAAGAGTACAGGAGAGAAAGTCAGAGAGGAGGTGGCAACCAAGTACTGTAGGACCTTGTAGGCAATTGTAAGAAATTGGGTTTTTCTTTGTATGATTGTGTGTGACATAATTTAATTTAAACATTAATTAGATTCTTCTGTTTTGAAAATAGACTGAAAGGGAGCAAGTAGCAAAGCAGTTACTAGAGTATTATAATAATCTAGAAAGAAAAAGTGGTGGCTTGAATTAGGCTGGAAGATAAGAGTCATCAGAATCTAAATACACTTGTAGAGTTGACAGGAGTAGCAGAAAGACTGGACCAGATAAAGACGGGATACAAGAGGAGTCCAAGTATTGGAGTCCATGATGACTCCAAGTATTTTGACTCAAACAATTGAAAGAATGCTTTGCCATTAATGGAGATAGAGAAGACTATGGGTAGAATAGATTTGAGGAGAAATTAGGTTTTATTTATATATTTAGTTTCAAAACACTTATTAGACTTTTGTGGTAGCCAGCCTCAGAGAAGGCAGGCAAAGATCCTTTCCTCTTGAATTTAGCCCTTTGTGGAATCCCTCCTACATTTAATCAACGATGGTCTGTTTGACCAATAGAATACTGCAAAGGTGATGGCATGTGACTTCCAAGGCTACGTCATATAAATCACTGAGTTTCTGCCTAGATCTCATGGAGTTTTACTCTGGAGGAATCCAGTAGCCATGCCCTTAGGACATTCAAGCCGCCCCGTTGAGAGGCCTACATGGAAAGAAACTGAGGTGTCCCACCAACACACAGTACCATTGCTACTTGTGAGTATACCACCTTGAAAGTAGATCTTCCAGCCCCATGTGATGACTGCAACTCTGCCCAATACCTGACTGCAATGTTATGAAGGATATGAGACAGAATGGCCTGCTAAACCACTCATAAATCCCTGAACACAGAAACCATGAGAAATAATGTGACTGTTAGTTTTAAGCCACAAAATTTGGTGTAATCCATTGATTTTATGAACATCTCATTCATTTTGACATCCATGAAAATCTCTACTAGTTGTTGGGTCCGATACATATTTGTTCTTTGTTTCTTAAATGTTGTTATGCCTAATACATAATATGAATTTAATAAGTGTTGAGTAAATGAAAAAATGAACAAGAACATAAGTAGAATAGAATTTAGACAATAGGTTGAACAGAAGGGGTGATGCATTGAAACAAGATTGCTTATTGGGCACTAAAAGTACACAACCATTTCCTTTTCCTTACTTCCTTCTATTTTAGTGGAGACAAAGATCATAATGGTTAGGTAGGAAAACTATGTATTCCAGAAATTTTGAAAAATTACACTTAAATTAGTGGTGTGCCTGGCAACCTTCACTTACATGTCAAAGCATAATTAAGAATGAAACAAAAGGTTGAACAAAACACTTTTTCTCCCTCCCCATTATGCTGCAATCACAAAGGCCTTGTTTCTGCTCTTGCAACTTGCAAGGTCTACTGGTGCCTTTGCCCCTGCTATCATCCCACTGCCCTCAGATCTTTGCATGACTGCCTCTATCTTATTTTTTAGGTCTCAAATCAAATATGGTCTCCTTAGACCTTCCTTGATCCCCAGTTCAAGTAAGCTCCTATTATCCCCAAATCACCCTTAACACTTTCCCCATGGTAGTTATGGCTACTTAAAATCATCTCATTCACTTATAACAATTCACTTATTAGTTGTCCTCCCCCTAGGATAAAAGATTCTGTATGTCCCTAATTTATCACAAATCTAAAACAATGCCTGGCACATAGTAGGCATCCAGCACATGCTGGATCCTCATGTGTCCTGATGTGATTATTTAAACATGTCACAAGCATATGTTGCCAATATGGTCTTTCTTATATGTTAGCTGGGCAACTGCTCAGCTTGCTGCCTACCACCAAGGAATAGACAAGAGTCACACAAGGTAACTATGCTATTCACTCAGACTTTATTATATGCAGGTTCACTCAAAGTAGAACATTAACATACATGAATATCATACTCCCACTCTAACAATCTAAGAGAAATATAACACACACACACACACACACACACACACACACACACACAGAGCAATCAATGGGGAATAATGAGCTCAAGTCCCAGGGTCTCAGTCTGCAGGTCCAAGAGACAGTACAGTGGGTAAGGGAGTTGTCAGTATCTTACAAGGAAGGATTTCTGGAGTCAGGTTAGCAGTAGAACAGACGAAGTCCTCAACCCAGCAGGGCAGAGCCTCCAGCAGCTGATGCTAAGGGATATCAGCATGGCATGTAACAGTATGTTGCTGTGTGGAGCTCAGCTGTTTCAGCAGTGGTCTGGGGCCTGCCTCAATTATATCTTTAAAGTGGTGGATTACACCCTTCTGGGTCTCTTGATAAGTGTCTTTGGCACCCCTGATGATAAGTGGGGAATTTCCCCAGGAGTCTATCTATGGGTGGTCCTGTTCTTCAGACATGGCTGTTTTGGTCACATGTGCAGATATCTTAGGTGTGTCTCCTTGTCAAATATGTATAGCATGACTTAGGTAGTTTCCCTCTTGAACCAAAGTGTCATGGCTGACTGACAGCCATCTTAGTTGACATGAGAGACTCCATCTTGTTTTATATACTTTATCCTATCTTGACTGGACCAATGCCATTTTATTGGTCCTGCCCTACACAAAACATATTTAGTTTTGATTTTTTTGGATTAAAAGTCAAGTTTTTAGTTAGAAAAGTCTATACTTCTTCATATGTTTCATTTTCCATTTCTGTAATTTAAATAATTATCCTTTGCTCATATTTCTATTTTTAAAAATTAATTTGTACTTCCTGACTCATATGGCTCAGTTGGTTGGGCGCCATCCCACGAAGTGAAAGGTCACCAATTCAATTCTTAGTCAGGGCATATGCTTAGGTTGTGGTTCTGTCCCCAGGTATGCATGAGAGGCAACACAAGGATGTTTCTCTGTCACATCGATGTTTCCTTCCCTCCCTTTCCATCTCTCTAAAAATAAATTTTAAAAATTAAAAAGATCAATGGCTGCTTAAGATACTAACCCTTTCTTTGACTGTTAGAGATGAATGGCAAATGTTTTTTCCAATGTGTTTGCTGATTGATTTTGTTCATGTTTTTCTCGGATACAAGTTCTGTATTTCCCACAGTTTGTTTCATCAAGTCGGGCCTTTGGGGTTTGTTTACTTAGAAATGCGACTTTAGGCAAGTAGGCTGACACTTAGTGACCAAAACTCAATTGCATTTTTGCACCTCAAATGCAACTCAATTGCATTTTTTCTTCTGTAAAGTGGGGATAATGGCAATGAATATGTCACAAAATTGTGAGTATTAAATTAAATTAAGTGTATAAAATGGCTCAGATTGTGCACACTGAAAGTGCTCTGAGTAAGAATGGTTATTATGATTCTTCCTGGTTCAGGTACTAGTATAATTTTCATATATATATATTTTAATCCTAACTTGAGGATATGTTTATCGATTTTAGAGAGAAAGGAAGGGAAGGAGTGGGAGAGAGAAAGAGTCAGAGAGACATCTATGTGAGAAACATCCATCAGTTGCCTCCCCTCTGTGCCCCAAACAGGGATCAAAGTCGAAACCTAGGTATGTGCTCTGCCAAGGAATCAAAGGGCAGCCTTTTACTCTATGGGATGATGCTCCAACCAAATGAGCCATCTCCCCAGGACTCATTTTCTCACATATTTTAATTGTTTTGTCCTTTAGGAATTAATTTTGGTGCACTAAATAACTAACTTCAACGTGCAAAGTGAGCCTGCGGTTCTGGGTGAGGAAAGTCTCATAAAAGTGTTGAAGCCTCAGCCCACCGGCAGGAGGCCATTGCCCTAGGCCAGGGCTTGGCGAGCTGTGCTCCCAGGGGGCGGGCCTGCGCCTTGGCCCCACGTACCCCATCTCTACTCGCCTCTTCCCTCTCAGCCTGGCCTCATCTGCGCCTCCATTAGTTAGACCCCACTTCAGCCGGTCTCTGCGTCTTCGCTCCGCCCCCTACTCGGTTGGCCCCACCCACCTCCCCGCCCCCTAGTCAGCCTCGCCAGGCTGGCCAGTCTCGTCTGGTTCCCGAGACTGCTGTTGGCCGGACTTTAGACTTGCTCCCAGGTGTTCGCCGCTGAGCCTGTAGGTGAGTGCGGGCTGTACTCTCGGCAGTGTGGGGACTAGGGGTAGAAGGGCCCTCGGGCCCTGTGCTAGGAGTGCCGGAGGAGCGCGGTGGGAGGGACAACTGGGGTGACACGCCTGGACCTGCGCGGGGAGATGGGGCCTGCACTGGGTGGGGCGGAAGCTCTGGACCGGCCACTTGCCTGCTCAGCTACCGTGCACTCCACGTAGATCCACTGTGTAGGCCGTGTTTTCTGTGCAGTGGCCTCTACACTGACCGTCAGACAAAGGGCATGTGGTATGGGACCTGCGGTGGTCATTTCAGCAGACTCAACACCATGAACAAGCGATGTAAGCATTAGTGCATCCGATACCTACATTTACCACTTAACGTGCAATTGTTACTCCATTTCAAGCTGGAGGAAGCTAAGAGGAAGCAATTTACCATTGGGGTGGAATTAAGGTCTGTACAGTGTCACATCACAAGCTTTGGCGCTTAAAGGTAAGAACATTACTCTTTGAAATAAACTGGGTACCGAGGTTTCAGATCTCTACTTTGAGGTTTGTTAGCTCTGTGACCTTGGGCAGGTTAACCTCTTAGGACTTGTTTCTGCATTTGTAAAGCGAAGATCAAATACCCTATGTCAGTGTTGTTACAAGGACTAAATACGATGATATTTCTAACACAGCAAAGTGTCTGCCTTGTATATCCTACTCGTTACTAACTAGGGTCAGCACACTCCACAAGCCAGCTCAAACAAAACTTGTGCAGGCCCAGAGCTCAGAGACAGGGACTTAGACGAATAAAGAACATGGCCCTGGCTGTTGTAATTCAGTGGATTGGGCACAGGCCTGCAAACCAAAAGGTCACTGGTTTGATACCCAGTCAGGGCATGTTGCTTGGTAGCTGACCTGGTGACCAGTATGGGGTAGGAGAGGCAACCACACATAAAAAGAAATAAAAAAAAAAAAAAAAGATCAGTTACAGCCACACTAATACAGTCATTGGTGGTACCCAAGGTCACTTTCTTTTTGCCTTTGTGAGAATTTTTTTAAAAGGGAATTCCTTGGCCCTGGCTAGTGTAGCTCAGATTGAGCATGGGCTGTGAACCAAAGGGTCGCCAGTTCGATTCCCAGTCAGGACACATGCTTGGGTTGCAGGCCAGGTCCCCAGTGGGGGCCACGTAAGAGGCCACCACACATTGATGTTTCTCTCTCTCTTTCTCCCTCCCTTACCCTCTCTCTAAAAATAAATAAATGAAATCTTAAAAAAAATAAAAGGGAGTTCCTTTTGGTTGATGAATTAAAAAAATACATTTCATTTTGGTTTGAAACAACTCAGAGATCAGTCTTTGGGACTGGACGCACTGAGGCTCTCTGGATAAGAGGGAGCCTGGCCTGATGGTTTAGGATTTTTTTCTCAGATCTAGTGCCTAAAGAATGCAAAGGGACAAGAGGTGTCAGAATGGGGACAAAAGGGGCCTTTGCCTTTTAAGGGCTACTTAATGACTAAACATGTCTCCTAATTTTACCTATAACTGTGAATACTTTGTAGACAATGACCTTCATTCCCACATAGCATTAAGCAACCTAAGGATTATACACATGCTCTCTACAACACTGGCACTACTGTCCTGAACATCTCTTCCATGGCGTCTGTCCTGATAACCAATTCCTGCTGACCTTAGCGCCTGTCAGTTCTTGGTTCTCTAGCTTTAGACACAGCTGTGCTTTTTTCTACTACTGTTAGAAATTTCTTTTTTAAAACTTTCTTTAGTCAATAAATAATTGTTCTAGAAAGTCAGCAAAACCAAGAAGGTTAGCACTGGGTGTAAAATATGATTAAATAACATTTTGACCTTCAAAAATTTGTAATGAGCCCTGGCTGGTGTAGCTCAGTGGATTGAACGCTGGCCTGCTAACCAAAGAGTCGCTGGTTCGATTCCCAGTCAGGGCACATTCTTGGGTTGCAGACCAGGTCCCTACTAGTGGACTCATGAGAGACAACCACACATTGGTGTTTCTCTTCCTCTCTTTCTCCCTCCCTTCATCTCTCTCTAAAAATAAGTAAATAAAATCTTTTAAAAAATTGTAATTAGCCACCACTGCTCATGGAAAGCATGAACCTTTAGGTGGATATCTGAGTGAGGATCAGTGCCACTCTCAAGTATGAGGAACCCAAATGTGTACATTCCTTTAATGTGCTCACTATTACCTTCACCCTGCAGGCTAGCTTCCTGCCTACTACCTTTCCCTTTACCTTCTTACCTGTCTTGGAAGTATTGCTAATCAGGTTAAAGTTCAAACAAATCTGTAAGATACTTGCTGGGAAATTTGTTGAAACATTGGCTGAGAAGGACATTTAAATTAACACCTAAAGTAAAGCATCATAGATTCTATTTAACTACATTACTTAAGTTTCTTACATGATAATAAAAAACAGACATTATGTGTGCATTTTGATAACATTCTGAAAATGACTACACTGGCTTAAATGTGTTTGAAGCCCTGACTGGTTGGCTTAGTTTTTTGGAGTGATCCCATACACCAGAAGGTTGTGGGTTTGATCCCCAGTCAGTACACTTACCTAGGTTTCAGGTTCAATCCCTGGTCAGGGCATATACTTGGGTCGTTGGTTCGATCCCTGGTTGGGATGTTTTTAGGAGGCAACTGATTGATGTTTCTCTCACATTGATGTTTCTCTCTCTCTCTTCCTGTCCTTTCTCTCTCTAGAGTCAATGAACGTGCCCTCAGGTGAGGATTAAAAAGTAATAAGTAAGTAAATAAGTTTGAGCAGCTTACCAGTATGTAATCATAATTTTAAAAAGGCATTAAAATTAGTCAACTAATGATCAAAATTACCAATATAAGTTAGCTGGATAGCATATTAATGCAGTTTCCCCATGAAAAATACAAGGAAACACTACATATTCATTATAGCAAATCATATCAAAATTCCATCTTACCAAGCGGATGTATTATGTCTGGTTCCTGTGAAAATTACCAAAGCAGCAGTGTGGTTGTGCTATGCATTGTCATCAGGCCTCTTTAGTTTTCTGAGGTTAGTTTACCCTGTTCCAGACTCAGGTCTCAGCGCATGTTAAGATAGATCCCTGCAGCTATGAAGAGGAATTTGTCCACATTTTCTTCTCTCTAGAGGTTGGGAAGTGAAAATCAAAACAAGTATTTCCTGATTGTGTTGTCAAAAATAGGTTTATAAAATATCTAAAATTGCCCATGCTGCCTTCAAGACTCCTTGTTCACCTTCCCTGCTTTATTTTTCTCTTTAGCACTTATTACCACCTGTATACACTGTAATTTTAGTATCTCCCTGCAGTATAACTGTGTGAGGGCAGGGATGTGTATTTGTTTGGTTTCTTGTCCCCTAGTACCTTAGCAGTGTCTGGCACAATAGGCTATCTGTGAGAATGATACTGAGTGAACGAATAGTACGAAGTACTATTCAATTGTTCCTGATCAGGAAGTATGAAGGGGTTTACCAGAAAGTTACAAATAGCTGAAATGGAATGCTAAGCAACCATACAAGGAATCTTCTTGAAATTGGGAAATGTATAAACATCTCATAGTCCTTGCTCAACATAGACACTTTAAAGCCTTGAGAACAAAGTCATTGTAGTTGCTGCAGCTTTGAACTGAGAGAATTTTCATATTATTTTTCATCACAACTAGAGAGGAGAATGTAGTGACATGTGAAATGCCCATCTGGCCCAATTAAATAGATGCTCCCTGAGAAGAGGAGGGACCTAGGTGTTAGAATTGGGCAAAGCTGGGTAACGGGCAGGTGAGAAGTTCTGATTTCTGGTCCATCATCTGGGGGATTCCAAAAGGCATGAAGTTCTTAAAATGCTGGGACTGGAATAAGGAGCCCAAGGGACTTCAGTTTCTGAGGTGAATGGGCCTTAACATGACATCTAGCCTGCCTGCAACCCAACTGGCCAGCAGTTTTATAGAGGCCTTGTAATTTAAAAATTTTTGGCTAAAGAGCTGGAATTTTCTACTAGGAGATACAGCTCTGATTTTTATCAAGGCAGGTTTTTTTTTGTAAAAGATGATTTATTTGATATATGGGTAATGGTAATAAAGTGAGGCAATATTGAGATACTGTCATTGCATCTGACTTTTATTAACACCTCACTCAGTGCCCCTATGGTGAACTCTTTATTTGATAGGCTAGAAAATGTAATCATGAGATTTCTAAAGTGTATATACTGTAGCCAAGGGATTAGAAAAGTAGTATAACTAGAAACAGATAATTAAGTAAATTCTGTAGCCTGTTATGAATCAGACAGATCTCTATATTTTAAGGGTTTTCTAGAGAAATCAAGGAAGGGGCCTTAGTTAATCTCTCACTTTGTAGCAAGCAATAAGGACAGGGTGAAACTGTATATACTTTTTAGTTTTCAAATCAAGAGTGGTCAAGTGAAAAAACTTTTGTAATGACTCCTGCTTTCCCCATTCTGAATGTTCAGGTATCAGCAATAGTATTACTATTTAGATATTCAGGATAACTCAAGTATCTGGAAATTTATTTTTTTATGGTAGCCAGAAACTGATTCCTTTTGCTGTGCTGAGGGTTTAGTGATGAGTGACACTGTGTATGGTAGGAAAACTTGCCTCCTTGTCCTGCTGTGTGGACCCAATGCACTGGGCTTGTGTTTTGTTTGTTGATGATCTTTATTTTTCTAAGTCATCACAGAATATGGATTTTAATAATAGTTTCAAGCAGAGGTACCTAATTAGTGGGAGAGTATCTGAATATAGGTATTTTTTTCAGATATGGTTTTTTCAGTAGTGGAAGATGGAGGCTAAATTTGGAAAACCTTATCCTTTTCTTTCTGTTTCTCTTTTTGGTTCTTGTAACTTTTCTGATATTTTTACTTTGTTAAAAAAATACCCCTACTTCTTTAGTACCACTTTCTGTACATGTTTTGTGTTCACTATGATTAAATGAAAGTCATAGCACATTAACTGGAAGAGGCCTTAAAAGTTACCTAAAGTGATTAAAAACTCAGATTTAATAAGTGAAACACAGAGGCTAGAGAAGTTAGACAACTGCCCATAAGCAGTGACACAGAACTATTGGCCACTTTTTTTTTTTACTCTGATCCAATGACCCTTTTGCTTGTCCCTTTTTCACACTGAAAAGAAAACATGTTTTTTTCTCTGTTTGTGTGCTTTAATGCTTGATGTAATTCCCTATCCCCATTTCTAGTGTCCATGGCAGGGATTAAAATATGTGGGCATCACTTTCTTAATACATACAGGATAAACTCAGTGTAAATTCTTTTACCATAAGTTTTCTACTCTCAGAGCCCGGGTGTTCAGTGCAGGGCATTCCTGTGAACTCCTGTTGCTGTCCTGAGATGGCCCAGGAGTACCTTCTGGAAGCTCTGAGATGTTGGTGCCCCATGTAGATAATATGTGAGAGCCCAGCAAGGGGGAAATGCTTTTGTGCCCTAAGTAACCCATGATCTAATGGACTGTCTTGGAGAACTGCTGTGAGGTAAATATCAACTGTCCAGTTCATGGTATTGGTGGGTGGGCACTGACTTCCATCCAACTGTTTTGGGACAAATAATGAGGCATTGTCACCAGTCCTAGATCCCCTCCCCTATGTACCAACTACATAGTTGCTCAGAGAAACAAGCTCTTCTGAGAGAATTTAGAAAAATTAGCACCAGTCTATCATCAAGGCTATTTGGGCCAAGTAATTTTGTGTAAACCCCATAGTCTTTTATTATCATTCCAAGAAGCTCTTCATAAACAAAGATGAGAAGGGTGCTCTACATCTTACTACTTAATAATAAGCCATCAACACCGAGGCAATTGATTAAATATTTGAGTAGTTAATAAAGTAATAATTGCTACAGTTCACAGAGTCATGTCTGATATATGCTGAGCATGTCAGAAACCAACCATTGCCAGGTAATTTTTTAAATCTCTAATTTATAGAAATTGAAGTTCAGATAGATAACCTGGCAAAGCAGACACACTCAAATACATAGTGGGAAAGAAATGTGAACAAAGAGTACTGACTCTGAAGTTATTCTTCTTTCTGCCACAAGAATGAGCCAGACATTGTCCTTCCTGGTGAAGGGGCTCTGCAGCCTGGTCCTTGTGCTCAGCTCACAGCAGTGGATTGGAAGGAAAACAGAGCCCACGTTTTATAGGCATCCCAGCCAGTCATGGGGGAGCTGTCAATCACAGTGTATCTTGATGAAGACCTTGGATGGGCAGAAGGTGCTGCTCACTTTAGTTGGCTGGGGTCAGTGTGGGCAGAGCCAGGAGTTCTTGGGAGAGCAATAGACTAGTGGCCCTGGGCAGCCAGTGCTGTTGTTGTTTTCATCAGAAGTGATAAAGTAATGATGTGAATGGAGGGAGGATGGCAGTGGGAGTGCCGCCAGGAGCTATGAGAGGGATTGGAAGTGGAGTTGGGCTGTGGGTATGGGAAGGCTCTGCACTTGTACATGTGAGAGATTTGGGGGGTGTGCCAGAATCTCCCTGACAGCTTTCCCGAGCACATTAGGGCACCAGGCCTATATGAGATGGGGAGGAAGAAGCAGACACTGCAGGGTTTTCAGCTAGGGCCTGGGTGTGACCATGGTCTCAAAATTTTATACACTAGACCTTCTTTTACATATTAGCTTTTAATTTTCAGTTTCTTTGAATCATCTGTCATATAATATTGATTTGGGGAAGTTGGGGTGACTGGGAAAGTTGACTTGTTTAGGATTTCTAAGGGATATTTGCATTTCAGAAACCTAACAACTAAACCAAACTATTCTCCAGTAAGTTACCTGTGCAGTGGAGAAGCTTCTGGCCAGTCCCAGGGCTCGCTCTATCTTGCTACTATCGCTCTTTGGGGAGGAACACATAGAGGCACCTTCTGTTGGCATGCCTTCTTCTGTCTGTTCAATTGTCTCAGACACCAGGAGTACAAAACATTTATTATCTTCCATTTTAAAAGAATACTATATTGTTTCTAAAATCATGTGTCATGTACCAGGTCATCACATAGAAGGAAGTGCAGAGCATCTTCATAGACATTGCTGTTAACATGGTTCAAGCCGTAATGGGTTTGTCACTTAAAATGAGCCTGCATGCAGAGCTGTCATCAGGGGATACTGCTAACAGAAGAGATTTGCATTTTGGAAGGAATACAATAATGTAGCTGTCAGCAGTTTACTAAATGATCATACACATCTGGCAGGCTGTTTCTGTAGCTCTTCTGTGAGAGGGGGAATCATGTTCTTCTGATGGTGTGTCTCTGTTATGAGAGTGACTCCACACAGAGGTGTTATCTTCACTTCTGTGCAGTTCTCCCCATCCTTGGAAATTGAGGGCTATCTGGTTGCTGGTAGACAATTCATTACATACTGTGTTCCCAGGACTTTAGAAACCTTGCTCATGCTACATCTGTCCCTGGAGTACTGCGTTATCCTGGGTACTACTGATACAACTCACAACACTCTAAACTCCCTTATGCAGAAGACAAAATGGACACACTAACCTTTATTCCATAGATGCTGTGTTAGATATGAAGAGCGAGGTGCACTGCGCATGCCAGATATATAGGTTTACTTGTAGAATTTCCATTTTGACTGAAGAAATCTAGAAAGTCATTTCTATGACATCACATAATCATCACTGCAAATCTTATCTTGTCCCTATTCTGCAGGAGTTCAAATGAGGTCTTTAGTGAAGGCTGGATAAGAGAGGATCAGACAGTGATTTGGGGTGGATAAAAGAGGATCAGACACTGGAGGCAGGTAGTCCTAAAATACTACTACTACTGTTACTGTTACTATTACTACTACTATTACTATTATTAAGCAGCAGCAGCTTCTGGGCACTGTTTAAATATATTAACTCAGTCTGCTGAACAACCAGATAAGGTAGGCTTGCTTATTAATTTCATTATTTTCATATTATTATTGGACATGAGGAAACCAAGCGGAAACTGAAGGTAAGGCTCTTGAATGTATAGTACTTTGTTTGTGTGCTTTGTTGATGTAAAGTAGGGGCAGGTAGGGTGGTCACTTTGGGGCGCACTCCCTGCTCACTGATGCTTGAAGCTTTCCTTGGGAAGGTCAGTTCAAAGAAGAGAAGGTAGAAAGACTAGAAGGGATCAGGCCTATGGGTGCTCATGGGGTCTGAGGAGAGAGGAGGAACAGGCAGTTGTTGGAGGTGCAGAGGAGTAGAGTTACAGGTGGCAAGTCCAAGGACAAGGCCCATGTGTTTACCTTTCAGAGATGTCATGGCTGTGTAACATCAGAGGGAGGACCATCAGATCTCTGCTTCTGGGTTTTCTGGTGTCTCTTTGTACCATTTGCTTTGTACCCTGACAGTCTGTGTAGTACTTTTTCCTTTTTCATAAATCAGAGTAGGACAGAATGATGATTGTAGTCACACTGTCATTACAGATGCTCACTGATATTGGAAACAGCTCATCTCCTGCACTGGACAATGTAAAGATATGCTAATTTTGGTGCTAAATTCAGTATTTGTGTGTTTCTGGATCTGGAGACTTTACTGCTATCATGTCAGTGACCGAACTTCCGAGGCACCATAGAGTTGATTTAATACAAGTGATGTCTGAAATGAGTATTTCATCCTCTTCTCCCCAGCCTGAGAACTTGCAATGACACCTATCACCCACCCACTGAGTCCTTCAGCCTAGTTCTCAGTACACTAGACTCATGTCCTGCCCACCATGACTCCCCCATCTGGATGCTCACTTCCATGACACTGTCTTCATTGTGCCCTCTCATGCCTAGCTCTCCTGTTTCTTTGTGGTCCCCTCTTTACCTGCTCACAGAATCCTCCAAGCTCAGCACTGCCAGTCTCCCTGCAGTGTCTGCTCTGCACAGTCTTCGGCCTGCATCAGAGATTTCTCCCAATATTAGTGTCTGGGGCACTTTGTCAGGACCATGTGTTGTACACTTCACAACTGTGATACACATAAAGTAGCAAAAAATGTCTGACTTCACAGTAAAAGGCCATGGCAGTTTCAGTTTTATTACAACATCCTGGGGAAGGGATTTGGGAGGCAAATAGGGGATTTGTGAATTTTGTTCCATATTAGGAATAATTCTCTTCAGGGTGAAGTCCACACACAGAGCATTGTTTTTCAAAGGAATTTCTAGCTTTGGCAACTACAAAACCTGTTTCCTTATTCCGTTTCCTTTAACTTAGGAATATTTTTAATCCTTACCTGAGGATATGTTTCTTGATTTTAGAGAGAGAGGAAGAGAGAAACATCGATGTGAGAGAAACATATCAATGTGAGAGAAACACATCCATGTGAGAGAAACACATTGATTGGTTGTCTCCCACATAAGCCCTGACCGGGGATTATAGTACATCCTAGGTATGTGCCCTGGCTGGGCATTGAACCCGTAGTCTTTTGCTGTATAGGACAACACTTCAACAAGCTGAGCCACTCAGCCAGGACTAATTTAAGAATCTTAAATGTTAGTATTGATTTCTGACCCACAGTGAGGATTGTACTATTTTCAAAGAGTCCACTGGAATAACTAAAGAGTTTCTGTAGGCATGAGTTGTTTTTGATACTTGCCAAAGGACTCTTCTAAGCATAATCCTGATTATTTTAGGCCTAAGTAGACATTTTGTACAGCACAGAAATCCTGTTTAAATAACAGGATGATTGATGAGTGGATTTGTTCTTCTTGTCCCAGAATTTCATCCAGATCTCCAAGTGGAAGGCAAAGGGCATCAAATATCCCACATTCTAAAGGCCATCAGCACCTCTAGTGGGCAGGCTCCTTCCCTTAAAGACCTGTCCTCCCACTGTGGGCCCCTACTTCATGCTGGGTGCTGTGAGTGGCCTGCCAGGCAGGGGAATGTGATGCTTGTCTCCTCCACAGCTCAAGAGATGGCTGCTCCAGTTCCTTTACCTGGTGTCATGGAGGAAAGCAACTTACCCTCAGCAATTATCACCTCTTAAGGCCAGCCTCTAAGGGCTTCATCTATCCCCAGCCCTCTTCATACCTTGACTGGAGGTGGGGAAGAGAGGTTAATGACAGTTGGGCTAACTTTGGTATTTGTGGCAAGTCTGGAGGACAAGTGAGCTATGCCTGTTTGCCAGAAGCTCTTTGTAGATTAGTGGGTCTGTTGACCTTGTCTACATTAGAACCATCCAAGGAGCCGAGGCTGGGTGGACCGTAAATCAGTCACACTAATCTCTGAGTGGAGAACTCCAGCATCAGTGGTTTTGAAAACTCCCAGGTGCTTCCAGTGAGCAGCCAAGATTGAGAACCACTCATGTAAAATGGGCAGGGGTAGGTGAAGAGAGGGTATATTTGGGGGTCTTTTATTCCCCGGGTTTGGGTTTTAGCAAAATTCTTTGAAAACAGAAAATATCTCCTTTAGCAACTTGTCAAATAAACAAATAAAAATAATATTAAGGTTGTAGTTTAATGAGTTTTGTTTCATAGCTAAATGCTACTTGGACTTTTTATGAATGGTAAAATATATAGGGAAGTGAAAAGATTATTAATATGTCTTTTGTCATATAATAAATGAGCTTATCCCAGCAAAAGTCTGACTGAAGCAATATCAGTGACATCCGACTTGCTGGGAGGCACTTAGTCTTATTCCAGTCAATTCCCTCTTAGGTCCCGTCCTGACAGTTGTCCTGAGAGTTCTGCTTCTTCGTTGGGAATGATGTGCTTCTTGAAGCACCATTTCAATGGCATCATTTCTCATCTCCTTGGTTTTCACAGCTCAAGAGATGGCTGCCCAGTGTGTGATGAAGGTGGAGCTGAATATTTCCTGTGACAATCTTCTGGATAAAGACATAGGGTCAAAGTCTGACCCATTATGCGTGTTATTTTTGAATACAAGTGGTCAGCAGTGGTATGAGGTAATATTAAATACTATAGGTGAAAAGCAAGCTCAATTGTTTTTTGACAACACGAGTTTAAAAATGTTAAAAATCATAAAACCATCTCATCTGTTTGTGCAGTGTTTGGGCAGGTTTGTCCTTGACAGAATTTTTAACACACATATAGGAACTTCCTTAGCTGTCATGCCTATATTGAGCTGGATGTAGTACATAAAATTTAAAAAATTTTAAAATGCAAGTTCACTTTTGACTTGAAACATTTTTGTTTTGGGGCTGTGTACAGGTTGAGCGCACGGAAAGGATTAAGAATTGCTTGAATCCCGCATTTTCCAAGACATTTATTATTGATTACTACTTTGAAGTGGTTCAGAAACTGAAATTTGGGATTTATGACATTGATAACAAAACAATCGAACTGAATGATGATGACTTCTTAGGAGAATGTGAATGTACCCTTGGACAAGTGAGTATAAGTTGCTGCTCTACTATGTGTCTACATTTTAACCAAAGAATTAGACCTTTTAAAAATTTTAAAAATTTCCAGTTACAAAAAAAAATTCCAATTACAGTTTACATTCAATATTATTTTGTATTTGTTTCAAGTGCACAGCATAGTGGTTAGGTAATCATATACCTTACAAAGTGTTCCCCCAATATTTCCAGTACCCATCTGATTTCATACACTGTTATCACAGTTATTATTGACTTTATTTCCTATGCTGTACATCACATCTCCAAAAATTTGGGCCTTTTCATAAGTGCTCATTAGTTTAATTTTTAAAGTTGGAAATCATGTAATCACTTTAAGGACAGAATTCATACATTGGTTTGGTGGGCTTCAGCATTATAGAATTTGCTACTTTCCTAAGGGCAGGGACCATATGTGTTTGCATTTGGAGTGTTCGTTCGACATTATAGTAAATGAAACTACTGTTGTAGCTGCTGTGTGTGCATCCTTATGTTTAGTCATAAATGCCATCACAGTATCAGCAACTTCTCATGTTCTAACTGGCGTCACTGGGCCCTCCCTGGCTCGTGCCTCATCAGCTGGGCTTCCTTCCTTTCAAACTAGAGTCTGTGGGGTCCTGCTAGCCTACTGGGTGCTCTCTCCTCTCGCTCCCTGATCATTCACCTTGTTTATCATAGTTATATCTTTCTGGTACAGGATAGGTTCCAGTAGGGTAGGAGTGTGTCTGTGGGGCTCACAGTCTGACTTCTAAGTAGAGGTAAGGAACATTTGTACAGAGTGAGAAAGGTTTCAGGGGAAGGAGTCTTTTTTAAAGTTGGTGACAATTATTGCTCAGAGTTATCTTTTAAGAGTTCATTTTCCAGTGTTGAATTGTTTGGAGATCATGGCATTTCCTATGTCTTGACAAATGGAGCTGATCAGTTTTTAAAATCTTTGATAAACAGTACCAAAGGGAAGTTAAAGTACTTACTGTTTTTTTGGAAAAAAGTGAATATAGCTAAATTTAAAATGAATATAAGAGATTATAGCTGATTGAGAGCCTAGGTCTACTATATTAATCAAAATGCTATTTTGGGGGGTGGGGGAGTTATACATTACAGTTACATCAGTTAAAAAACTGAATCCCATTTGGTGAGAGTTCTGAGGCCTGGCCTGCCTTTAAGCAATAGGGGTGAAATATTTATTTATTTTTTTATTGACTTAATCTTTATTGTATTTTTTTCTATTACCTCTAGTCCCCTTATATCTCTATACCCTCAACAAGCATCACTCTGTTGTTCATATCCATGAGTCCTTTTTTCCTTTTTTCTCAATCCTTCCACCCCCTCACCATCTCCCCACAAGTTGTCATCCTGCTCTCCATCTGTGAATTGTCCCCGTTTTCCTTGTTAGTTCAATTTGTTTATTAGAGTCCATATATGAGTGCAATTATCTGGTATTTGTCTTTCTCTGACTGGCTTATTTCACTTAGCATAATGTACTCCAGGTTCATCCATATTGTTGCAAAGGGTAAGATTTTCTTTTTCGTGGCCAAGTAGTAGTCCACTGTGTAACTGTATTATAGTTGCTTTATCCACTCACCTACTGATGGACACTTGTGCTGCTTCTGTATCTTGGCAATTGTAAATAAAGCTGCAGTGACTATTGGGCTGCTTATGTTCTTTTGAATTAGTGATTTGGGTTCCTTCAGATATATTCCCAGAAATGGGATTGCTGGGTCAAAAGACAGATCTATTTTTACTTTTTTGAGGTATCTGTCTCCGTACTGGTTTCCATAGTGGCTATACTACTCTGTATTTCCACCAACAGTTCAAAAGGGTTCCCCTTTCTCCACATTCTTCCCAACACTTGTTGTTTGTTGATTTATTGGTGATAGCCATTCTGACAGGTGTGAGATGGTATATCATTGTGGTTTTAATTTGCATTTCTCTGATGATTAGTGATGTTGAGCATCTTTTCATATGTCAATTGGCTATCTGTATGTCCTCTTTGGAGAAGTATCTATTCAGGTCATTTGTCCATTTTTTAATTGTGTTGTTTATTTTTTTTGGTGTTGAGTTTTATAAGTACTTTATAAATTTTGGACATTAATCCCTTATCAGATGTATCAGTGGATATGTTCTCCCATTCTGTGGGTTGTCTTTTTATTTTGTTGATGATTTCCTTTGCTGTGCAAATGTTTTTAGTTTGATATTGTCCAATTTGTTTATATTTTATATTGTTTCCCTTGCCTAGGGAGATATATTTGAAAAAATATTGCTGTGAGCAATTCTGGCATTTTGCTTGCCTATGCTTTCTTCTAGGGTTTTTATAATTTTAGGCCCAACATTTAAGTCTTTGATCCATTTTGAATTTATTCTTGTGTGTGGTGTAAGAAGGTGGTCTAGATTCATTTTTCTAACACATACTTCCAATTTTCCAAACACCATTTATTGAATAAACTATCTTTAGCCCTTTGTGTGTGTTTGCTTCTTCTGTTGAATATTAATTGACTATAAAGGTCTACATTTATTTCTGGGCTGTCAATTCTGTTTCATTGATCTATAGGTTTGTTTTTATGCCAGTACCATGCTGTTTAGATTACTATGGCTTTATAATACTGTTTGATATTAGGTAGCATGATTCTTCCAATTTTGGTTTTTCTCAGGATTGCTGTTGCTATGTGGGGCCTTTCATGGTTCCATATAAATTTTTGAGTTATGTGTTCTAGTTCTGTGAAATATATCATTTGAATCTTGATAGTAGTTGTTTTGAATCAATATATTTCTTGGGTAATATGGACATTTTAATTATGTTAATTCGTCCTACCCATGAACATGGTGTGTGTTTTCACTTATTTGTATCTTCCTCTATTTCTTTCTTCAGTGTCTTACAATTTTCCAAGTACAGGTCTTTTTACATCCTATATTAGTTTATTCATATATATGTTTATATACATATATATATTTTTTAGCAATTCTGAATGATATTGCTTTCTAAATTTTCCTTTCTGTTATTAGACTTCCCTGTCTTGTTCCCGATCTTAAGGGGAACGCATATAGTTTTTGACAGTTGAATATGATGCTGGCAGTGGGTTTGTACATATAGCCTTTATCATGTTTAGGTATGCTCCCTTTAATCCTACTTTGATGAGAGTTTTTATCATAAATGGGTGCTGGATTTTATCAGATGCTTTTTCTGCATCTTTTGATATGACATGTGATTTTTATCCTTCATTTAGTTTATGTGGTGAATCACATTTATTGATTTGTGAATATTGTACCAACCTTGCACTCCCAGACTAAAACCCGCTTAATCATGGTGTGGGTTTTTGCGTTCCTCTGTCAGTTTGCTAATATTTTGATGAGGATTTTAGCGTCTGTATTCATCAGGGATATTGGCTTATAATTTTCTTTCTTTGTACTATCTTTATCTGGTTTTGGCATTAGGATAATGCTGGCATTGTAAAAATTGTTTGGGAGCTTTCCCTCCTCTTGAATTTTATGCAATCATTTGAGAGTGATTGGTGTTAGTTCTTCTCAAAGTGTGGTAAAATTGACCTGTGAACCATCCAGTCCCGGGCTTTTGTTTTTTGGGAATTTTTTTGATTACTGCTTTAATTTCACTAGGTGTAATCTGTCTATTCAGATTCTCTGATTTTTCTTGATTTAGTTTGGGAAGATTTTACCTTTCTAGGAACTTATTCAGTTTGTCCAGGTTGTCCTGTGTGTTGGCATATGGTTATTTATAATATTTTCTTACAATCTTTTGTATTTTTTGGTGTCAGTTGTTATTTTTACTCTTTCATTCCTGATTTTATTTATTTGGGCCCTCTCTCGTTTTTCCTTGATGGGTGTGGTTAAAGGGTTGTCAATCTTATTTATCATTTCAAAGAACCAGCTCTTGGATTCATTGATCTTTCATATTATTTTTTAGACTCTATTTCATTTACTTCTGCTCTGACCTTTAGTATTTCCTTTTTTCTACTTATTTAGGCTTTGTTTGTTCTTTTTCAAGTTCCTTTCATGTGAATTTAGATTGTTTACTTGAGCGTTTTCTTATTTTTTGTGATAGGCCTATAATGGTATGAATTTCTCTCTTACTGTTGCTTTCCCAATCCCACAGATTTTGGATTGTTGTGCCCTTATTTTTAATTCTTTCAAGGTATCTTGATTTCTTCCTTGACCTCACTGTTATTCATTCTTTAATAACATCCTAATTTGCTTCCATATCTTTGTGAATTTTTCAGTGTTCTTGTGGTTGATTTCTAGCTTCATAGAATTGTGGTCAGAGAACATGCTTGATACGATTTTAATCTTCTTAAATTTATTGAGACTTGTTTTGTGTCCAATCAGGTGGTCTATCTTAGAAAACATTCCATGTGCACTTGAAAAGTGTGTATATTCTGCTGCTTTGGGGTGAAATGCTCTGAAGATACCAATTAAATCCATTTGATTTAGTGTGTCATTTAAGATTACTGTCTTGTTGTTGATTTTCTACCTGGAAGATCTATCCATTGAAGTCAATGGGGTGTTAAAATCCCCAACTATGACTGTATTTCTGTTGATCTTTCCTTTATGTCCATCCAGATTTGCTTTACATATTTAGGTGCTCCTATGTTGGGTGTGTGAATGTTTACTAGGGTTATATCCTCTTGCTGGATTGTTCCCTATATCATTATGTATTGTCCTGCTTTGTCTCTTAATATAGTCTTGGTTTTAAGTCTGTTTTGTCGAATATAAGTACAGCTACCCCAGCTTTTTTCCCCTCTGTTTGCATGAAATATTTTTTCCATCCCTGTACTTTTATTCTGTGTGTATCTTTTGGTCTGAAATGAGTCTTTTGGAGGCAGCATATTCATGGGTCTTTTTTTTCTTATACATTCAATTACCTTATGTCATTCTGTTGGAGCATTTAAGCCATTTACATTTAAGGTAATCATTGATAAATACTTTGTATTTAGTGCTATTTTATCATTAGACTATTTTCATCTGCTTTTTTTCTTTCTATTTTTCTTCTTCTTAAAACAAGCTTAAAACCTTTAACCATTGTTGTAGTACTGGCTTGAGTGTTAACAAACTCCTTTAGCTTTTCTTGTCTGGGAAGCTCCTTATTTCCCCTTCGATTTTATTTTCTTGCTGGGTTAAGTAGCCTTGGTTGTAGGTCCTTGCTTTTCGTTACCCTGACTATTTCATGCCACTCCTTTCTGGCCAGCCATGTTTCTTTTGAGAATTCAGATGATAGTCTAATTGGTGCTCCAGTCTCAGTAACTACCTGTTTTTCTTTTGCAGCTTTCAGGATTCTCTCCCTGTCTTTAAGCCTTGTCATTTTAATTATGATGTGTCTTATTTTAGGCCTTTTTGGGTCCAACTTGTTTGGGACTCTTTGAGCTTCCTGAACTTGTGTGTCTTTTTCCTTCACCAGATCAGGGAAGTTTTCGGTCATCATTTCTTCAAATAGGTTCTCAATCCCTTGCTTACTCTCTTCTCCTCCTGTTATTCCCATGATGTGGATGTTATTATGCTTCATGTTGTCCAAAATGTTTCTTAAATTCTCCTAATTTTTAAAAAAATGTTATTTATTTATTTTTAGAGAGAGAAAGGAGGGAGAAAGAGAGAGAGAGAGAGAAACATCAATGTGCAGTTGCTGGGGGCTGTGACCTGCAACCCAGGCATGTGCCCTGACTGGGAATTGAACCTGTGATGCTTTGGTTCGCTGCTCGCACTCAATCCACTGAGCTATGCCAGCCAGGGCTAAGTTCTTCTAATTTTTTTAAATTCCTTTTTCTTTTTGCTGCTGTGCCTAGGTTTTTTTTTTTACCTTGTCTTCCAAAATATTGATTCTGTCCTCTGTTTTATCTAATCTACTGTTTGTTCCTTCCAGTGTATTATTTATTTAAGACATTGCATTCTTTATTTCTGACTGGTCCTTTTTTTATGGTTTCTGTGTCTTTTTTCATGCTGTTGAGTATCCTTATAATCATTACTCTAAACTCTATCTGATAAATTGTTCGCCTCCATTTCATCTAGTTTTTCTGGTAAATTTTCTTGTTCTTTCATTTGGGGTCTGTTTCTTTGTGTTCCCATTTTGGTGACTTCCTTGTATTTTGTGTCTTAAACTGATCAGTGATACAGCCTTAAGCTCTAATCAGCAGTCTGCATAAACACCACAGGGTGGGGCAGAGTAATTCTTGTGGCCAGGGCTATTGCTTCCCCTCAGGCCGGTATCACTTGGAGAGGAGTGTTCTGCCTGAGAAAAATGGCTTCTGTAGTATATAGAATGACTCAGCGTAGTGGTCCTGAACACTGTTCCTTCCATTCTCTCTCCAGAGCCACCAACCTCAGACTCTCGTGAAGTATCTCTTGCCCTCCCTCTGCCCTCCCTCTGCCACAGCCCAGGGTACGTGCTGCAAACTGAATTTTATGCACTGGCCCTGTAAGAGGCTTTCTTTATCCTCATCCATCTTTTCTTGGCAGACAGAAAGCCTGCTGCTTTTCACAGCTTGATGTTACCTGGGTTTTTTTAGGCTCTATGCTGTAAGCTGGAGAGCCCAACTTGGCGTTTAGATGTCATACTTCTCAGGGGGAACGCTCCAGCTGCTGAAATATCCCTCCGGAATTTCTGCTACTGCCCCTGGCAGCCCGGCCAGCTCTCTCATGTCTTCTCCATACTTCCTACCAGTCTCAATGTGGTGAAGTGGTGTCTTCTGTCTGTCCGTGGTTATAAGACTTCTCTCCAGCTCATGTTCTATTGGTTATTCAGGATGATTTCTCTACAACTTAGTTGTAATTCCAGCTTGGTTCTGGGAGGAGGTTTGTGTGGCTTCCACTTACTCCTTCACCATCTTGCAACTCTCCAGTTGGTTTTAAATGTCTCCAGTGTTCTTCAAGCATGCCCCAACTGGTGTAGCTCAGTGAGTTGGGCATTGTCCTGCAAACCAAAAGGTTTCTGGTTCAATTCCCATTCACAGCTTTTCCCTGGGTTGTAGGTCAGGTCCCTGGTTGGGGTGTGTGAGAGACAACTGATCAATGTTTCTCTCCTTTTCTTTCTCCTTCCCTTCCCCTCTTTCTAAAAATAAGTAAGATTTTTACATGTGTCCATGTATTTTATAATCACTCCATCCTTACAGAATGGACTTAATGACTTCACACTCAAACTTTTTTTTCAAAACCATTCAGTTTAAAATGTTACAAGATGAAGTGAAAAAGCTCTTTTTATCAATCTTTTCCTTTAATAGATTGTTTCCAGTAAGAAGCTGACTCGACCACTGGTGCTTAAAAGTGGCAGACCTGCGGGTAAAGGCAGCATCACGGTAACAAGATATTTGTCTTTTGTCTAAAAAGATTTATGTAGAGGGCACACTGAAACTGTACAGGCAGGTAGTTTACCTTACAACCATGCTTTATCATTTCATCTGAATGGCGCCCTCCTCCTGCCCTGCTTAAGAGCAATCACAAATGGGAAACGTGTGTGCCAAAAAAAGAAACACACACATACAAAATCCCTTTGAGTGTTTAAGCTGGTCGCAGGGTCCAGAGCAACTTGGTGATATGCCTTACTCCTGTGGAAGTATAATTAAACTATTTAATTATCTGAATGGATCCACCTGGCTTGATGCAAGGCAAAGTCATCCCCTCAAAATGACAGAATTTTCAGAATGGATTTTATTCCTAATGGGTCTCACACTGTGACATGGCTGGCACCTCTTTTTCAGTGCCCACACTCTGCTGTCCGTCCTCCCAGCAGGACTTGCCAGCTGACATCTAGCCCTGGGCCAATAAATGTATGTCTTATCCCAATTTAGATCCCAAGTTATATAATGCTGTGCTTTTAATGATCTTACCTTCCAGACCTTGTGTCTGGGCAATCACCCCTGGAGCAATAGTTTCTGACTTTAGCTCTGCAAGTTGAAGGTTGGCTCCCTGAGAGCCTCATTTTAGGATCAGTTCCATCATGAAACTCATTTCCCTGAGCAGCCATTTTGCTCTTATTGAAATTTCCTAAAGCATAAGAATGTTCAGTCTGTGGGGGTGCTAACTTTCGTAGCACATTGTGAACATCGTAGCACATAGAGAACATTGTGGGTAGTTACTTTTATTGCTCTTGGGCCTTTGACAGCTAATAACTCAGTTAAGTTAAATGAAAAATAGTGATGTGATACTTCAATTGATAGTGTTTTCTAGATATGATTTTGTCACTTCGCAGGGTTTAGAGAGCTTTAGCTGGTGTTGTGAATTTCTCCAGGTCTTTGAATTTCTCACTGGAATTAGGAAATCCAGTTGGGGCAACAGCCTCTAAAAAGGAAAGTGCATAATTCAGACTTAATCGAAAAACAGAGGTGTATAATGATATTTAATCTAAAAAGGAAAGCACATAATGAGATTCACCATATTTTGGGAAAATATTTATTGCAAGTACATAAAAGCTATAATGATAAATCTCTTAAATGTACCATTTAGTTATTAACCATTTTATAATTTATTTATATTAATAGACTTTATATACTATTAGGTAACAGAATATCAGTACTTCCTGAGTGTATCAGAATCCCTAAAAAAAGCTTTCTTTTACTTACCTTATCTGTTCTTAGATTTCAGCAGAAGAAATAAAGGATAACAGAGTGGTCTTGTTTGAAATGGAAGCGAGAAAACTGGACAATAAGGTGGGTAGGTGATGCAGACTTCAACAGGGATATATATATCGTTTGCCACACAGTGATTCTTGTTTGAGAAATACGTAATACTGCAGTTAATATAAGTGCCATCATCTGAACATCCCTTGGAGTTTTAGTGCCTTCCAAATCCTGCTTTCCTGTGTGTGTGTCTCTGTGTATGTGAGTGTGTAGCTGTGTGTATATATATGTGTCTATGTATGTCTGTATGAGTTTGTGTCTGTCTCTGTATGTGTATCTGTGTGTGTTCGTAAGCAGAACTTGTTTCCTCTTACCTCTTTCCTCTCAATATAATCAAAGGGTTTCTCTGGCTCAAAAGAGGAGTCAATATAAGCATTAATGTTACTGGAAAAGATAGTAGAGATGGTGTATTGGATTACCTTAAGGGAAAAAGCAAAAATATCATACTTCATTAATTACAGAATTTTCTCTTTGCATTCAGAAGTCAATATTTTTAATGAAGGGTGAATGTATTACATAATAGCACAACAATGTAGTATATTACATGGATTAGAATAATTCTTCACATGCTTTTTTACTTTATTATCCAATCAGTATTCTTCATTGTTTATATTTCCTTACACATCAGTTTGAAAACATGTTAGGCTAGTAGCCAGGGACATTTTTTTAAAAAAAAAATGTAAATATATACAAACATAGAATAGTATTTTAAAAAAAAATTTCATGTCTCATCACCTGTCTTAAACAATTATAACTCATGACCAGTTGTGTTACATCTCTACCCCTATTTTCTTTCCCTCCTCCTAGCCATCATAGCATTTCATTTGTAAATATTCTGGTATATCTCAAAAGACTCTTAAAATATATAATTGGTTAATGTGTCTCTTAAATCACTTTAACCTGTAAATTTCCTCCTAGCTTTTCCTTCATTCCTTCATCCCTTCCTCCTTCATTCCTTCTCTTGTTTGCCCCTTTCTCCTTCCCATCCATCTTTCCATCCATCCATCCATCCATCCTTTCTGGAATTTATTCCACAAAGAAATTGAATACTTTGTCCTATAGAGGTTTCCACAGTGTGTATAACTGCTTAAATCCCTGTGGTGTCATGTAACTTGCTGCTCTTTCCACCATTATTTCTTGATTTCTGTAAGCTGGTAATTGAATCTAGAGGTATGATTAGATGGTATTTTTAATTGTTGGTAAGGCAGTTTCATAGGTGGTGGCCCATAATCAGGAGGCTCACATTGTCGAGTGTATATTTTAGGATATGATAAGTACCTAGACATATTGTTTTATTAAGGGTTTATAAAATAGTGATATTCTCATGCTATCATTGCTTCTTCATTTATCAGTGAGACTACTTCTATAGAGGAAAGTATTCTCCCCATTGGGCATTTACTTATTTTGAGATACAGTTTTACAGAAAAGGCAAGTAAAATGTTTGACTTTTTTTCCTGTATTTACCATTTTTTGGAATAATAAGTTGGCTCCTTATTTTTCTCTAAACGTGACCAATGAGGGTTTTTTGCATTTGTTGTTTATTTTTAGTATTGCTGTGAACTCTATTGATTAATTCTTATTGATACAGAGTATTCCAACTTTCGGCCTCTGGGGACCTCTTTAATTTATCCCTGAAACCATCTGGACAATCCAGGGATCTCTGATAGCTTCTTTGCCCTATGGGAGGACACATGTTCCAGGCTCATTTCATTCAGTCTCTGCCCCAGATTGGCACATGAAATGGTGCTATTCTGCGTGTCAGTGAGAGCTGGTACTTAGAGACCACAGGGAGGTGCTAGGGAGCTGTTTATTGTGGTTGCTCATTGTTTCTATGGCTTCTCAGTCAGTAGTCAGATATAGGAAAGATTTTATTTTATTTTTTAAGAAAAACTAAATTACCTTTTGCTTTGTTTTACTGGAGAGAGCAAGATAAGTTACCAACAGCTCTACAGGAGCCAATCTGAGAACATTTGGCCAGGGTTCTCATTCTTGCTGTGTCTGCTCAAACTGGGTGGTCTGATTGGACATATGGCCTCAACAGGGGCCACTTGTATTTCTGTCAGTATTCGAAGGTATAGGCTTTATTAAGTTGGGCCAAGTGAACTTCCTTGAATTGGTTATTTAAGACATCTGCTTTACCATACAAACAATGCTAGCTAGCTCTTTGTACATAAAGTAAAATTAAAAAACCTCTGTTATGAGTGTTTTAATGTGAGAAAAAAGAAAAACTGAATTATAAGTTTATACAGTTATTTCCAATTTAGATATTCAGATATAGAATTACAGGGCTCTACTTCTTTAATTCTATATTTATACCGTTTTTTTCTTATGTTGAAAATCTTGGTTCCTAAGATATTAACATAATTACCTATCTATTTTGTCTTAATAGAGTATTGAATAGTTTCAGAATAAAAATATCTAGGTTGTAATTAAAATATTTTTACTGGAAATGGTTTGAGCTTTCTTTGAAGTTTTTTTCCTTTTGGTTATATTCCACTTGGTGATACAGTCAAACTTTTGTTTTAAAGAAATAATTCTTCTCTGAATGGTTATACTGTCACATTGACACATTGTAGAAGTTTGCTTTTGACATTTATGAATTGCTTTAAACATTTTTTATTTAATTTTGTTTTATAATCATGTAAAAGATTTACATGGTTCCAATGCCAAATCTGTAAAATAAGGTATATTCAAGAAACTTAGCTTTTTTCCCTGCCTGCTGTTTTTTCCTCCCGTTGGTAATATTTTTTAATTTATATTTTATGGTTTAATCTTTCAATTTCCTAAAAAAAACTAAGGTTTTTTGTGTATATGTATTTGCGAATATATATTTGTGTGTCCGTATACATATACTTATATACACATATGTATGAGGCAGGACCCAAGAAACCTGGAATTATCTCTTGGAGGGTGGGCCCCTGGTAGTACATACAGGCTTCCCCCTCTGGGTGAGTGTTGGAACCCATGTGTATCAGTGTACCTGCTGATATTGTAGTGAGAGGCTACATTTGGCTTCAGTGAAATATTTTTGAAGACTCATTCAACGTGTTTGCTCATTTCATGATGAGTGATTTAGGAGCGCACCTACCCATACTGCACTGAGTGTTTAGTGATTTTTGGTGTGACCCTTGTGCCCCACCCTCCCTATTCACCGAATTTTGCCCTGAGCGACTTTGTTTTTGTTTCCCTGGATAAAAAATGTCCTCAGAGGGAAATGTTTTGCCAATGTGGAAGAGGTGAAACAAAAAATGGCAGAAGCACTGAAAGGCATCAAAATTGACCAGTTCAAAAACTGTTTTGAGCACTGGAAAAATGTCTTGATAGGTGTATGGCACCTATATTGCACAAATGGTGAGTACTCTGAAGGTGACTGAAGTTTAAGCATTTAAGAATAAATACACAATTGTTTATAAATAAATTCTGTTTTTTTGGGGTCCCCCCTCGTGTGTGTGTATCTATCAATTGAGATGTGTGGGCATGTATGTCTGTTTGTATTTGTATTGTCCCCACCCCAGGCCCTTTGGTAAGTGTATCATACCACGTGCACACTTTCCTCCACATTCCTTTTTTCATGTAACATATTTGGAGGCCTGAGTCAGGGACTTTTAATTCTTATTTTGGTTCTACTATTGCTAACTTAATGAACTTTTAACACTAATGAACTTTTAAACAAAGACTGTTTTCTTACCTTCAAAATGGTAACAGTGCTATTTTGCCTCTGTCATAGGTTTATTTCTACAATAAGTGAGACAAGGTAGATTAGTGTGTTTTTAGAAAGTTAATGTCTCTGTATAATGCTGTTATTAGTTTTACAATATAAAATGTGGCATAGAGTGGCTTATTATATTTACTTACGATTCTTCTTGCAGATAAAGTTAAATTTTAGTTCTTCCTAGTCCTTGTGTTTATATATTTTTTGACTGTACCAACTATGTTTCTTGCTTGACAGTAAACTATACTAAGTAGGGAAATGAATCTTTGTTCTTAATTTAGTACTGAGGTTAATTCAGGACTCAAAAGTCTTCAATTGAAAGACATAGCTGCACATATGATTGTAGAGTTAACAGGTGTCCTTTCATTTTGACAAATAATAAGTAATGTATTCTAAGTAGTATGGAGATTTCAAAGTGAAGATAAATGAAAATGAGAAAATAACCATCCATAATCTCATTACTTGAGTTTAACTTATGGAAGTGATTTGTATATCCTTCTATAATTTTATCTCCTATATGTGTATGTGTTGAGGGTGGTGGTAAGGGCAGTTTTGAGTGCTCAGTGTGTTGAGAGCACTGTTTAAGAGTACTGTGGGAAATTACAGAAGAAAAAAATGGGTGCCCTTGAAGCAATTCTGTTGCACACTCCACATATTTACCTCTGCTCTCTTGTGTGAGGAATTGAACATAGAAGGATAATATATGGAGTCAAGACTCAGGTCCATCAGCAATTAGATATGTTATCTTAGCAAATCATTTAACCCCTCTGAATCCATTTTATTGCTGGTCCCTCAGGGAGTTAGCATGACTGGTGTGGAATATTGCTTACATAAAAACTACTCAGTGCTGTGTGAGTGAACAATATTAATGAAAACAGCCCAAAATATATTATATTAATGGATCATATTGATCACTATATTTTAAAGTCATCATGTTTTTTGAGAAGTAAGGACTAGGAACATATATCAAAAATACCATCATAGTTCTCCTGGTAGATGTCAGCAAGTCTGTGAGGAAGGAGATGGGTTTGTATTTACTATGGTACTGTACTCTGTATATCTGTACTTTGGGGGACAGAGTTCAGGTGTTATTAACATGTAATAGGCATAAAATGGTCTAAAGGAGAATAATGGCTTTCTCTTTTTAATGTAGGATCTATTTGGAAAGTCAGATCCATACCTGGAATTCCACAAGCAGACATCTGATGGAAACTGGCTCATGATTCATCGAACAGAGGTGAACATCTGAATTTGAAAAATAGGGTTGAGGTTTCCTTTAGAATTGTAGTAATCTAAATTTTTTTTCCAATTATGTTTGTATAAAAATGTCTGAGTTCAGACATATATAGCCAGAGACATATGGTCAACATGCTGATGTTTTTTTCTTTTAATGAGGAGGTGCTACCCTGCTTAATTATTAGTAGAGTTTTTATTTTGAAAAAAATTTAAAACCCTGTAAAGAGCACTGTAATGTATCCCTCTACAGTTGTACGTTCTCTCACATACACATACACACGCAAACTCACACACATGCACATAGGTACTTCCCTTGTTCAGAGCTGTCCTGATGTGGGCTGCAGGCAACTCTTCACCTTTTAATAGTAGAGCAGAAGTTTCCCAAGAACAAGGGCATTCTCCTACCCAGCCACATCTGAAAGAGTTAAGATGGTTTATAATAGTGTCTTCAGGCCTTTCCAGCTCTCTCACGTGTTTAAAAGCATATCATTTCGTTTTGTCCAAAGTCAATCAAAGTTCACATTTTGCATTTAGCTATCTAGCTTATTGCATCTAGCATTCTGCATCTAGCTTAATTCTTCTTCCTGCTTTCCTACACCTCTCCGCCATCTAATCTCTTGAATAATCAGACCAGTATTGAAGTAGACACAGCCCATGTTGCCTACAGCATTTGGATGAGATATGAACAAATTCACACAGACTACTGAGTCCTGTGGAGGAAAAGGGATGGCACTGCCACTCTCTCAAGAGGAGAGCACCCAAACCCTTGCCTTGACAGGCTTTTATTGGCTTAATTTGCATAGATATAGAGGGTATATATGGAAAGCTCATCAACCATTGTCAGGCAGTAATACTCAAATAGATAATATTCAAAGAACTATGAAGGGCTTATTTTGAGTCAGGGTCTGATAACTAAAGGGCCATAAAACTTTGGGGAAACAAACTCATTTCACACTTGGACCCTTATCATTTAAAATGAGGGTATTAGCAAAGCAGGTTTCACAGGATTTTATGCTTTCTTTCTTAGGCCTGATCACCCCAGGGAATTTGCACTTTGCAGCACAGGGCTGCACCCACCTCTAGCATTGTTTCAGGCTTAGGTCGATCAGGGGAAATAAGGAAGCCAAGAGATTAGGAGACTTCTTGCAGACAGAGTGAGGACTCAGGCTATATCAAAACCAAGGGGCGAGGGTCCATCACCTCCTTTATCCATAGCCCCCAAGTCCTTCCTTGAGGGCCCCCCATGACCACGCCTGTCTTAGGTCATCCCTCCCTTGAGGAATCTTACCCATCATTGGCTAACCGATCACGTACTGGGGGCCAGGCAGGGTGAAGTAAAGGGGGCAGAGGTGGTACTCCTGCCAAGGAGATAAGCTTTGTCTCCTTAGTGGCTTAGGGACTCAAGGTCTCTCACTCAGCCTTAGTCATGGGGGGTTACAGTTTCTGAAACCAGGCAGGGCAGTTCCCAACACAGTATGTCCAACACTCTGGAGTCTTGTGTTTCCTCACAGCTAGATTCTGCTGAGACGTGGCATCAGGACCACTCTGTGTGTCTCTTGCTCTATACCAGCAGGGGACCCACAGTGTCAGGCTGCCCAGTACTGCTGATGCCAACCTTGCCCATGTGGTTATGCTTGTGACCACCCCTTTGTAATTAATAGGTAGTCTGTGGTGTGTCACTTTGAGGTTGTTCTCCCACCTTTCCCCCACTGGATTTAGCATCTACCCATGACCCATGCCTGAACCAGTTATTATATTGGGTTATAACACAGTGATTCTTTCTTATATTTTCTGTCTCTTAATGTATTTTACCAGATACTCCTCTCTTACTTTCTCCTTCTTTATTTTTAGTGTCATTGTGGACTCATAGATTATTATAACATAGCATGGTCAGTATTTGTTTTTTTTTGTTTTTTTCCTACATGATTTATATAATTATTATTATTATTTTTAATTTTATTATAATCATTGTTCAAATACAGTTTTCTCCTTTTTACTCCCAATCCAGCCCCCCCTCCCACCCCTCCCCACTTCCCTCCCATTACCACCCTCCCCTTAGTTTATGACCATGTGTCCTTTAAGTTTGTTCCCGTGAACCCTTCCCACTGTCCCCCTGAAATTCCCTCTACTCTCTTCTGTGGGCACTGTCAGCCTGACCTCTATTTCAGTGTCTTTGGTTATATTTTGCTCGTTTCTTTGTTTTGTTATTTAGGTTCCTGTTAAAGGTGAGATCATATGGTACATGTTCATTATTTGTAATTCGTTACTGTCACCCATTTTACAGCTCAAATTAATCCAGATTTGACCAGAGCAGTGCCTTCAAATGGCTCCTGGCTTCTTTTAACATGACCCCTAGTCTTTAACTCTTTAACCATTCTCTTATTTTATATTGCAGTCTCAGTTCACCCTCTGCTTTTTCTGTGCCAGATCTGGAACAACCCATTTCTCTGAAGCAACTATATTCCTTTCAGAGGGTGGTGGTATTTAGCTGCCAAGATCTGAAGGCTAGATGTACTTATTGTTACTGGGACATCATAGCATTTAGGCCTTTTCAATTTACTCAGCTGGGAAGCATATATATATGTTTATGTATATTTTTAAAAATTTAATTATGAACTTAAGACTATTTCTTTAACCAAATCCAACCCAGCACAGTTCTTTCTCAGACTTTCTTATTTCATATTTCGGTCTTCTATACCTGTTTGGAAACCTCGATTTCTGACACAAGCGTATCTTGTAATGGGTGGATGTATTTCCCAAGTAGTTTTGTTCTTTTCTTAGCATGTATCACAACTAAACAGTTTATCACAGCTTTAATGTAACAGTTGTATAATATTGGTCTAGCTAGTTTCTCGGTGAAAAAGTTGATTGCCCAAAGAGGTAATTGACGAATGGTTAAAGCACAGCGGAATCTAGGAGAGGCAAGAACAAAATGTTAATGAACTGAATACTTTCCTAACTTGTCCTTGAAAATCTGTTTTTATAGGTTATTAAAAACAACTTGAATCCTGTTTGGAGGCCTTTTAAAATCTCTCTTAACTCACTGTGCTATGGAGATATGGATAAAACTATTAAGGTAATTTGAAATTGTGCAAACTCACCTCTTTTGTAAAATTGATTGATTTGATAGTATTTAAAAAGATTATGTGATACAACAGAGACGTAGGATTCAGTTTTGTTCATATTTAAGAATACTAAAGTAGAGATGCTTTTGATGATAAATAGTTTGAAGATACAACATGTTTGACTGATCTGTTGACCTAATGCTGAATCAAGCATTATAGTTTTTATTTTACTCATTTATTTTTAAAATAAAATATCTAATATAAATTTTTCTGCCTTTTAAAAAGATTCCTTTACTCCATGAATAGGACCTTTAACAACCTTGTTTGCCTCTGCTGTGTCTCTTGTGGATAAAGCAGATGTTGCCCCTAGCACAGCATAGAATGAAGACCGATGGTATTGTCGCTTATTTCCAGAGCAAAATACAAGTACTGGAAACATTTAGGTCACTTCAGTTTTGGAGGATCAGGAAGGTAGAGTGGCAACAAGGAGCAGAAGCAGATGTCTAAGAATTTGTTAAAATGTTCTTTAACCATTTATCAAAAAATATATATTATTTTAAAGATATTTTTATACTAGAGTCACTTGTTGACATAAGATTCCAGGTAGAAGACTTTTCTTACGTTCTGAGGTTAGTAAACTGACATGGGTTTTTGTTTTTGTTTTTCGTAATGAATATGGTGAATACAGGGAGGTTGATGGCACAGAACAAACAAGTGGAGGATTGAAAATCAGACTATAATGCAAGTCTTAATTCAGTCCTTGAAGCAGCTAAAGGATCTTGGGCAGGTCATCTAATGTCTTTACTTATATAATAGAGAAAATAATGTCTATTCTACAAAACAGTGAGGATTAAATAGCAAAAATTAAAGTTTTATAAACTCTTAAACACAGTGCAGATACAGTTATTATTGAAAACTGCAGAGAACTTTAAAAAATAATGTCTGTGTAAGTTGTGTGGTGTTTCTAACAGCAGTGAAAAGTCAGCTTTTGGGCAGGGGGAGGAACAAGCTTTACTCTCAAGGTTCTGTTGGCTGGTCTAACATTCAAATAGACACCAAACAAATTAGCAAGAGAAATAGACCAAATTTAATTACATATTTAGGGGAACCCCTCCTACATAAGAGAGTCACAGACACAAAGGGAAACAGGTCTAGAAGACATTCTGGGCGAGGGAGGATGTAAGGTACCTTGAGGTGTCAGAGGTCATTGAGGGATAGTGCATGTTCAGTGATTATTAGTTTGCCCTGCCATATACACAATTAAAAAGTTATTTCTGATGATAACTGATAAAGTTATTTCTGTCATCATGGATCAGGCTCCTAATTTAAAGTCTTCTAGATAGTTAAGTGGGGAGCAAAAGTTCTTCTTTAGGCCACAGAGTCTCAATTGCCTTTAGCTCAAAATAATCTACATACCATTCAGGCACATACAGTACAAAATAAATAGTAGAACAATAGCTCTAAAAATTACTTTTGAGATCATTTAAGATCTTGCTCCCTGACATATGTCATCAGTTTGGCTCAAATAAAGTTATATAAAAATTCAAAACATTTACTTTTTTTATTGTACCAAATCTAGAGCTTTTGCTTTTCACATTAAAGGTAGTAAGTTGAAGCTTCATTAGATCTGAGAAGCAAGAGAGGCTGTGAAAATATATCTAAAACATAACTATTTGATCATAATATGTTAACTGTGAAACAACTTTTTAAACTTTTTCTGCACACAGTGGCTTGCATACAGGGCTATTTTATTATAGTAAGTAAACTGGTTTTCTGAGCTTACTCTGATGAATGCCTTCCATTCTTAAAAGTTTCTCAGTTTGTTTGAATGACATATAATTTGGTTTGCCACATCATCACTGTCTGTATCTCTTTGCAATATCAGGAAGTCATATATCTGTGATTTTCCTTGGTATTTGGAAACTGCTTAGAGGTGCATAAAGAGTTACAGAGCAGAGGACAGAGTTACAGTCATCAGTGGTTTCTTTGCTGCAGTATGAATGTGCACTCTAGCATGTATTATCATTTTCATAACATCCAGTGACTGAGAAATAATCATGCATGCTGCCACCTTGCCTGAAGTGGGAATGCCTTAGTAGATGTGGTATTGTGTGGTGTGTGCATACTTTACATATATACTTGTGCACAGATGTATATATGCATGTGTTTCAGTTTCACAAACACCCTGATGCTGTTATTTAAAGCACACAGTAGTCTTGATATTTGAATTCTTGAGAAGAGAAATTAAATGACACAGTCATTACATTATCTTCCCTCCAACTGTATCTGAACATTTGCCAGCATTATAAATGCCACATTTTTTCTTCAGCACCAAACATTTGCCTTCAATGGGGCAATATAGTGAGTTATTAGAAATTAAAATAGAAAACTATTTTTGCATTCCCTGAAGTTTCAGGCAGACTAAATATATGAACAGTATTAGCTCTTCGTATGCTTTGTTTAAATAAAATCTTGGCATTATCACAGCTTGCTTTTGCCTTAGATGCAAATTGTACTTTCCTGAATGCAAATCTAAAATGTAACATTCTGTTGTCCATACATATAAAAACCTATTAAAATGAAATTATTAAAATATTAAGATTGTTTTGACTTTATCTTGTTTTAGTTGTCCTAGAAAAAAATTAAGATCATTATTTTTCTTTTCCCTGATACTTTAAAAAGTTAGAAAATGGCCTTTGGGCTTAAAGACTGAGCATCACATATACAGGACAAGAGTCAAAATCTCAGAATTGGTCAGCGGCCAAAGTGCTTTCAACAAATAAAAACTCTTAACAGTTACTCAGAATTGCAATTCTAGACCTTGTTTGTTTTTATTCATTGATCAATGGTTAGTCTTCCTGAATAAAAATGGAAATAAAGGAATGAAAGGCTTTCTGTTATGATAAGTAATTGATTCACTTCTCATACAACAAAGAAGAAAAAAATCACTTTGTCAGGTGAGATGTATAAATCCTAAAATTTATGGTGAGACTTATGAAATTTATTAATTTCATGCTATGAAATGCTATGAGCACTTTAGCTTGGTGATTAACATAATTCTGTAAAGAATGATAGCAAGATGGCATGGGGTCAATGCCAATAGCTTTTTAGATACAGGCAGTCATGGGTTCTAAAAGGATTCAAGAGTCCTTAGCATAGCTTTCCTTTAACTCTGTTGGGCCCCACACAAGAAATGTCTTCCAAGGCTGTTTAATACCTCTGGCTACCTCACAAGCTTTTAATAGCTAATGTGTGCAGTATACCTAATAAGGGTTTGTAGAAATAAGATGATCTATTTTGAAATTAAAAGCACTAAGAAGACATTGGTTATTCATTGTTCACCATAACGCCTCTGCTGGCTAACAGCTTACACCACCTTAAGTCTCTTGTCGCAACAGATAATTCAGGCATTCTTGTGAATATTTACTCTTCACTACGTCTGTCCACCTGGCATGAAACTGCATTCGAATCACATATTCGGCTCTGGGCTGTCGGCTGTGAGACAGAGCACACACTGAGTGAAAGCTGCTGCTGAGGCTGGACTTCACCAGCCTTATGTGGGAGCAGAGACTTCACAAGGGATTCAGTACTTTTCCCACTGAGTTTTCCTTTTCATCGTAGGAGCTGTGATCCTCAGTGCTGTCATCTGACTTTATCATGTCTAACCCTCATGCAAGCCTAACCATACCAAATGGCAAGATGAAACACTCTTTCCATGATTTTAAGTCATCTAGAATTTAATTATGCCTTTCAGCTGCCTACTCACTGGCTTCCTCTCTTCCTCCAGAAAATGGCTTTTAGCTGTTGGTCAGTGATAACAAGGTAAAGAAGTGGATGAGGAAGAGGTGTAATTCTGTTTTGATTTTATCAGCACTTATAGAGGACATGATAGAGGTATTGGAAACTGCTTAATGTTGAAATTGAACAGTACTTGTTTTTCATCTGTCTGTGATCTGCCCTGGAACCCATTCCAGGGTCACTAGAGTTCGGAAGGGTTCCAGGAAGTCAGTTCCTACCTCTCCAAGGAGACCTGCACACTGAATATATTTTTTAAAGATTTTATTTATTTTTAGGAATGGGGAGGGAGGGAGAAAAAGAGGGAGAGAAACATCAATGTATAGTTGCCTCTCATGTACCCCCTGTTGGGGACCTGGTCTGCAACCCAGGCATGCACCCCAACTGGGAATTGAACCGGCAATCCTTTGTGGTTAGAAGGCCGGCACTCAATCCGCTGAGCATACCAGCCAGGACCACACTGAATATTTTTACTTACTTGAATGAAAATGGCACTTCTTGGTAAGTCCCACTGATTACAGCCAATACTTTTTTTAACACAGTTATGTTGATTTTTATATATTTTTGTCATACTTAATTCTAGGTAGAGTGCTATGATTATGATAATGATGGGTCACATGATCTCATTGGAACATTTCAAACCACCATGACCAAACTGAAAGAAGCCTCCAGGAACTCACCTGTAAGTCACATTTTTGTTGTTTGAAAATATCTGACAGTTTGTCCATGAAGTTAGTATTCCATTTTTTCCCTTGGCATAGCACATGTTTACCACATATTTTCTCCATATTATATAATGCTCAGACATCTGTGGCTTTTATTTGTTTAATAATCAGATGACCCAAAATTCATACTTGGGGTGTGAGTTTACATAAGATTTAGAGGTTTTGTTTTCTTGGCTACAGACAACATTCATGGTTTGATTGAAAATTCTTATTTTTCAAGTGTTTGGCATTTCATTGGTCACAAAAATTAATATCTACAGCACTGGACAAATACCTGTGTACAGTATTTTTAAACTGTGTATACTTTTACAGCCTTCCTCTGGCTCTTCTCTCTGACTTGTCCTTACCCATGGAGGGATGAAAGTACAGATATGGTACTTCAAATGAGGAAATATGGCTACCATCTAATGGCCCTACTTATGTTAAGATCATGTTGTAATCAAACAAAAAAACAGGGGTTCAACTTCTGTTGCCACAAAAGCCAAACTTATGAGGCAGTTGCTGATGCAAAAAGAAAGAAGTTTTATGCAGGTGATGCACAATCTGGGAGAATGGCACACTCGTGTCTCCAAAATTTCTGTTCCAATTTAAAGTACAGTCCTTTGGAGCCCACGGGCGGCTGCTAAGCTATCATAGTCCCCATCCAGGTAGCTTAGCTTGTTCCAGGTTGCTATTCATTTTAGGCTCCTTCCTGGAGCCTGCGTGTGGACCTACATGGCCATAGGCCCTGTGGCTGCTAGGGCTGCGAGATCACATAATCCCTGGAGAGCACACAGATGTGTGGACAAAAGCATTCCGAGGTAGGCAAGAGAGAGAAAAAGAGACTCCCTCCTGGAAGCCATGGGCTACCCATAGAGAGAATAGGCAAGTGCATCATGCATGTCCAGGTCATGAGCAAGCAAGAAAGCAAGCCCTCAAGTCATGAGCAAGAGAGAACCTCTTTGTTCCCCGGGATTATATTAGTTTAGGTATGGGACAGACCAGCTGCTTTTTCAAAATGACCAATCAACTTCCCAAACTTTTGTGCACTTTGGGTGGATCCATCTCCCAACCAATCCGTTCTTTTCCCAGGTTAGACGGACTGGCCTCTTTGGTCCAGTACCTCCCTCTGCACCATTTTGACTTTTGTGGCACGTGTGCCTGCCTTCCTATAGTACCACACCCAGTCTGGTAGGGGTGGGGAAGGGGTTTTTCTCTGTCCAGTTATCTTGTTACTTTTTGTACACTTGGGCCCTCTACATTGATATTTCTAGCTTTCCCTGCACTCAATATAAGAACCTCCCCATGGTACTATCTTGGCCAATGCGGAGACTCCCTGGCACTCTGGAGAAACCAACTAGTAACAGTGTGTCTGCCTTCACTACATTTAGCATCTCAACATATTTCTAAGAGTGCCTCTGAAACTTTTCTATCTCTAAACCAATGTGGTTAAATACTGTTCCAGAGAATTTTTTTAAGTAAAACTTACAAATTGCTTTCATCTTATTTATCTTTCTAGTTTGAATGAGATAAAGTGTTTATGCTCTTTATATAACTTAGAATAATATGAATGTTTATTAGCTGTGTATAGACCTGAAACATGCTCATGTTTTATATATGTAGCATTTGCTTTTGAAAATATAGCCATGGGGTTTTACAGGTAAGAGGTCATAGCCAGGTGAGAAGGTCTGTTTTACCAAGTCATGTGGGTGATGTGACCTAAAAGAAGATGCTGAGAGGTTTAGATCAAAATTAAAAAGTTGAACGAATAAATAAAACTTATGAGCCATTTAGTTTAAGTAATTGGGAGAAATGAGTTTTAAATAAACAAAGGGGCTAGAATTTTCAGTAGGTCACATAGAGATCTCTAGTCTGTCCCTGCTTCTAGTCACAAAGCCCAGGTATTAGAAGCAGCCAGTACCGAGATGCTGGTGGGATGGAGGAGAGGCTTTTCAAATCCCACTTATGGTTTCAATACAGACATTAATTTGGCTTTGAGTTAACTGACTTTGAATTAACACAGCAGCAAAATTCAGCTGCAAATATTCTATTTAAAGATTTTTTAAAGGCAGAACTAATGGAAAATATTGAAAACCTGAATACTTAAAGTAAAGCAGGCCTTCCCAAAGAAACTAAATATGAAGAGTGCTCTGGATTGATGTTTCACTGGAATTAGTTCATTATTTTCCAGAATCAGTAAATGACCTGCTTTTAGAAGATAATGGATCATGTAAAATGTTTTGTAAATCCAGCTAATTTGTGACAAATGAAGCTTTTAATGTTGCTGTGGTGACAGGACTGCTTGCTCTTGTTCTTTTTTTAAATATATTTTATTGATTATGTTATTACAGTTGTCCCATTTTCCCCCTTCACTCCCCTCCACCCTGGACCCCTCCCACCCACATTCCCCCCCTTTAGTTCATGTCCATGTGTCATGTACTTATAAGTTCTTTAGCTTCTACATTTCCCATACTATTCTTACCCTCCCCCTGTCTATTTTCTACCTACCATCTACACTACTTATTCTCTGTACCTATTCCCCTCCTTCTCCTCTGATTGCCCTGTTGCTAACCCTCCATGTGATCTCCATTTCTGTGGTTCTGTTCCTCTTCTAGTTGTTTGCTTAGGTTGTTTTTGTTTTAGGTGTGGTTGTTAATAATTGTGAGGTTGCTGTCATTTTACTGTGCATGCTTTTTTATGTTCTTTTTCTTAGATAAGTCCCTTTAACATTTCATATAATAAGGGCTTGGTGAACTCCTTTAACTTGACCTTATCTAAGAAGCACTTTATCTGCCCTTCCATTCTAAATGAAAGCTTTGCTGGATAGAGCAATCTTGGATATAGGTCCTTGCCTTTCATGACTTGAAATACTTCTTTCCAGCCCCTTCTTGTCTGTAAGGTCTCTTTTGAGAAATCAGCTGACAGTCTTTTGGGCACTTCTTTGTAGGTAACTGTCTCCTTTTCTCTTGCTGCTTTTAAGATTCTCTTTTTATCTTTCATCTTGGGTAATGTAATTATGATGTGCCTTGGTGTGTTCCTCCTTGGGTCCAACTTCTTTGGGACTCTCTGAGCTTTCTGGACTTCCTGGAAGTCTATTTCTTTTGCCAGAATGGGGATGTTCTCCTTCATTATTTGTTCAAATAGTTTTCAATTTCTTGCTCTTCCTCTTCTTCTTCTGGCACCCCTATGGTTTGGATGTTGGAATGTTTAAAGATGTCCTGGAGCTTCCTAAGGCTTTCCTCATTTTTTTTGAATTCTTGTTTTTTCATTCTTTTCTGGTTGGATGTTTCTTTCTTTCTTCTGGTTCACTCCACTGATTTGAGTTCCAGTTTCCTTTCCTTCACTATTGGTTCCCTGTACATTTTCCTTTATTTCACTTAGCATAGCCTTCACTTTTTCATCTAATTTGCAACCAAATTCAACCAATTCTGTGAGCATCCTGATTACCAGTGTTTTGAACTGTGCATGTAATAGGTTGGCTATTTCTTCATCACTTAGTTGTGTATTTTCTGGAGTTTTGACTTGTTCTTTCATTTGGGCCTTTTTTTTTTTATCTCAGCATGCCTGTTACATAGTGAGGGGTGGAGCCTTAGGTGTTCACCTGAGCGGGGCAACCCAGTTGCTGGTTTGTGATGCTGTATGTCGAGGAGGGGTATGAGAGAAAACAATGCTGCTTGCTCTGCTCCCTGCCAGATTTCAGTCACTTCCCCCGCTTCCCCCAAGCAAACTGGGCCCTTCTGATGCTGATTCCTGGGTGGGTGGGTTTGTGTATGTTCTAGGACCCTGTGGGTCTCTCCAACGAACTCTCCTGTGAGGCTGGGAGTTTCTCCTGGCACCTCAACCCCCACAGGTGTTTTCAGTCAGTGTTTTGAGGCTTTATTTCCCCGAGCTGGGACCCTGGCTTGCGTAGTCGGTCTTCGCTCCCCAGGTTCACCTGGTTTATCTATGCTCGAATGTGGGACCACCCAGTCCACCAGCCTCCTTGTGCACTGCACCCCTCCACAATCTGCCGCCTCACTTGGTCCACCAGCTGCTGCCTTGCTGCTACCCCTCTCTGCCTGGTCGCCAGACTCCGCCCCTCCTACTGGTCTGGATAAATATGTCTGCTTTAACTCCTTGGTTGTGGGACTTCCATACTGTTCAATTTTCTGTTGGTTCTGGGTCTTTTTTTATTCTAAATTGTTGTCCTTATTTTGGTTGTGGAGGAGGCACAGTGTGTCTACCTATGCCTCCATCTTGGCCGGAAGTCTTCACTCTTGTTCTTTATCATTTTTGTTCTTTAAAGGCAGGGCTCTGTCTTATCTCTGTCCTCAGTGCCTAGGACAGCATCTGCCTTATGAAAGAGTGAGTACATGAAGTAATGTAGCCTTTGACCAGTGAGAATTCTATGTAGAGCATTTCTGCATCTGAAATACTCAGTAATTTGTATTTATGATGATGACTGAGACTCTGGAAGGATCCCGATCCCTCAAAAAATTTAACATACTTTTGTTTTATATCATTGTATCAAATGTACTTTTTAATGTTTGATTTTTAGAAAACTAGTACTATAGAAGTTGCTTTCTATTAACCAGAAGAGCTGACTCATCAAGTATTCACTGAGTATCCCTTATGAACTTATTAGGTAAGACAGTGAGAATTTGAAGGTATAAATTGGAGGTCATTATACTCTAGCTATGAAAAAAAATAATGAATGAAACAATTGAGGATAATACAAAGTATGTTAGTTAGTTTTATATGGCTGCAGAAGTTTAAAGAGAGAAGTAAAGATCAGAGAAGACCAGAACAGAGGAGGACATGAGCCAAGCCTTACGGATAGACAGATGGACAGAAGGTGGGAAGGAAGACCAGTCTGTCTGGGGAAGGAAGTATACTGAGGACAACATTAGATCTATGTGTAACACACATTCCCAGTGGAAAGAGATTATGTATTTTACCATGGAATTGGTCTTCATATATCTCTGTTTTCTGATGGTAGGTTTTCTTCTTCTTTTCTAAGCAGCATATTTTGTTTCCTGTGAGGGTAACAACTGGGAGTAAAATAATTTAGTTCCTTTATTGTAAAGAACAAGATTATTACTTAGCAGATTTGCAAGGAAATTTATATTTACAAACTATTTTAAAAGGTAAATAAATTTAGGAATGCCTTTTGGAAATATTACTAACTATTTCACATATTTAGTGGATTATGTCATTGTTTCAGAGTTATATTTTGCAATAGACCTACATTAGTAGGTAGTTTGAGTCCAGGAGAGAAAAATCACTCATTTAAATTCACATTGACATTTCTGCCCTGGCTGGTGTGGCCCAGTGGATTGAGTGCTGGCCTGAGATTCAAGAGTTGCTGATTTGATTCCCAGTCAGGGCACATGCCTGGATTGCAAGCCAGGTCCCCAGTAGGAGGTGTGCGACAGGCAACCACACAGTGATGTTTCTCTCCCTCCATTCCTCTCTCTCTAAAAGAATTAATAAATTCACATTGACATTTCTAATATCACTAGTAAGAACAAACTTTTGTCTTTCCTTACTACAGATTGAATTTGAATGCATAAATGAAAAAAAGAGACAGAAGAAAAAGAGCTACAAGAATTCAGGTGTCATCAGTGTGAAGCAGTGTGAGGTCAGTTGACCCTGACCACTGTTCATGTAATGAGACCCCACTTCCAGTTCTATCAATGTGGTGCATCACAGCTGTATCTGGGGCAGCTGAGAATCACAGGAGCCCACACACTTTAGGGAGAAGAACAGAGTAGGAAATAGTAAAGAAATCTTTCAAGTAACTTTGTTTCCAAGGTTTGACAATGTTTTAGAAAGGACAGGATGTTAAGGTTTTTTGTTATTTTAGGAAATGTGAGGCCCTGTGGTATTTTTCCATTGCATTGGTGGGAATGACATTATGAGCTGGGGGGGAGTGATCTAAGAGATTTCTTATAACAAACAAGTGGGCTTTTAAAAATATCTTGATTATTATGCTTATTAAAGCTGTCAACACATTAGATTCATTACTAATTTCTTAAAATGTAAAATGAGTATATTTCAGTGTTAGCCATTTTATTCTAATCTGAACATTGCTCTACTTATCTGGAAGTAAAATCCAATTTGTGACATATAGGGCAGGGACCTTAAACTTAAGTGCAGGATTGGCCTCCATGTGTTTGTATGAATTCTGTTCATTTCATAAACTGTTAAAAATTTTTGTCAGAGAGTGCTTTGTTTCTCTTGCTCATGAGGAAAGCCTACATTTTAACCATTGCTATTTGCTTTTAGATTACAGTGGAATGCACATTCCTTGACTATATTATGGGAGGATGTCAGCTGAATTTTACTGTAAGTAGCTTACCAAATTTTTCAAAGTCAGTTTTGCAGAAAGAACGCTTCCATTTTTCAGTGTACATTTTCTTCCTGCAAAACTGATTTTCTGCTGAAATTTACCTTCTGTGTAGTCTCCCTTAGACAGGTGGTCTGCGCACATCCTGAAGCTTTCATCTGTGTTAGTAAGATCTGTTCCTTCTTTCTAATAGTAAGCAGACTATGTACAAAAAAGTGATTATCCTATAGTAAGTTTAATAATAAAAACAGATATAACAAAAACAAACCCTACATCTAAAGTCATGGGTGTAATAATTTATGATTTAATGCATCTAGCGAATGGGAATGGCAGACTGTTTCATGCAGAGGCTCAAATTATTTGACTGGATATACCTGTGGTCTCAGGTATTTAAGGAAGTGGAGGCAGCCCTCAGAATGAATGTTTGTGTCTCATCTCTTGATGCTCTCCTGGACATCAGTGTAGGTGTCCTACCTTCACTAGTAAGGTCTGCAATTGTTACTTGCAGGTGGGGGTAGACTTCACTGGCTCCAATGGTGACCCAGGGTCTCCTGACTCCCTTCATTACATCAGCCCCAGTGGTGTGAATGAGTACTTGACCGCTATCTGGTCTGTGGGACTGGTCATTCAAGATTATGATGCGTGAGTATGACTTGTTTTCCCTCACTCCTGAAAGGAGCAGTTTCTGTTTCCTCTGCTTTTTCTCTGATCATTAGAGCTGGGGGGATAGACTGCTGGGGGAGTGACTTTCTCTTACCTTGTCTTTATCTTTGTGGTAGTCCTAGTTTTTTTTAAAGATTTTATTTATTTATTTTTAGAGAGGGGAAGGGAGGGAGAAAGAGAAAGAAACATGAATGTGTGGTTGCTTCTCACACACCCCCTGCTGGGTTCTGGGCCCACAACCCAGGCATGTGCCCTGACTGAGAACTGAACAGGTGACCCTTTGGTTCACAGGCCGGCACTCAATCTACAGAGCCACATCAGTCAGGGCACAGTCCTAGTTTTCACTTTTGACTTTTAATTGTGGTCTGTGGTCATTTACAATATATTAGGTACAATGTGCTTATTTAACAGCTGAGTGCAATCAGCAGGCTGTTGTTTCTTTGACCTAGTTTCCTTGGGGTTTACTCACTAGGGAAAATCCAGATGAAACATTCTGTAAACAATCATAGATGCTATTTCTTAACACATCTATTTCCTTGGCAGTCATAGTAAAATTATCTTAATGGTGACTTAGTGCATTGGTAATTTTTTGTTCTGGATCTGTTAAGATACACTATAAAATTTCACTTGTTTTTACCTTTTACTTTACCACAAAAGCCCTTACTTATTGAAATAGCTTTTTGTTAATCTGTTACAACATTTAAAGAAGTGGCTTTTTCAGACAAATGCAAACAAACCTGAAGCAAAGTTAACAATCCTAGTACTAGCCTTGTAGAATTTAAGGCAGAACTCATAAAAACAGTAAAAAAATTACTTATAGAGCACCTTGCTGTATAATCCAAAATGAAAATATAACTATGGACATGTTTAATAACAGTATCAAAGTACTCCCATTGAAAACAGAAGTATAATAAAAATTTCAAAGTCAAAATGGGGCTTATATAAAGAATAAAACATTCACAGGGTCATTCTCTCAGACTGCCACCTGGAAGTTAACAAGAAAGGGATAACTAAAGAGAATTTACCATGTTGAAGTTTAAAAATTGTTAAGTGGTTATTAGATCAAAGAGAAGACCAAAGTGTGATATCAAGCTCTCTAGAAATGGAGGGTAATAAGAAGACTGTGAATGGTGCTGTCTTTTTAAAAAATATTTTATTTATTTATTTTTACAAAGAGAGGAAGGGCAGGAGAAAGAGAGGGAGAGAAACAGCAATGTGTGGTTGCCTGTCACATGCCCCATGCTGGGGACCTGACCTACAACCCAGGCATGTGCCCTGACTGGGAATAGAACTTTTAACCCTTTGGTTCACAGTCTGGCACTCAATTCACTGAGCCACACCAGCCAGGGCAGTGCTATCTTTATGCAGGAAAATTTCTGGTTTACATGCTTTTATTTTTAAATAAGAATTGAATATAAATAAACTATTTTTAATAAAATTAAAACACAGAAGAAAAATACATCATAATAGCAGATTCCATATACATTTCAGCTATTAAGTGTTTGGGATGATTTAAGCACTTTTTGCATGATAATCACCTAATAACATCCTCAAGGGAAGAGGGCTGCTCTTGTCACTTGCACTTTGCAGAGAACACTGAGGCATGGGCAGTCCCTTGTCCAGGTCCCTTAGCTGGTAATGGCAGAGGCAGCATTGAGCCTGACCAGCAACATGCTCGCGCAACTGCACTAACTTCCTCCGAACAGCAAGGAATGGCTTAGAGAGTTCTAAAAATGCCATCACATTATTAAATAAAGGAAGACGTGATTTTTTGCAAGTTGAACAAAAACCAAGGCTTTTTGCCAACAGTGACCCCTGTGAAAGAGAAAACATCATTGGAATATTAGTAATGAGAGAGTGAATATAGGCACAAATTCAAGAAAAAAACATTAAAAATTGTATGTTGAAACTTTCTCTTATTACAGTGGAGAATCTGGATTAAAGGATAACTTTTTGAGAAAGTTTTAACTTACCAAAGATGGCTCAAAGAGGCAGGTAACCACAATGGAGTAGGAACTATGGATGGAAAGGGACAGCCACTCCTCACAGAGGCAGCAGACCAAGACAGTTTCAGACATCAACTCCAGCAGACCTGTCAGGAATAGACTCAAACCTGAGAGAGTTTAGTAAAAAATACAAGAAAGTAGTGAGAGCTTAGAAAGGTGGTCTGAGACAACATAAAATTAAAAATCAACAATTTTTCAATAACCACCAATAACTGATTAAAGAAGTTATAGTGGATTAAAGATCACAATTCAGAATGCAATAAAAATTGAGAATGAATTTAGTTAAAGGTCTAGGATGTTTACTGAAGGAAAACTACAAAATTGTACTGAGAGACAGAGAAGACTTGTTTAAACAGAAAGATATCCCACGATTCTAGATAGATGATGTGGTCACCGGCCAGCCATGTCCGTGGTGTTATGGATGAGACGAGACAAATTCACATGGACTACCCGAGTCCTGTGAAGGGAAAGGGATGACATGGCCACTCTCTCAAGGGGAGAGTGTCCTGACCCTTGCCTTGACAAGCTTTTATTGCTTTTCTGGGCACATTACATTGAGGATGGTCCTCATTTACTGTGAACAGGTTCTCTTTAGGTGGTTACCTTTTACAGAAAACAAAGGAGAGGATGTTGCTAATTACATCAAAAAGAAGGATATTTGCAAATGTAAAGGGAAAAGTGGTTGAACTGGTTACACTTCTTGGAAGGCTTAGCATAGATTTTAGGAAGTTACTTTAAAGATATTCAGTAAACATTTGCTGCCTCAATTCAGGTTGAGGGAGTTTTAGCAAAAAACAAGTCTCAAAGTGGCCCAGGTACAATGCAGGCCTGATTCTCCAAAGGAGAACCTATCCATGGGTGTGGGTCCTGTGTACTAGATCTCACTTTCCACTGGCCTTTCCAAGTGGGAGCTGGGCCCATGCCACACAGAATGGTATCCTATAGACAGATGCCATAATGATATAAGGTATAAAGTCTCCCTAATTTAATCAACTTGAATCAAAATTGCATTGGAATCCTGACAAAATAATTCTTAAAATTTTCTAGAAGGAAAATGAATCAGAATAACAAAGAAATTTTTCAGGAAAAAAAAGAAAAGAAACAGGGAATTTGTTCTACTAGGTAGTAAAACATTTTAAAGGCATGTGAGTTAAGATTATGGAACTAGCACATGCCCTGTGGAACAAAGCAACTGTCTTGAAATAGAGCCAAGTGTGTATGTGAACTTGGCATTTGATGGAGATGTCATTTCAGGGGAAAAGGGCTACAACAGCAGTCAAACTGGACAAGAACTCAATTTGGTTAGGATACTATTCCATATAAATTACAGGCAAAACTGCTGAACTAGACATGTAAAAATAAAGTGGTTTTGATCAAATAGAGCTTGTTTCCCTTTGTGTTCATGGGTAAAGGTGAGTAGCTCATACTGAGAGGGCAGCTCTGCCTTCCTCGGCCTGTAACATCCACCCTGGATTCAGGCAGCTGCTGTAGGTCCTGGGTCCTCCAGCAGTGGAAGATGAAGGAGATAGGGTGCATGTGTGTCCCTCCCAGGGGCCTCTTCAGATGACTTATGTTCCCGATGTCCTGGCTGAGGAGCTTGGGTCAGCTGAGTGGGCTCTGGCTTGGGTGGCCTATTACAAGGTGGAGAATGAAAATGGAAATGGGCAAGTATTGGTCTGCATCATATCTGGCTCCAGACTTTTCCAGATGGACCATGTTTATTAGCAAAGACAACCATGAACATTCCCACAGAAAAAATAGATGTGGATTGTTCATAGTCTGGCAGTGAGGTAACAGAAATCATGAAAAAAACCTTTATTTGTTCATATTAATATTAAAACTATAAAGGGGAAGATACTGTAAACAAAGAGACAGATTGTAAACTGGGAAAAGATCTGACAGGTTACATAGGTTCAGTCCACAAGAAGAGCTGTTAGAGTTTACATGGAGAAGGATGTCCCTAGTAGGAAATGAGCGTGTCCATCACTGAGGTTTATTTATGTGCCAGGACGTGGGGATAAGTCCACACAGGGAATACTCACACCATTCACAGGCTGCTATAGACCCAGGTCCCTGCCCCTTATTCCTAAACTGCTGGGGCCAAATAGTCATACATTTTGCTGCATAAATTTGAGAGTTTTGTATGTGGCACTTCTACCATGTTTCTATGGCCAGTGTGTGAATAATCCTATCATGTGGCTGTAAATCATCCCATGTGAGTTGAGCTCAAGTTTTACTGCCACATGAGTTTACTGTAAACAAGTGAAAGGCCTTATAGTTTTTAGGGCTTTATGGATTACACGTTTATTCAATAGAATAATATACAGTGTATAAATAGAAAATAATATGTTATAAAATATGGGAATATGAACCCCATTTTTATCAATGTATATAAAGAGATATTTTTCTCCCTCAAAGGACATAAAAATATTGAGAATGAGAATTGCCATATATTAACATTTCTTTCTTTGATTATTATGAGTAATCCTTGTTTTATCTTTTTATAAAGATTTAAAATTTTTAAAAAAGAAGCTCCTATTGGTTTTGAGTAAAGATAAAACTGTATTTTCAAAACAACCACCTTTACCTTTTTTAAAATTTTCTTTTTAGTGATAAGATGTTTCCAGCTTTTGGCTTTGGAGCCCAAATACCTCCTCAGTGGCAGGTAAGAGGAAATCCAGACTTAAAGATTTGTCTCTTACAGAAGCAAAACCAGCCTCATCAGCCCCTCTTTCCTCTTCAGGTTTCGCATGAATTTCCCATGAACTTTAATCCATCCAACCCCTACTGTAATGGTGAGTTAAAAAAAACCCACACAGGCATTGTAAACTGAGAACCTCACTGGTATTTGTTTTTTTTCTTGTGATTTAAAGCTACTCAGGTTCCCTCTCTAGGTTTCTTTTCTTTTTTAATCTTTAACCAAGGATATTATTCATTGATTTTAGAGAGGGAGGAAGGGGCATGGGGAGGGAAGAGAGAGAGGGAGAGAGAGAAGCATCTGTGTGAGAGAGAAAAGTTGATCAGTTGTCTTCTGTACATGCCCCAACCAGGGATCAAACCCACAACCTATGTATGTGCCCTGACTGGGTATTGAATTCACAACCTTTAGATAAATGGGATGATGCTCCAGCCAACTGAGTCACCCAGCCAGTACTCTAGGTTTCTTTTGTGACATACTTTCCTTTCTGTCAAATAAAGCAGAATTGCACCCAGTTGGTGAGGGTGGTGACATCACTCTTATGATGATGAAGATCCCAGGCTAAGTTCTTCTGCCTTAAGAGTTTTGTTTAATAGAACAACAGAATTCTCAATTTTGAGACTAGGTCAATAAATATAGTCATATTTCTTTTATGTATAAGTTGATTTTAAGATAACCCTTCAGTGTGAAATGAGCAGTTCATTATATGAGTCTTTTGAAGCTCCTCTCAGAGGAGCAGATAATCTATAAGGAAAGTGTCCAGCACCAAGTTGCTTGTGCTCAGTCTTCCGTGAGTCGGTGGGTGGCTTGAGGAGCAAAGGGCTTGGCTCCAGGAACAGCTTCCCTCTGATGCAGGAAGTAAAGGCCAATGTTTGTGGTTCATGCTTTCCTGATACTTCACATATCCAAGTGTTTTCCTCCTTTACCCCATTGAACAATTAACCTAGAATGCCAATTCTCCCACAAAATTATGTAAGTTTGGAGGAGGAAAAGAAGGTGGGGATAGGGCCTTAAAATTGTAGACAATAAGCTGACTTTCTGCAGTGGGTCTTTTTGACAATTACAGAATGTACGGATTTTGAACAAAAGAGCCTGTCCTCTCCTATTCACAAGGTATAATAGAAGCACATGAACATAGTGTTGGGAGACTTTGTATCAGGGTTTCTCTTGTTTTGGAACACTTTTTCCACACAGATTAATTCAGTGCTCCTTTGACACACTTCAGTGGCTGGTGGCTTTTATATCCATAGCCAGTTGAAACTGGGAATATTATTCTTTTCAAGAAATATGTTTTATGCTTAAGACAAAATCAGAAAGTCTTTGGAATCTGTAATTAGATTTCATTTATTGCCAGCGAATATGGATAACTTATGTGATAGTTTATTTTAAAAGTTCATTTACTCTGAGTAATATGAGCCCATCTTTGGGCTGCCATCAAGTGCAGCTTTTCTATTTATGGTTTATAGTCAGGAAAAAGTCCATTTGGTTTGAGACAAAGGAGATACTGTGCAGAAAAAAAGACAGCTTTATTTTAAAGCAAGGGGAAGTTGAACTTCTTTTCCAAATTAATCATGAAATTTATTTGCCCAGAAATAAATAACATATCTTGCTTGTTCCTATAATGCAAAGGAAAGATTTTGGCATAATTCAATCTTAGTGGAGCAACTGAAGGCACTTGATATCTGTGAAGAAATTTCACTAATAGTTTTGACACCTTCAGACTGAAGAGCAAACTAAGATGGTAGAAGTGGAAGAAGCTATTATTGCTATGGTTATGGACTCAATTTTCTACAGCTGTGTCACTGCAGTAGAATCCTGCTGCTTGTCTGTGTCAATATTATTTTTGTTACGAGTGGACTGACTGACCCTAGTTACAGCCTCATCTTTGCATGTAGAATGTCCTCTATCTATCAACGTTATATTCTTAAGGGCTGTTCATGAGATCATTCATTTCTAAGTTCAAAGTGACTAAGGGGAGTTAATGGGAACTCGATAATTTTAAGGGCAGAGACTTGTTCCTCTGAAGCTTTTAAACCAAGTCCATGCTTCTCTTCTGTTACTCTGTGTTCTGTTGCACATTTTTAAAAAGAAGCCTCTTTGGGTTTTATATCAGTGTTCTTCTGAGAAAGATTACTTGATGATCTCAGCAAGAACTGTGGGGAATTTCTAGAGGTTCCAGTATCTTACCTGTGTCTGACTCTAATGTTGGGGCAGATTCAGTAGGTGCATGTATGGCACTATGCAGCATCAGCAGTACTTTTACCTGGAATGTTGTTCAGCTTTTACCAGGTTGTGTTGCTATAATAAATAGTCTCCAGATCTCAGTGACTTACTCAGCTTCACTTATCACTGGGCTGTAGCTCTGCTCTGTTTCTTCTGTCTGGGACTTGGGCCAAAGGAGCAGCCACTTTCTGAGATATACTATTCTGTGGCAAAGGGAGAGCAAGCAGTGGGTCTTTTGAGATGTCAATGTTCTGTCCACTGACATGCACAGCGCACAATTGGTCCAGGCCCTGCCCAGGCCCAGCACACAGCACCCCAGCAGGCCCCTGAATGCCCAAAACCAGCAGTGGAGTGTGACACTGACCCAGTGGGTATGTGGAGTTCTGCAACTCGCCCTGCCATGCTTGACCTCTAAATCAGCAATTTTTAACCTTTTTCACCTCTCAGCACACATAAACTAATTATTAAAATTCTGCAGCACATCAAAAACATATATTATTTGCCTACCTGACAGAAAAAGGTATAATTTTGATTCATTCACACTGGATGGCAGTTGTTGTGTGGCTGTTGTCATTTTTTAAAAAATATTTTATTTATTTACTTTTAGAGAGGGGGAGGGAGGGAAGGGAGAGAAACATCAATGTGTGGTTGCCTCTTGAGTGCCCCCTGCTGGGGAACCTGGCCCACAACCCAGGCATGTGCCCTGACTGGGAATTGAACCAGCGACCCTTGGTTCACAGACCAGAACTCAATCCACTTAGCCACACCTGCCAGGGCAATATTTTTTTGATTTGACAATCTAAGGGAAAAGAGGTCAGTGTGCCTGTCTAAACAGTTAGGTATTTCATGTTTTAAAAATTCTTGCAGCATCACTGCTGTAAGTCATCGAGGAAACCCTGGCCTGAAATTACCAGTAGGATTGTAGCCAGCTGGCATTTTTGTGGAGCCTCTGGCCACATACATATACAAGTATTTTTATATCTAGTCAGTCACTTTTTTCACATTTTAAGACAGTTTTATGATGCAGCAGCTCTTTCATGATTCTTTTACATCAGAGTTTCAATCCTAAAATACATTAAAATCAAGCACTGTAACAATCCTAGTATAGATTAATGAATAATTTTGCTAAGATGAAAATAAATGCGGGAGACTTCCGGCAAGATGGAGGCATAGGTGGACGCACCGTACCTCCACGCACAACCAAGATTAGAACAACAACAATTTAGAGCTGGAATAACACCGAGAACTGACAGAGAATTTATCTGAATGGAAGTAGGACAGCCAAGAAGTTGAAGTAGACCCATTCATCCAGACAGGTAGGAGGAGCGTTGAGGAGGAGCGGGCGTGGGTCGCGGCGCGTGGAGATCGGGAGAACTGGGTGCAAATGGCACTGGGAGCACGTAAGCCTTCCAGGACGCGCAGGATTGCAGCAGTGGACCCTGAGTTCAGAAACAGCGGCTGGCGGACCCAGTGAGGCGGAATTGTGGACCAGGGCAGAGCTTGCAACCCAGGATCCCAGAGAAGGGACTGAGATCCCAGTAGAACGGAACTATCGCCATTGTTCCCTGCCCCCGCCCCCACATACAACGTCACAATCTAGTGACTGGGGTGCCCAGCCCAAGTGAACACCTAAGGCTCCACCCCTCACTGTAACAAGAGCGACCAGACTGAAAAAAAAAAAAAAGGAGAGAGAGACATGTTTCCAACAGAAGAACAGATCAGTCCCCCAGGACTCATTATTTTGAGCTACCAAGAAATAGCCAATCTATCAGATGCACAGTTCAAAACACTGGTGATCAGAAAGCTCACAGAATTGGTTGATTTTGGGCACAAATTAGATGAAAAAATGCAGGTTACAATAAAAGAGATGAAGGAAGATACACGGAGGAGAGTCAATAGTTAAGGGAAGGAAACTGGGACTCAAAACAATAGAGTGGATCAGAAAGAAGCAAGAAACAACCAAGCAGGAAAGCATGAAGAAATAAGAATTCAAAAAAACAAGGAGAAGCATAGGAACCTCCAGGACATCTTTAAACGTTCCAACATCCGAATTATAGGGGTACCAGAAGGGGAAGAGGAAAAGCAACAGATTGAGCATGTATTTGAACAAATAATAAAGGAGAACTTCTCCATTCTGGGAAAGGAAATAGACTTCCAAGAAATCCAGGAAGCTCAGAGAGCCCCAAAGAAATTGGACCCAAGAAGAAACACACCAAGGCACATCATAATTACATTAGCCAATGTAAAAATGAAGGAGAGAATCCTGGAAGCAGCAAGAGATAAGGGGACAGTAACCTACAAAGGAGTTCCCATCAGACTGTCAGCTGATTTCTCAAAAGAGACCTTACAGGCAAGAAGGGGCTGGAAAGAAATATTCCAAGTCATGAAAGACAAGGACCTACATCCCAGATTGCTCTATCAGCAAAGCTCTCATTTAGAATGGAAGGGCAGATAAAGTGCTTCTCAGATAAGGTCAAGTTAAAGGAGTTCATCATCACCAAGCCCTTATTTTATGAAATGCTAAAGGGCCTTATCTAAGAAAAGAAGATAAAGAAAAAACATGTATAGTAAAAGGACAGCAAACTCACAATTATTAACAACCACACCTAAAGCAAAACCAAAAGAAACTAAGCAAACAACTAGAACAGGAACAGAACCACAGAAATGGAGATCATATGGAGGGTTAGCAACAAGGGGGTGGGAGGAGGAGAGAGGGGAAAAAGGTACAGAGAATAAGTAGCATAGAATGTAGGTTGAAAACAGATAGGGGGAAGGTAAGAATAGTATGGGAAATGTAGAAGCTAAAGAACTTATAAGTATGACACATGGACATGACTAAAGGGGGGATATGGGTGGGAGAGGGTGTACAGGGTGGAGGGGAGTGTAGGGGGGAAAATGGGACAACTGTAATAGCATAATCAATAAAATATATTTAAAAAAAGAAAATAAATGCCTTCTCTTAAGAGAGGGGAGGGTTTATTGGATTTTGAGATGCAGCAAAGCTGCGGAGGTGTGTGATATACAGGGTGGGGCATGAGTAGGTTTACAGCTCATATGGAAAATAATACAATAATTAATAATACAAGAATAAACACTGTTTTGCATGCAGATGACTGTAAGCCTACTTTTCCCACTCCTGTATAGCTTAGAGGAACTCCTTAATGTAGAACTTCTAACTATTTAAAGCACTATATATTGGTATGTACATATAATTAGCCAGGTGGTGAACAATGAACAGTTGTATTGCATGTGAAAATGTTCAATATTGCTTTTCTGGTCTAGGGATCCAAGGCATCGTGGAGACTTACCGGGCATGCCTTCCTCAGATAAAACTCTATGGACCCACAAATTTCTCCCCAATCATCAACCACGTGGCCAGGTTTGCTGCTGCAGCTACACAGCAGCAGACAGCTTCAGTAAGTTTTGTCACCAGGGCAGGGAGTTGTGGGTCATACTTGCTTCTAATGCCACTTATCCATTGATTTGACTGTTGAGATGCAGAGGAAAAACACAAAGTGATGGTATAGTCACCCTCAGTTTTGGAGTAACATCTGTTGTTGTATTAGTGATCATTACAAACAAGGCAAGAACAAGCAACCCTTTCATCCATGAGTCTTTTCTCTGCCTTTTGAATTAATTTTTAAATTGGTTCTACCTCCCATACTCCCAAATGAAGGTAGACCAAACACATAAACTAGTTACTTACAACTTGAGTTGCTGTTGCCGAATTGCTCACTGTACTAAAAAGTTTTGTATCAGACAGCTCTTACCTGTAAGACCTCATATGCCATAGCTCTCTTAGCTTCAGTATTCTCACGAGTCAAGTAGGGATGATAACCTCATACAGTTGTCCAAAGAGTAAAATAAGATAATTTGTATCAAATGCACAGGGTTTGGGCCATAATGAACACTGAACACATGTTAGGTATTGTTACAAATCTTACCCCCATTCTAGACTTGAATGAACCAAATGATGGAGTCACAACTTTACATAACATTTTACAACTCTCTAAAAAGATTGGTCAGAGAGGACAGAAGTAAGAGCATCTCGTACCCCCACCCCACACCATATCCATTTTTTAAGTGAATTTTGTATGATAAACAGTTCTCTTGCTTTTCATTGGAGTTGCCACTTGCTCCCTTGCCTGATACTTTGACAGATTTAATTCTTCAGTTAAGTCAGTATGACTATGCCTGTGCTTTTCCATGTCTTGCTCCCATAAATTTATGCTCAACCTATTTTGTGGTCTGTTACACTTCTAATGAACCTACAGCATTTCTGTCTGTAAATTCCCTTGTCATTAGAGATCTCATACTATTGTTAGATGGTGTTCTAGGTGGAGACTGGTGAGGAAAACAAGCAAGAAGGACACTAATGACTCATTGAGGTGCTGTCAGCAGCCATTGCCCTTACTGCATGGGAGCTTGAGCTGCTTGCTAGACTACTGTTCTCTTTGGCAGCAATATTTTGTGCTCCTGATCATCACGGATGGTGTGATCACAGACCTGGATGAGACCAGGCAAGCTATCGTCAATGCTGCCAAGCTGCCCATGTCCATCATCATCGTAGGAGTGGGCAGCGCTGACTTCAGTGCCATGGAGTTTTTGGATGGTGACAGTGGGAGTCTGCGTTCTCCATCAGGCGAGGCTGCCATCAGAGACATTGTCCAGTTTGTGCCTTTCAGACAGTTCCAGAGCGTGAGTACCACTCCTTCTACTTGCCAGCTTACAACCAGATGCTTGAGTAGGTCCTAGGGCAGGTGTGGGAATGTTCCATTTGAAGAGCCCTGATCAGAGTGGGTGGTTTTACTTCAGGTTGTACACTGCCTCCTATAGTCTGTGTGATAAACCATTAAACCAGTGTTGTGCATATCTTAAAATATATTACATCTTTACCTCTATGACAACAGAAAAACTCTATACAAGTATGTGATGAATTTACCAAACTGGAAGTTGATTTGATGAAAATCTCTCAGGTGACTGTTTTACCCAGTTTACTCCAATGGTAACATCTTGTCAAACTGGTACATTGATACAAGCAAGTTCCCAATTTATAAAATCTACCATGTTGCCCTTTCATAGCCATACCTATGCCCTCCTACCTTCATCCCTCCTACCCCTGGTAACCACTAATTTGGTCTTCATTTATATGATTTTGTTATTTCAAGACTGTTATGGAAACGGAATCATACAGTATGTAACCTTTGGGACTGACTTTTTCACTCAGCCAAGCTGCTGCATTTACACCTTTTCACTGCTGAGCAGTATTCCATACTAAAGGTGTACCAGTTTGTTTGAAGGATGTCTTCAGTTTCCAGTTTTGCCTTTTGCACACAAAGCTTCTATTAACATTGCATATGGGATTTTGTGGGGGGGGGGTTTGTTCTAAAAAATTTAAAAGATTTTATTTATTTATTTTTAGAAAAAGGGTGGGAGAAAGAGAGGGAAGAAGAATCAATGTGTGGCTGCCTCTTATGTGCCCCCAGCTAGGGACCTGACCTGCAACCTAGGCATGTACCCTGGCTGGGAATCCAACTGGTAACTCTTTGGTTTGTGGACTGGTGCTTAACCCACTGAGGCACACCGGCCAGGGCCCACATACAGGTTTTGTGTGAACATTTCTCAGGGATAAATACCCACAAGTGCAGTTGCTGGGCCATGTGACTGTTGCATGTTTAATTATTAAAGAAACTATCAAATTTTTCCAGAGTGGCTATGCCATTGTATATCCCCACCAGCAATGTAGAGGGCAAGATGTGGGTAGGGTATGAGATTAAGAAGCAGTAATATTGGGGGTCTTTTTGGTAATGAACCAATTGTGTATCTTGATTATGGTGGTGGTTACACAGATCTGTCCAGATGATGGACACATAGAGCTGCATGTGCACACATGCAACACACACATGAGAGCATGTGACACTGATGAATCCCAGTAAGGTATGTGAATTGTAACAATGCACTGTCCTGGTTTTGATATTGTCCTGCTGTTATAGAAGCTGTTACCTTTGGAGGAAACTGTGTGTAGGTACATGGGACTTCTTTGTATTATTTTTTCATCTTCCTATAAATCTATAATTATTTCAAAATAAAAAGTTAAAAAAATTAATACCTAGTGAATGAAAGACCCACATTTAAAAGTTAAAGAACAGTAACAACAAAAAGTCATCACACACCAGAAAATAACTTGATAAATGTCAGTGGGATAGAAAGCATTCTTTAGCTTATTCCATGTTCTTAGACTGTTTCTAAGACAAGATGCAGGCCTAGGAATGGGGATTGCTTCTCCGTACTGGCTGGTGTGGTATTTTTAGTCTTCATTAGAAGAGCACTAAATATTCAGTTGCTTAAGTAGTCATCTGATTGTTTTCATTAGGCTCCCAAAGAGGCTCTGGCTCAATGTGTCTTGGCGGAGATCCCCCAGCAGGTGGTGGGCTACTTCAGCACATACAAGCTCCTTCCTCCCAAGAACCCTGCTACTGCCACTAAGTGAAATCTCTCCTGCCTCCCCCGATTATGGACATGATGTCACATACTTTCAAACCATCATTTAGGATGTGAACCTAGTTCTCTATGTATTCTATTTACTTAAAGCATTCTTTTAATTCTTTTTTTGGAGGAAAAGTGCTAATTTAATATTTGCCCAATCAATTCAGTGGTTGCTTGTGATTTCTAGTAATTACAGTCAGGCTGTATGGATTAGACACTCATGTGAGAAAAGCCAATTTTGTTGTTATAATTGTTTACTTTCATAGGGTGAAAATGCCATTTTGAATGTTTGTCAATAGAAAAAATGAAAACCTGTTGGGATGGTACAGTCTCAGGTTGCTATGCTTTGTGTTTCACAAGACCATGTCCATCATGGTGCCAAGACTTCTCAAAGGAGATGACACTGGATTTGTTCCTGTAACAGTTCAGTGCTTTTCCAGAGGCTACAAGTGCCCCTGCCTGTACCTGAGTTTGTGGCAGGGTAGACATGGTCCAGTTCATGGTCTAGTTCACAGTGCAGCAGCAGCCACCAGGACTTTCTGCAGAGTGCTGAATGACAAGGCACACATCTGGTCTTTATAACACAGTCAGCGACCTCATTCTCATATAAGTAGCCATCCATGTTTGCCGCTCAGTCCTTTTGATGTATGCATAACACTGTCCATGAGGTCCATGAGCTCAGGGTCTGCACCTGCAGGCAATAGCTTGTCCTAGAATCTCCATTACTAGAGCATTTTCACTGGTTTGTTTTTTAATGGCTAAGATTGTTTTGTCCAGGAAAACTATGAGGACTAAACCAGAATTCTATTTCCTTTTCACTTAAGAAAGACTATGCTTATTAAGAAAGGACAGTTTTATACTTTGCTTGCTGAGGTCCCATATGTTGGTTTGTATATAATCATTTAGATATTTTCTCCTTTTTTTAAGTAACATTTTTAATCTAATTTTTAAACTCATGATAATGGTTATTAATGAATCAAAATTATACTTTCCATTTTAATAATGTGCTATTTCCTAAGCCCGGAATGTACTATATTAAGCATAAAACCTGCCATGACCAGTGTGGCTCAGTTGGAACATCGTCCCATAAACTGAAAGGTTGCTGATTCCATTTCTGGTCAGGGCACATGTTTGGGTTGTGGGTTCGGTTCCCAGGTGGGGCATGTGCAAGAGAAAATCAATCAGTATTTCTTTCTCACATCAATGTTTCTCTCCCTCACTTTCTCCCTCCCTTCCCTTCTCTCTAAAAATAAATGAATAAAATCTTTTTTAAAAAGGAAGAAAACATTTTAAAAAGCATAAAACCTGTTATAACTTTTAAAAATCCAACTTCTGCCTTAAGATAAAGTGCATTTTACATGCTTTTTCTCCCTGATTTTTACCCTTTAGAACATACTACTAAGCAAACATTTTATCATCAGAATAGGTTGAGCAATGGTTATTGAGGACCCTTGTGCCAAGTACTGTGCATATCTATGTATTGGCCATTCAACGTTAAAAACTTCATATTGATCACAAATCCTCAAGTGGATGCATCCAGTGCTATGCTAATATGCCATTCAGTCCTGAAACTTGCACCAAAGCTTGTATCTCTTACTCTGTGAAATGTCTGGTTCTTCCAAGTTGGGAGCCTTTCTTGTCCTGTGTTCTAATTTTATTTGGCTTGCATGCAACACATGTATATTGCTGTGGTTTTCAGAATTTTGATTTTTAAACACACTCCCAAGATCCTCCTTACTCCCTTAATGCTAACCAGCCCTGCAGCACTGGGTGTAACTGGTCATCAATTCACTGCCCAGATCACAGTACTTCTGACACCACTGTCCAACTGATTTGATCTTCACAATGTCATATTCTGGTTTTAACCAGAATTATTTCCTTTTTAAATTATTTATTATTCATTTTTGATCAGATTCATCAATAGATGTTGTTTCTCCTAAGAACTATGGTTCCGGCAAATTAGGGTAATGGATACCTTCTTGCAGTTTGGAATAAAAGCAGTTACAATTTGTAAATTATTTTATAAAGTCTGTACAATCCCTACATTTCACCTCATTGTGTGTGATTTACTGGTATTTTATATTAAAATAGCCCTGTTGTGCTACCATTCATTCAAGTGCCATTAGTTCTTAAAGTACATTTAAAGAAACAATAACTAGACAGGTTACAAGCATATGCTGGGGCAGCGGTGTCCTAGGTGGATGCACTATTTCTCACACATGCCTATACAGTGAGGACAATATACCAATCAGCATAGTCAGGTTACAAAGGTGTAGCGTTGGTTCCAAAGCTTATACCAGTCTGCTGTCTCTGAGAAGGTTCAGGGCCCACTGCTGAATATGCCTCATCCTCATGCTTTGCCTTGTTTGTGTATCTTTTGGAAAGTCATCTTGGTCAATCTCTCCATGTATGCAGTTGACAGTCATGGAAGTGACACATAAGCAAGACATCTGGCTGGGATTGCGAGAACTGTTTCATGCTTTTTGGATATCATCCTTGACAATAAGTATATAAGTTACAAATACAGAGTCTTTCAAGAGACTTGCAGAAGGCCGGCCTGCTTGAGTGTGGTTGGTAGGGTAATAATATGGGTGTAACAATTTATAGTTTTAATTTGAACATTTCACCTAAAATGTCATATGGTGTGCTTGAATGTGGTATTGTTACAGAATTACATGCTTACGATTTTGTAATAAAAGAGTTTGTAATGAAATAAGGGTGTTATTTGTGCTGGACCCTGTCTATTAGTTGATGTTAAGTATAACTTCCAATTGAATTCCCTTTGAATAAAGATATTTCTTGATGTGCTACAATAGTGCCTTGTTTTAATTTTGATTCTTCTCTACATGTTATCAAAACCAGTAGAAAGTTAGAAATAAAGTGAATGTAGTATGTTAAGTGGCCTGTGTTCCATATTTTACTGAATTAAAGAGTTTGGGTGATGTGAATATTTTGTGGAGCTTATTAATTTAAAAGATGTTGACTGCATTCAAGATACTTTCTAGGTACAGAAGAGAAAGGTTCTCAGCTTATAGCTAGAGTGAACTGGGAAATACTGCTTCTCACATTTTATAAGTCATATTAAGCAGGACAGAATATCCACTTAACTTAAAAAATATTTTGCCTTGTTTCTGTTCCATTCATTGGGCAAGGCCCTGGAGATATACAATGTTGACTGAGGCAGCCACATTTGCTGCATACGTAGAAACAGTGGAATGGGAGCAGGGAGAAAGAGAATATTAAATGAGTATTGTGGGGACATGAGATCAATGTGTGATGTAACATATCATAGGGAGACCTGACCCATCTAGCCAGCAAGGAGTACTTCCCTGAGGATGTGGTTTTTAAGCTGTGACCTGAAAGTTAGCTGGGTGAAGAAGTTTAAAAGCACTTGTGAAGGTGTTAAGTCAACAGCAAGTATGGAGAGAAATGTTTTAGGAAAGGAAAGAAATTTAAATTTGCTGGAATATATAGTGCAGTGTGGTGGGGTCACATCCGGGGCCATCTGGGGCATGCAGGGGAGTTCAGACTCAGGCTAAGGGTCACAGCTGTGGCTGAAAGCACTTCAACAAAGGGATGATGGTTCTGGCTTTGCCTTGGCGGTCAGCTTAGGGCAGAGACTTCACCGTTTGGCCATACACTTGCTAAGTGTCTGATTGTAGGTCAGGTTCTGAATTCTGCTTTTTCTGCCACAGCCCGCCATTTCCTCCAGATATGTTAGTGCCATATCTCATGAGGCATCTCATGCCTGATGCTGACACAGATCACAGGGCTGCCAAACCCTTGCTTTTAGCAAGATGGGCACCCTTGGCACTTGTCACTCAGTGTGGCTGTTTTTGGCCCAATTCTCCAGAAACCTCATAGCAAGTTACAGTGTCCTTGAAGAATGATTCTTTAGCTTGGCTATTGCTTTTTTCCTCCCAAGAAGTAGTGATCAGTGAAACAAGTATTATAAGAGGTCATGCCTTCTGGCAACAGTGAAAGAACAGCCAGAGGATCTTTGGTGTTTCCACAAGCGGATTCACCAGGCATTGGGTTTTCACCAGCACCTGTTTCCAGTACTGGACTCTGAAGAATTTTAGGAGTTAGGGTTAGTACTGCAAACCAATAGGTGAAGTCATGAGGAGTAAAATTTCTAACTGACCTCAAAGAATTTACGATCTAAGGAAAAGGAGACAGCATGTGACAGGAAAACAATTGGAGCAAAGATGAGACAGCCTGTTGTGCTTGTGTCTTCTGCCTCCAGGCATGGAGATCTTGAGCACAGAGGGGAGCTCTAAACACTGCTGATGGGAGCAGCTGCCCCCTCCTCCAGTCATTGCTATCTGACTGCCCAATGACCCAGGACAGCCCTACAGTCCTCACAAAGCAAGACCTTTCCTGTAGCTCCTCTGTAGCCCTGTCTGACCACATACTCTCTGCCCTGGAGCTGTGTCATTCATTAGCTATGTTCCTTCCCAAAGAAGTCCCTCCCCTCTGGGCTTGATCATGCTTTATTTTAGTTAATCCCTGGCTCTTCAGTGGAAACTCACTTCCTCTAGCAGCCATCTCAAGTGGACCTCCCACTGGGTGTGGAGGCAGGTAAATGTCCCCCTTCTACTTCAGGTAGAATTTGCCTCTGAAAACCTCCAGCTTGGACTCTCATCATCAGATCAGTTCCATTCCTCCTGGTAATCAACTTGCTCTCCACCTCACTTTGGCCCACCCCTGAGGTCATGCTCTGGACCTCTTTGTTATCCCTAACAAGCCCCTCTAAATCTCAACTTCAAGTACTTGGTCTCCCACTAACAACACACTTTCCAGCTCACTCCCTCTACACAACAGCTCCTTCCAATCATTCTCCACTGGTACCTTCAGTCTACTAACCCTGCCATCTTTCCACATGTTTCTGGTGTGGACTCTGTTCCTCTCCCAGATACATCTCCTACCATCTCTGGTCATTTGTGGACTTTCTTGCTGTGATGGGGATGTGCCTGGTGTACTCTTAGCCCGTCCTGCAGGTCTCTATTCACTTGGCAGCCTGCTTCCTCACTCCTGCAGATCTTCAGTGTCATTGCCACACTATTTAAAATTGTATCTCTTTCCCCAGTACTTTCTAGCCCTCTTCCTTGTTTAGGGTTTACTTTCATGGTTTCCTGTCATCTTCATTCACTCACATGCAAGAGCTGAAAAAGCAGGGCTTTTTGTTCAGTTTGTTCACTGCTACATTCCCAGAGCCCAGAGGAAAGTGCAGCATTTACCCAGCTCTCCCTAGCAGACATGGACATTGAAGTTCACATTGGGTTCTATGATGAAGCCAGAGGAGCCCCAGATAAAGAAACAGACAGTGTCTTGAAGTCAGAAAGTGAGTGGGTTGTCAATATTGATTATATACATGCTGTAAAACCCTTTTTATTTCATAACAATCTCTACTCACTTTACACATGGAACAGCAGAGTTCCAACTGTATTAATTCTTCAGACTCCTAATTTAGTGAACTCTGTGGTTAATCCCTTTCTGAAGGACAAGCAAAATTTGAAACTTTCTTCTCTGATATGGAATATAAATATCCTAAAATGGCAGACTTGACTGCCATTTTGCCCCATGAAATCTTGGGATATGTATTATTTGAAAAAGTCCTTCTTCAGGTGGAAGCTACTTATAACCAGTTCATCCAGGATATTCATGTTTGAGTTAGTGTGGTACCTTTATCCTTGAGCTGTGCCATCTTCTGCAGTGGTCCTGGACACAGGATTTTGTTTTGTGATTTGCATAACAGGCTGGTAGTGGGAATCTTTAAATTCCCTTTAGAGTCTAAGATTCTGATATAAACAACAGAGGCAGATTTGCATAAAGCTGGGTACAAGAAACTGCAGCAGAGCCTTGTTAACATACCTCAGAATGCCCTGGGTCTGAATTCTTCATTACTCAGGATTCTGGGTAGACTGGGTCCCTGTACTTCTGTACAGTCATTGTGTGTAAAGTGACTGGAGGAACAAAGCAGCAGTAAGGGGGGTTATGACCTTTCAGGGTACCTCTCTTTCCTCACCCAAGGGAGCTGTTGTCAAGAAATGTCAGGTTGTATTGCTCAATGAAGCATATTTATTTGACCTTTGCACCATCACTTCTACTCAGAAAACCTGTAGCAGGAAAAATACAGCCAATAAAAACTCATAGAGAATCAAAAGGTTTCTGGAAA